CTTTAATATTTAAAATATTAAAATAAATTTTAATTTACTTTATATAAACTAGTATATTTTTATTTATATTTTTTTAATATAGATTTTTTATATATAAACTAGTATATTTCTATTTATATTTCCTTTTAATTAAATCTTTTAATTTTAAAGAAAAAAAAAACTTTTTTTTTATATTAAAGTAAGTTTAATTAAACTTACTTTATATTAGTTAAATTAATATTAATATTATCTTCTTTATCTTAGTTTTAAGCTCTAATAGGAGTAATTAAAGTAGACTTAGCTATCTCTATCTAAGAATTAATCTTATTAGTAATTTATATAAATATAGTTACTAGAGCTTATAACTAAATAGCTAAGATTATTAAACTTAGATTTATAAAAGTATTTTTAATTAAAGCTAAGATTATTTAGCTAATTTTAATAGGTATCTTTAATAGCTTCTTTTAATATTTACTAGAAGTTAAATTAATAGTATCTAATTTATTAAAATTTAATATAAATAATAATAAAAGGAATTAAATATACTATCTTACTTATATCTTTACTTAAGTTTAAGTAAATAGCTAGCTATCTAGTAGATATAATATATATAAGCTTAGCTAAATTTAACTTAAACTATATAATATAGGAACTTTCCTTAAGCTTTTAAGTATTTATTATATAGCTTTATTATAATTTAGTTAAATATATAGATAGTTATTATATCTATATATAATAATTAATTATAGTTATTATAGTTAATAAGTAATTTTATATAAATTTAAATATTATTATTAAAATAGTTAAATTTCTTTTAAATAATTAGAAATTATTTAAGTTTTTATTAAATAGATTAATAATAATTTATCTAGTTTAAAGTTAAATAAAAGTATATAAATTTTCTTTTAAAAAATAAAAATTAAAATATTTTTATTTTAAATTAATTTTATTTAAATTAAAACCTAAATTATATATTTTAAAATACTATTTTTAAATTCTTTAAAGCTTTTTTAAATAAATAAAAATAGCTTTTTATTAAAAGTAAAAAAAGTAATTAAGTTTTTAGTTAGTTTATAAACTTTAAAATAAAAAAGTATTATTATATTTAAAATTAAATAAAATTATTTAAAACTATTAAATAATATTAGAAATTATTATTAGAATTTAAGAAGACTTAGCTAAGATTAAGTAATTAGGTAATTTATAAGTAAAATAAAGAATAATAAAAAAAAGAAAAAAAAAGAAAAGGATTTTTAAAAATATAAAAAAAATATTTATTAATAAATAACTTTTTCTATTATTATTTCCTTTTATTATTTTACTAGTTATATTTACCTATTATTATTTTTAAAATATTATAAATTTTATACCTTCTTTAAAAAGTTCTATTCCTTAAAATAAGAAGTTATACTTTCTAAACTTAAAATATAAAGTTTAGTTATAGAAATATTATTTTACTAAAGTACTTCTAATATTTCTTATTACTTAAGGAAACTATATAGGTTAGGGTAGTTCTAGTAAAAATTTGAGGGGTTGAGGTCGAAAAATTTCAAAAGTTACAAATTCGCTACAGGCTTCCGTAGTATTGTCTGCCAGCTGCCTGCGGCCGAGTGACTGCCGCATGAGGATGGCCCGGACGCCGACATGCGAAAGGGTGGTGTCGAACCCACCACCCTTCATTCGATCCAAGAGCTTTAAGATCTTCCTGGTCTCTGGTAAACCTCCGTCCGGTTTTCAAGTGAGTACTTCGTCCTGAGCGAGGCCTGGTCGTTTACACATTCCGCGCCGTCCAAAACTGGTTGGTTGTTCTCCTGTTCCTGAGCTTTTTATTCACGTTCAATGTGCTATCCCAAATGCTCGGAGTAAGGGTTTGTCTGAAAGTGCCAATGATACCAGTTAACCTATCCAAGCTTCGGCTGTGAGTGTTTCTGACGTCGGCAATATTGATGGACAGACACCGCCGCGATCCAGGGATGGTGCTTGTCCGTCCGTCCTCTCGGAATCTTCGCAGTCGATAATCGCCGAAAGGCTCGCCAAGACATGCCCCACCACAGCTCAAATTTCAAATTCTCCTGTGCCGAACACGCCCTCGCTGTCGAGAAGATCATTGGTTTAAAATGCAGCTGAAGCCGATGAGGCTTTGCTTCCTGCTTGGATTGACAGCTGAGCCAGCCATCAACAGTAGTATCCCGTCTCGGACGTGGAGGTCTTCGGCACACGAGCAACCACTTCACCTCATTGAGCCATAAGGGTAGCCACACAGCCACACTCCATTGAGAGCAGAAAGAGTATTAAACGAGTGTGAAGTGAATCTCTCGACAGATTCTTGATTTAGAATCCGCCAATGTTGTGTTGTCGGATTCAGCATTGTGAATAAATGGCCTGTCACTATGGGAGGTCAACGAATGATCCCAATCGCCCAGTATGACGAGGACGAGGACGAAAGACCCCGGTTCGGCGACAGGAGCTGGAGCCGACCCGTTCTCATCGGCGCCATCTCTTCGTTCCTCATCCTCTTCTTGAATCTGATTGTCACAATATGGGCTTCCACAAAACCACACGGCTCGGACGACGCAGACGACGGTCGCCATATTCTCTTCGAGGGAAGCTGTTCGAAATCCCGTAACATTAGCCTTGGAGTCCATTTGGTCGTCAACGTCCTCAGTTCCGCGTTGCTAGGGACAAGCAACTATGCCATGCAATGCCTTGCGGCACCAACAAGGGACGAAGTGGATAGAGCGCATAATAGCGGGAGGTGGATGGTCATTGGGGCACAGAGCATTTCCAACTTGTTCAAGATTCGGAAAAGGAGAGTCATCATCTGGGTTTTGCTAGGAATCTCTTCGCTTCCTTTGCATTTCCTGTAAGTCACGATTTTCGATCCGTGAGCCCACCCTAGTTGTTTTGGACTTCGTCATCGTGGTATTCCTGGGTATTCCTGAGAAAACTAGTAGTCGGACATGCTGACCAAAATCTAGATACAACTCCGTGGTATTTACGTCAATCTCGGCCATCTCATACGAGCATTATGTTGCAGAGGAAACCTTTTTGGACCCAGACAACGTCGATTACAATGAAGAGATACTCTCAATACAGTCTGCAAACAATAGAGAGTGGGCTGATCGTATTCGCAATATACGTAGCGTCGTCTTGTCCCCGGAGTACGAAAACATTACAGCCGCGGATTGTCTGAACGCATATGCCACCACCTTTCAGACCTCTCGCAGCAACGTCCTCGTGATCACCGACTCGAACGAGACTTACATGAGATGGGGTTTATCATCCATATCCAACCTGTCCTCAGACCGCGAGTGTCCTTGGAGTCCTTTCGAATGGGTCTGTAACATGGGGAGGTCATGTTCCGGCGAGACCTGCAGGTCTAAGCTTTCGAGTGTGAGGGATAATTGGCATTTCGAAGGCAACAGAGCCATATACTGCCTCAGCAAGCCCGAAGAAGAGCGTTGTCGACTAAACTTTCACGTTACCCTGGCGATCCCGGTACTCGTTGCCAATCTCACCAAGGCCGTCCTGCTCATGCTGATAGCACTTTTCCCGCATGAGGGTCCGCTTCTTGTCCTGGGAGACGCCATAGCATCCTTTTTAGCTTTTCCGGACAACCGCACGAGGGGCATGTGTTCTCTAACTCGAGAGAAAGTGACGAGGTTTTGGCACAGTGGCCGATTGTCAGCCACGCCGTGGGTGGATGTCCGGAAACGCTGGCTCGCGGCTCAAGGGAAACCGAGCTGGATATTTTATAATCTCCTGTATCGTCCTTCCTCCCGCCCAGCGCTGACTTGCCCTTTAGCACCTTTTCCCTTTCCCTTTTGTGAAGGGGGCCTTTCCTCCCGTTCTCTGTTCTTGTACCAAGGCTAACCATACACTCTAACCGGTCTGCAGCTACGTCCTCGGCATAATTGCCATCTGCGTTTCCCTGGCAATGGGCATGGTGAAGATGTCCGGGCCCCAGTCGATGTCAGCCCTCTGGAATTTGGGCCTCGGCTCGGCATCGGAAAGTACCATGGTCGGTTGGACGAAGGAGGACACACCAGGCCTCGCGGCCGTTGTTCTGATTGCTAACGTGCCTCATGTCGTTTTCTCCCTCCTCTACTTCTCCTACAATAACTTGTTTACGCGCATGCTCGGTGCCAAGGAATGGAGCGAGTTTGGCCTTGTCCCGAAATCCCTACGCGTCTCGTCGAGACCACAAGGGAAGCAACGGTCGCGGTATTTCCTTCAGCTCCCGTATCGATTCAGCATTCCACTTATCGTCGTGTGCGCCCTGATCCATTGGTTGATGTCTCAGAGCATCTTCGTCGTTGCCGTTGAATCCCTCCATGCGCCGGAGGAGACCTGGGAGCTCGTGACGTGCGGCTACTCGCCCATTGCCATCATTTTTGTGCTCATTGGCTGCCTTCTGCTGGTATTTGCCATTCTGGGAGTCTCCTTCCTACGGCTGCCGACGACGGTGCCAGTGGTAGGAAACTGCAGTCTAGCCATAGCAGCTGCGTGTCATTCAGTTACTGGCGAGCCGCAGCCGAATGCGCCGCTCGGTTTCTTAAAATGGGGCGTTATGATGGAAGCTACGCCTCTCCATGCTGGGCACTGCGGTTTCTCGAAGGAAGCGGTGGCACATCCCAGACAGGGATTCGTATACGTCTAGGGATAGGGATTCGTATAGGGATGTGACTATTCGTGTCAGAGAAACCACCCCTTTACTTATCGGGTCCAGGTTGTGAAGGAAATTTACCGCAGATTTGGTTGGCGGTGACGATTTAGGCAGAAGTTTTAGCTAGAATAGGACCAGTGGAAACTGGGAAATGAAACGAACGAAGGCTCGGACGTAGAATCGAAGGCATACTTAGGGAGAGAAGTGGTACTTTATATTTATCGACGGACAAGCTCTGCGTTACGTTTCAAATGGACTGCTTATACCCTCTCTTATAGTCTTATAGATCTATCACTTCTTCTTCATCGACAGAATTTCCTTTTCAATGGCCTCCCCAAGTGTTTGAGTATTCCCCTGTCCTCCCATGTCCCTCGTCATGACCGCTGGCTCCGACCTCGCGAGCACATTTTCAATCGCCTTAAGCATGGCGTCAGCGGCATCCGTAAACCCAAAGTGATGGAGCATCATCTGGCCCGCCCAAATCATGCCGACGGGATTCGCTATTCCCTTGCCACAGATATCCGGGGCACTCCCGTGCACCGGCTCAAACAAGCTCGGGAACTCGCCCGTGGGGTTGATGTTCCCAGACGGAGCGATTCCGATCGTCCCCGTACACGCTGGGCCGAGATCTGACAGAATGTCTCCAAAGAGGTTGCTGCCGACGATGACGTCGAACATCTCGGGCCGCAGTACGAAATGCGCCGTCAGGATGTCGATGTGGTACTTATCAACGGCCACATCAGGGTAATTCTTCGCCATCTCCTTGACACGGGAATCCCAGTACGGCATCGTGGTGTTGATCCCATTGCTCTTGGTAGCGCTGGTGAGCTTCTTTCTGGGGCGGCTCTTGGCCAGGTCGAAGGCGTACTTCAGCACCCTGTCCACGCCCACGCGTGTCATTACAGTCTCCTGGATCACTGTCTCGCGTTCCGTGCCCTCGAAGATCTTGCCGCCGATGCTGCTGTACTCGCCCTCGGTGTTCTCGCGCACGATCCAAAAGTCGATGTCGCCGGGTTTTTTGTTCGCGAGCGGGGACGCCACGCCTGGCATGAGACGACAGGGGCGCAGACTGATGTACTGATCGAACTCGCGGCGGAACTTGAGCAGACTGCCCCAGAGGGAGATGTCGTCGGGGACTTTGTCCGGCATGCCCACGGCGCCGAAGTAGATGCCGTCAAACTTGGAGAGGGTGTCTTTCCAGTCGGGGGGCATCATGGTGCCGTGCTTGGCGTAATAGTCGCAACTGGCGAAATCGAAATGCTCGAATTCGAGCGAGAGATCAAATACCTGCGCGGCAGCTTTGAGGCATCGTACACCGTAAGGCATCACTTCGACGCCGATGCCGTCGCCAGGAATGACGGCAATTCTGAGTGACTTGGTCCCATTCATCTTTGCGAGTGTGTGGAATGTATCTGCAGCTCAATACTCAATGCAAGGAAATTTCACGCGCTTGATGAGGAACAAACAAGAACTTGTATTACTCCCCACTGAGGAGAATCGTCCCTTTTCGTCGAACCGACGTCGGCAAAAGGTATAGCCGCATCGCTCCAACCTCAAGCCCAGCGAGGATGACGGCCTATTGGAAGCTCAGTCAGTTCCGGGAGGGGTAGACATTCGAACAGATATCATTGGAGACGTAGAGCTCCGAAATTCCTGCAGTTGTACCAGCTGAGAAACTGATTAGTTTTCGCAATTTGAACTCGAGCATCATCAGACGATGTAGAGTGGCTATAGCGGAATTAGAGGAGACGATGTCTCCAGATGGATTTACTCTGATTATTACAAACTACATGACAACTTCGCCTGCAGGCAGGCCTTAACCAGAGGTATCAATTGATGGTCTCCCCGGTCTTCAACCTCATCGTTCCCCTTACATCGGTTTCGTGATGGGTGCCAAAGGAGCACGAAACCTCCAGGCACGTCGATTGTTTATTTCCAGCATCAACCCTCATTATTTTTATTTTTATTCATGTATTTTCTGTAATAGAGTGGGAGAGGAATTTCGTATATGCAGATACCTATTTTAGAAACTTTTCAATTGCAGACACAATTTCTTCTGGCGCCTCCTCCGCCAAATAATGACCGGATTCGACGGCATAGCCCTCGACGGGAACATCTTGCTGCGTCACCGCTCTCCACTCCTTCACAGCGTCAAAACACCTTTCGATAACACCATGCTTTCCCCAAAGGACAAGAAGCGGGCACTTCACGAGACGGCCATTTGCCAAGTCGTCCCTGGCCTCATCTAGATCCAACGTCGCGGCCGCTCGGTAGTCCTGGCACATGGCATGTACCGCAGCCGGATCACTCATATTCTTTACGTATGCCTCGAAGCATTCGTCCTTGAAGATGTGCAACGCCTTTTCCTGTCTCCTCCCCATAAACATCTCGGCAAGTTTCCTCGGTTCAGCGGCAATGAGCATCTCGGGAAGTGGCTCGGGTTGAATCAAGAAAAACCAATGAAAGTAGGCCTTTGCGAACTCGAAGTTTGTCGCCTCGTACATGGCCAGCGTGGGACATATGTCGAGCAGGATAGCCTTGCGAACGCGATCGGGGTAGTCCACGCACAGCTTATGCGTTACCCTCGCGCCACGGTCGTGAGCACAAACGAAAAAGGAGGACGTAAAGCCCAGCTGGTCCATGACGGCGATACAGTCGCGGGCCATGGCACTTTTGGCATAGTTTGATACATCGTCTGGCTTGGAAGATTCGCCGTAGCCGCGCAGGTCTATGAGGACGACGGTGTATTTGTCCAGAAGCTGGCTGGCTACGAGATGCCAGATATGGTGGGTCTGAGGGAAGCCGTGGATGAGGAGCAAGGGAGGTAGTGGGGAGGATGCATCCCCACTTTTGAGGCCCTTGATGGTGACCTCCGGTGAGGACTGCGTCAAAATGGAGAAAGGTTCAAACGAATCAAACATGGTAATAAGGATGTAAGGCAGGTCAAGGATAGCTGGGTGGAGTCAGGTTTGTGGTTACAGGGCAATGGTCCTCATTGAAGGAGAGGTGAGAAAACCGCCTTGTGTCATCAAGACGTGCTTGGGAGGGATTTGTCTCGATCAATGTATTTACTGCCTCTTTTTTTTTATTCTTATTCTTATTCTTATTTTATTTTATTTCGTTTTCCTTTCCAAGAAGGTGCGGCGAAAGCCGTTGAGGCCGGAGGTAATTGGAGCCGAGGTGGCCGGACGGGCCGAAGCGGGGTTTGCGGGGGCTGCGCTTAAATTTTAACCCGACGGTGCAGGCGGGGAATTGTCCCCAACAACTGAACGCTTCGTTGCGGTGCCTTGAGCCGATGGATCCGACTTCGTAAAAATATTCACCCGATAGCCGCATTATGAGTGAGAGATCGCTTCATACTCCCCGTGAACAGTGCCGCCCTCTCCCATCAGCAGAAAGAAGTTCCCCCGGGGGCTCCCTTTGCCGAGGACCCAGAGCCACTGGATGACACCGATCCGGAGTCGGGCAGCCTGCAATAGCTGTCGTTCTCGAAAGCAGAAAGTGGGTTTCCATTTCCATTTCACCCCGTAACTTGACATGTAACTTGCCATGGACATACCAAAACGGCTGACGTCTTTCTTAGTGCGACGAAGCCAGGTATGAGCTCATTTCGGACCTATTCGCTTGAAATTCACTAAGCATTCCCAGGCCGATATGCTCTAGGTGTCGTATCCTGGATCGACCCTGCGTCTGGTCCACCACTAGAAAGCGGTTGGTTCAATGGTCCTTATTGGCCTACAGCTGTATTTGACTGATTTATGTAGTGGCCCGGCCAAAGGATATACTGAAGCGCTTGAGCACCGTCTGAGAGAAACAGAAACAGCTCTCTTGCGTCTTTGGCACGCCTCTAGTGGCGATGCCATCGAAAGGGCATTTCCGAGTGCTGCCGAAGCTCCCGACAGCCGAATCATCACTTCAAGCGAAAGGAATTTTGACCCAGGAAGTGCCAAGTCCAGCTTGATCACGCAATGGGAAGAATACCCTTTGGTGTCAGCTGAAGACATTCGAAGATGGGCTGCCGACATGGAGGGGGAAACCAGAGCGGCTGACTCGTCTCAGCAACAAACTCTGCAGCCGGATCTCAGCCAGAGGTCTACTCAGAAGTCTGCTTCAAGTTATAATCAACCAATCCAGTCGACTCTGCCTCCGGAGATACCTTCCACGGCGTCAGGGACAAACGTAGAGTTACATTTTAATCAAGAGGGCATAGACGCACCAACTTCTTCGAGGGAGCTGTCTAGCCTTCAGAACGACAAAATCACAAGAGTGTGGACTGGGAGTTCGGATACGGAATCACACCAGGTGGACGGAAGGATTGAAATGTCCGAGGAATTTAGGCAACAATATCTATGGTAATCGGTTTGGGGGGGGGGGGGGTTTGAACGTCATTTCCTATGCTGCTCAAGTCATCACCGAACTATTTCATCTATTTTAGAGTTGTATATATTACATGTTTAGCTGGGGATATACTTTAGTATGACAACGCTACGACGGACGGTGTAGAACTCCAATCGTGACTGACTACCAGCTTGGCCGTGGATATACAGGCAAACCGATTTGTGCTAAACAAAGCTCCCCTATTATCTCATTCTTATGGGCAAAGTACCTAAGCTAACCATTCTAGCCAAAACTTCCCTCGACTGGCTTCCCAATGACCTTTTAGTAGTTGTATGTCTGTACTCGTTGTCCTCTATTGTCCAACCGATAGATCTTTGCGCCACAATAGCACACCCCATCATGAGTCCTAGGAAATGCCAAAGAGGTTACTTGAGACCACTCGCGAGGCACGAGTTTTCTAATACGCATACAGCAGCCCACCACCCTCGCCGGTCCTCTTCAGCTTTCGATTTGTCGCCATCAGCCAGAACCTCAACACCCAAACACAGATAATCACGCCCCCCGCAAACCCAGCTTCCGTTCCCATAGCCATCGTGTACCTGGGACCATCCCCAGAGGGATAGAGGTATGGCGTATAGATATACGACGCATTCGCTACCATATTCACGAAACCCAGCGAAATCGCCTTCTTCTGCATGGTCTGCCCTAGTGTAGCGGACACCCAACCCAGAATGCAAGAGTTAACCGCATACACTCCAACAGCGAAGCAGAAGCACGCAATGTATCGAGCTGCTGTGTTGAGCGTCGAGGCCGCGATTATGAAGCCTGCCATCGAGAGACCCATTCCTCCTGTGATGTGCCATGAGCGTTCGTTGAACTTCCCGGAGTTGATTCCGTATAGAGGGCCGACAACGGCAGAGAGGACAAACGGCGGAGCGGTAAGGAGGAGAGTAACGGTGCGGTTGAATCCGAGGGTGCCGACGACTGTGGGGAAGAAGTTGGTGAATCCGTTGGCCGAGAGGTGGAGGTTCTGCATCAGGGCGAGGACATAGAGGCGAGGGTCACCGAAAGCTAATTTCAGACTTTCCCAGTTGCTAGTGTGAGATGCTTCCTGGACTGTGTCGCGGCTGATTCTGTCGTGGGCGAGTTTCCGTTCTTCTTCCGTGAGCCATTTCGTTGTGGAGGGATGGTCGGGAAGGATGGGGATCGAGAGGAGGGCCATAACGACGGTAATGATACCTTCAATGATGAAGAGCCTAGTAGTAATATGAGCGCCGATCTCCTCTGGTGTCAATACGAGCGGAGGTAAGACCGCACTCACCATCTCCAGCCAGCAATGCCATGGGCTCCATCAATAGTCGAGAAGGTCGCAGCAGCAATGAGTCCCGAGAATGCAGTGGCGAGGATGTTGGCTGAATAGAGAATTGCCATTCTTGCGGCGATTTCCTTGCGGGTGTAAAAGATCGAAAGCAGAAACAGAGCACCAGGATAGACTGCATTTACCGTTCCGTGTGAGCAACATTCCTTCCAAGCCCAAAGCTTATTCGGCACTTACAAGGAGCTTCAGCAATTCCAAGGAAGAACCGAACCATCAAGAGTCCGATGTAATTGTTCGTAGCAGCAGTCAAACCCGAGGTGACACCCCAAATAGCCATGCAAATTCCCATGTATGTAGACGGTCGAACATGAGATGAGGCCATGAGCATGTTCGATGGCAGCTGGAAGAGGAGATAGCTACAGATAGCTGTCAGCGTTACTTTTACTCCAAAAGGGGCTTGAATACCCGGCCACCTACCCGACAAACAGAATGGAAATGCAAGTATTGTACTGGTTTCCCTTGAGATTCAAGTCTTTTTCAAGGTTATTCAACCTCGCCGAAGCGATGGCAGTTCGATCTAGCTATGATCCCGATCAGTTAGGACAAATATGAAAGGCAGAATCATGCGATAAGTGCACGTACGTAATTAAGAAAGTACATAATGCAGAGCATGGGCAAGATACGCCTGTCAAGCTTCCGAACAAGAGCGATCTCTTTGGCATCAGTCTTGGCCCTAGCACCAGAGTAATCCGCCTGTGCCTGGGCTTCATCTAATCGAAGGCCTTTCTCTTCGTTGCTGTGCCGGAAGTCGACGTCGTCATTGGTCTTGCCTTCGCAATGCTGGACATTGGGGGCGGCGGTGGAGAGCGCAACTTGTTTCTCGGACATGATGACTGGTAGAAGAGTAAAGGGCCCTGGAATATTTCTGAAATTGACCTGATAGCCATGTTGGATGAGGTCCTCGACGAGCCAGCACTCCGGATCTTTAAATATAAGAGATCAAATGGGCCATTGCTGCGGTGGCTAAAAGATGAACCGACACTCAGTCCCCGCCTCTACCCCAGACCCCAGACCCCGGACCCCATGGGGAAACTTTCTTCAGTGTCGCGCTAGTTTTCAGTAGCGGACCTAATTGTACTAGATCTCAAGGAGTAGGCGTCGAACGGGAATAACAGCTTAAGCATTATGCTGTGTTGTTGGGCGAGTCATGCAGGAGCCCTTGAGCCATCACAAATTTGAGTCTCGTAGAATCAAGGTACAATTCTTTATTTCTTAGAATTCCTATTTACTATTTTTTGAGCCTCGCGCTCAATGTCATCAGGCAGAATCATGAAGAAAAATGGGATGCAATACTTGATAAAGCGGACTTCTACGCGCCAAAGTTTTGCCCGAATCCCTGAATATATACATCCCAGTCAACATTGCTAAAAAGACCTGCTATGTCGGAATCTAGAGGATCACTGGGGAACTCCTGCCCACCAAGTCGAGACGCATCGAACCCAAAGTCTGGGCCGGTGTACTCCATGACAGGCATCGAACCCTGCATGGTAAATGCATTAACACTAGGTCCAAATCCGCCATTGGGAGCATAGCGCTGGAAAGATGATTGCGGTCGCCTTCCGGCTTCGTCATGGAGCCTTTGTCGTTTTGCGCTTCGCTCTTCGAACATGGCGGAATTTACATCCAAGGGTGGCCCCTCCATCCTTGACCTGCTGAGGACCCGCTCAGGTCTTAATGAGAACAAAGGCGTGCATCTGCCCGGCGGATCTCCACTAAAATAGTTGTTGAGCTGTTCAAGAAGCTTTTTGAGTGCACCATGACAATGGCGAGCACTGGTCCAGCGCGAAGCCATGGCTTCCAGGATTGTTAGGCAGTGCCCGATATCTCTGTACGAAGAAGTCAGCCAGATTCGGAGATTACCGGCCTAAAAGTAGACCAATAAGGCCAAGTACAAGATAGAACTTACGAGCTGCCCTTCGCGAAGGGGTAGAGCTCTAATTGAGTTGCAAAGGCGATTGCTAGGCCGGCCATCCATGTGGCCGATAAAGTCCCTGGCCAAGCCATCACGAAGGGGTCATCTGTATACCACCTGAGCTTCATCACGGTATTGTGACTCGCGCTGAGGGCTGTCTGCAAGCTAGACCGAAACATTTTGCGGTCTGTGGGGAGCGATAGGAAAGGGCGGTTGACCAGCAAAATGAGATAATTATACAACATAGTAAAGAGCGCAACCCAAGGACTCTTGGTGTAGGAAGATGGCGTTGATGCGGGGACGTCGTGTGTCTCGTCTTGGAATGTTGGGGGGAGGCTATTCCACCAACAATGTATTCGATAGGTTAATTCCTCAATCTTCTCGGGGCTGATGGCTCGGCTGTGAATCGACCTGTGGAATTCGCTGACGATTTCTCCCATTAAGCGTGAATATGTCGCCATATAGCTTAGGACGAATTGGCCTGCCTCTTTCCCAGCGGCAGTATGGTGTTGCGCTGGACTATAAACGGTGAGACTGTCACTGCCTCCCGCGGCATCCCTTGGGCGGCTGCTTGGGTGTCTCTGGGGGGAGACTTCTCCATCATTACCATCTGTGGCCGCTCGATCGCTGGGTAAGTGATCAAGAACCTCTTCGTTCAATGTTGACTGGGAAGTGGCTACAGGCTCGCTGGGCTTGGTAACAGCCCTATGCAGTTCAACCATTCCAGGGATGCAGACGTCTACCTCTCCATCCTCGATGGAAGATGGATGCCCTAAAACCTGGCTTAAGTACCGATCTAGAACATAGGCGCACCAAAAGATTCGTTTCCTAATCATAGACACAGTGGATTGGAGCTGTATGTAGCGGCAAGGGCATCGATGGAACCCCGAGTTATACATGGTTCGGACCAGCGCCCCGTGGATCGCCGACGCTGCTCTCAATGACATGGTGGTTGTCAAGTACAGTTCCGCGGCTAAAAGAGCCTGTAGAGAGGCAATGTCATGGCTGGAGAAGATGACTCCTATGAGGGAAGTTAAAGCGAATGACGACTGAATGCGACAGGCCGGATCCAACGTCTCTCCAGACGCCAGTGCTGTGATGTTGAAGATGCACTGGAATGTCACTGCCCGAGTTAACCGGCTCGGATGAGCAGTAGGAGCGTCTTCAGAGAGGATATCTTCATCGTAGAAGCGGTTGACACTCTCAATGAAAGTAGGTCCATGCAAAAAAGGGAGGAAAGGGTGCCAGTTTCGGAAATAGAGCATAAGGAGTTTCTGGGCCACGGCAGGCGGTGGAGCAATACCCAGCCCAGTGGCAGTCACCCCGTAAGACCGGGTACCAGGGGCTAGAGTTGTTGGGCTATCTTGCTGCCGTGGCTCATTGTCGGTGGTTTGTTCTCCACCGTGTTCAGGTGCAACGAGGTAGGTGTGGGCTGAACCCGGGTCAGGAACACCATGACCTGCGTCTCTCCCCTCTTCGGGCCGCCCCAAGTCAGCATCGGTGGCCGACGCTGCCCTAGCAAAAGCTCGGAAGACAGTATTCGCGAAGAAAGCACCACTCGCGCTGCCGATGAACTCACTATCATCGGGGGAGAGAGCAACGAAAGAGCCGATCTCTATGGGTGGGATCGGGCGGGAGGCGGAACCGCTGCCTTGGTCAATCGTTGGGCCGAACATAATGACAGCCGACTGGGAGGCCAGGAAGTCAGGGAGGGGCCGACAATGCGGTGAGGGAGTTCCATGGTTTAAGAGCGAGAGTGCGGATCGGTCGGCCGAAGGTGGACTACGGTGGTGCCCTCGGGGATAGTTCTGTAAAGTAATTATGAGAAGTAATAGTTATTAACTGAACTTAAATATTAATAATCGAGCTTTATTTTATAACAAAATATATTTATAGATAATTTTAAAATATTTACTTAGATTTTTTAAAAATCATATATTTATGATTTTAAATTATTTAAAATAAACATAAATATTCTTTCTTCAGCTTTGTACACTTTATACGATGCTGTAAAAATGTCCAAGATCTTTACTTTATTTAACTCGTAAATGCAGTCGATATACTTCGTACGAAGCCTACATAGACTCCTTACATCGGGCTTTCTTTTAGCCGCCCCTGTCGATGCTGCTCGGTCTCGCAAATCGGGGACCGGATCACCAATCTTGCGTCCATATGCGCTGGATCTATTGATGATTCTCAAAGTTTGAATATTCACAGAAATGCCACCGTATTTGATAGCCACGACTGCTTTTCCTCGTTCGAGGTTTGACTAGTTACCACGCTGTCCCTCACAATGACGATCCCAGAGTCCTCCATCGTGTCTGTCCTCAATCACATCCTCCCACAAGTACACGAGTATCGTGCCCAACCCGAAATTCAACAGCCCCCTTTTGTCGTCGGTCTCACCGGCCTCCAAGGAAGCGGGAAATCTACCTGGGCTAATGCCCTCGCAACAGCCCTGCAACGCCACGGCTTCACCGTCATAAACGTCTCGCTAGATGACTTCTACCTAGACCATGACTCTCTCGTGAAACTCAGGGAAGAAAATCCAGATAACCCGCTCCTTCGAACTCGAGGCCAGCCCGGCACACATGACACGGCTCTTATCTCCGAATTCTTTGCATCTCTGGCTGGTAGCGATGACATCTTCGTCCCAGCTTTTGACAAGAGTAAATTCGACGGTGAAGGGGATCGCGTCCCCAGAACTCAATGGCGCCGTGTATCACCCCCAATCGACATTGTCATTTTCGAAGGGTGGTGTGTTGGATTCCAGCCTCTGAGCATTGGTGAATTGACGTCACGATGGGAAGCTGAGCGACGAGAGAACTTGTCAAATGTTCTGGGCGACGGCGGAATGTCGACGTCAACTCTCGGCACACACCAGCTCTCCCACTTACTACAAATTAACGACAATCTCCGGCAGTACTGCAATACATTCATGAGACCGACGAAATTCCATTATTTAATACATTTGGATACGGATGATCTTGCTCACGTCTATCTCTGGCGGATTGATCAAGAGCGCCATCTTCGGATGTCCAGCGGACACGGAATGTCTGATGATGCAGTTATCCGATTCGTACAGGGATATATGCCCAGCTACAACTTGTTCCTCGATCGATTACAGAGGGAGGATTTCGTGGTTAGAGATGGCCATTCTTGTCATCTGCGCCTGATAATGGATAAACATAGAATCGTGACGGAACAAAGGATCGGGTCTTCCCCAGGAGTATAAGGGGGCTTGTAGTCGATCTGGTCCTGGTTATGGCTAGGTGAACCGGATTTGGTCAGCCCTACAGGAAACTACTTGCACCAATAACTTAAAATATTAATGGAGTGTGGAGTGTACGTTTGCCTACGACATTTGATTGCTGCAACTGCAACTGGTTGGAAGTTTGGGATTTGGCTTTGGTGATGTGTGATGTGGTCTTGTTCTCTAATTCTCCAGGGCTCTCCTACGCCATAACAGCATTGATTAATTGATCCCATGGCATGGCGGATGGCGGATGGCTCGGGCAATTCCAAACGAGAACCTGGCCAGACTTGCTCTTCCATGCCCATTGCGGAACGTTGGCTGTTAGCCGGTGATAGGATCATCGGTTTAAAGAAACGGGACGGTTAAACGCACTCCCGCCTTTTTAACTTGTCCGGGACTGCGGCACCATTGCGGAGGACAGAGGCACAGATCGAGGATATCAACTCTAAGCTAATGTAGGGCTCCGGTCCTGACGTGGTAATTTGGAGCTCGAGGCCAATCAGTCTCCTCAATCCAAGCAATCAGCTTGAGATATTCTCCAAATTCACCCACTGCGCCACAAGCTCAACGAAGTAATTATCCATTTCGGTCGCCGCGCCCCATTTTCCGCCGGTTCCCGGATCCTTCGTGGACCAGCAGCTCGGACGCTCAACCATTGTCCTGTTCCATAGTGTCATGGTGTGTGAATGGGCCCTCGTCCGATTCGTCCAACGTTTCATAGTTTCACGCAATGGACCCCTGCGCACCCTTTTCTCGCTTCGAGAACTGCAGGAGGTGTCCCGGATATGAGGCCCCTCCGTCTTGGCACACAGATGGAACTGTTCGCGACCGGACGCCACGGAGAAAAAAGAAAGGCTGAAACAAAAAGACAGGAAAGAAAGGTAGAGCAACGGCCTGGGGTTGGGGTTGGATTGGAGGATTTGTTTGTCGCCTCCCTCATTTTGAGTTTCATCACGATAAACTTTTCTCTTTCCTTTATCAACCTTGACATTCCTCACGAAGTACGCGGTCGCGGACAAGACGGTAATTTCATCCGATTTTCAACCCTTGCTTCTGTTTAACTCTTGTACGAAGCAAACGCTGGTCTACGGTGAAGGTCCCCCAAACAAGGATCCCTTGAGCTATCTGGAAGCACTCGGTGAACGAAGATCCTTTCTCGTTCGCCGCTAAATCCTTTGACATATACCGAAACTTCGTTCTTCCTATAATTATTAGCTCTCTAAGAATTTCCACTGGGGAATTTCAAGCTCGATCCTCCACTTCCCTTCCGCACACCGCCCACCATGTTGAACTCAACTGCGCTAGTAGCGATAGCCGTTCCTGCGATACCAATCCTCATAATCAAGGGTCTGTCATGGCTCAAGCATCACAGACGAGTCCGCTTCAAGGACTTTCCTCAGATGAAGACCTCCTTGGTCTGGGGGCATCTGGTCTCGCTCGCTGAGCAGATGGCCAAAGGCCCGGAGGCCGAGCAGTTTGGTAAGGCTACCTTTTCCCAGTTACATCTTTCTCGGGGTCCTTGGAGCATGAAACTCGCGTTGTCCGCTCTGTGTACTGGATGAATAGCGTTGTTGTCCAACTTGGAAGTAGACTGGTCTTAAAAGCCACGGAAAAAAAAAAAAAAAAAAAAAAAAGAGGAAATATATGTCCAGACTGAGGCTAATATTATGTGCCATCTAAGACCTTGCCCTCGCCAGAATCGCGGAATCGCTAGGACGACCACCTCTAATGGTTATCGACATCTGGCCCCTCAACTACCCCATGGCCATCATCATCAACCACGACATCGCCGAGCAGATATCCAGGGCTTCCAAGAACTACCCTTATGGCACCCCCAAGTCGCCAACGATGAAATATCTTAATCCCATCATCGGAAAGCACTCGCTTGTTTCCATAAATGTAAGCCCCGCCCTCCTTTCTTCTCTCTCTACAGGGATACCGAAAAGACGATATGGCTACCTCCTCGGCATGTACTGATATTCCCTGCGCGACCAGGGAGAATCATGGAAAGCGCTCAGAAAACGATTTAACTCCGGCTTCGCCCCGCACCACCTCCTCACACTCCTCCCCAACATCATCGAAAAAGTCCACCCATTCCTCGAGCACCTCGACCGCTTCGCCCAAACCGGCGAAACAGCCCTGCTCAGCGACTACACCACGAACCTCACCTTCGATATCATCGGCATGGCCACCATGGACAAGGACTTCGCCGCTCAGCGCCCACCCTCTGAGCGCGGCGAGCTCGTGACGCTATACATCGAGCTCGTCGAGTCCTTCAAGGCCCATGAGGACAGCGCCGTGCCGATCTGGCTCGTCCACCCCCTGACGGCGCTGCGGCAGATCCAGGTCGCGCGTCGCATTGACCCCATGATTAAGGATCTCATCCGCGCCAAGCATGAGGAGCTGATCCGCGGCGAGGCCCCCAAGACGCGCAGCGTGCTGTCGCTCGCGCTCGAGGGTGTTGATGAGTTGACGGACGACATCCTGCAGCAGACGTGCGATAGCCTGAAGACTTTCCTGTTCGCCGGACACGATACCACGAGCATTATGCTCCAGTGGGCCTTCTATGAACTGGAGCGGTCGCCCAAGGTGGCTGAGGCGTTGTGCGCCGAGCTCGACGAGCTGCTCGGAGCGGAGAACACAGATCCCGCCGTTGTCATGAAAATTTTGACGGAGCGGGGCGACGAGATCATGAGCAAGATGACGTATACTTCGGCGTTTATCAAGGAGATTCTTAGGCTTTATCCGCCCGCCGGTTCGGCGCGTTTGGTCCCTAACGGAACGGGCCTCTTCGTCACTGCGCCCGACGACGGGAAGTCGTACTGCCTCGACGGCATGATCATCTACCTATGCCCTACCCTCATCCAGCGCGACCGCGCAGTCTACGGACCGACGTGCAACGACTTTATGCCGGAGAGGTGGATCGGCGACTCGGACACGAGCATCAAGACGAATAGCGGGCTAACTGTGGGTGATGGCGGCGAGAAGGCGGCTGCTGGATCGGACGGGAAAAAGATCCCGGCGAGCGCGTGGAGGCCTTTTGAGAGGGGACCGAGGGCTTGTATCGGGCAGGAGCTGGCGAATATTGAGTCCAAGATTATATTGGCTTGCGTGGCGAGGAGGTATGAGTTTATCAAGGTGGGGACGGGGGCGATTAAAAGGGATGCGGATGGGAATAGGGTCATGGGGGAGAATGGAAAGTTTGTGGCCGAGACGGAGCTTTATAGCGTAAGTGTGATTCTTTCTTTCTCGTTTTCTTCCATCCTTTTTTTCTTCCCTCACTGACTGAGACACGGAAACAGAGTCGGCAGATCACGGCGAAACCAGTTGACGGTATGTTGGCCAAGGTGAGGCTAAAGGCCGGCGCTGAACCGCGAAAGGTGTGAGAGGCTACAGGTTCCCGGGACAAGATTTGGTAGAACAAGCTGTCTGAGAGACGGGTGCTTGTAAGATCCTAAGTTCTCCAATGTTTATTTGGTTTGGGTGGTATGTTTGAAGCTGGCTCATCATTCGGGAGTCTTGGTTTTGTTTGTTTTTTCTTGTTCAAGGGGGCGTCTGCACGCATGTTGACAGGGACGGGCATGAGATCGGCTCACTTCATGATTGGAAGGGATTATTGTGATATTTGTTTGGAGTTGTATTTTTTGGATACCATGAAGCCAACGTTTACCAACCCCCTCTTTTTTCTCACTCTTCTTTTCGCTGCAGACTGCTGAACACACTTCCGCCCCTCGCAAGGTGACCACCTCCAAGTTCGCGACCATGGAGGATGACAACAAGCAGGGCGCCAGCCGCCCGAGATACCGATTCGAATCCTACACTACCAGCTCTCGCGATGATAATGCAAGCTTCACGGTCCGCAGAAACGGCAAGGCGTTTTACATCGACGTCTTGCCGTCGCAGTTTGTCAACTCTCCCGTCACGAAGGACAAGTATATGTTGTATCTGGAGGTGCTCCAGTCGGATGAAGACGTGATCGGGGACATCTATGAGACAGATGTTATCGACTGGGTCCTCGAGCCATTTGAGCCGTTCTTCGCTGAGCTCGCACCGAGTCCAGCGCCTGGGAGCTTCAAGGTCACCACTCTACGGGACTACCTCGTCCCGGAATTCTTCCACTTCGCGCTGGACATCGTAGATGAGGAATTACGACCACGCCAGATCAAAGGGAAGCCTTCTCCCTATCTTCCGTCGGGCGTTTGGCTTGACGACGAGCTCCTCGATGACGTGGAGACCTGGACGCACTTTTACGATCCAGCCAACATTGTCTTGAGCTTCGACCAACCCGAAGACGCACTCTTCAAGCTGCCCAGGAAGGTCCTCATCGACAACGGTCAAACAACCTGCTTCTTTAAGGAGTGCTACTCCCCTGCCCAGACGAAAAACGAGCTCCTAGCGTACAAGAAGATTAATGCGGCCAATCTGGATCCTGAGCTCCACATATGTCACTTTTACGGTGCCGTGATGAATGATCAGGGCTCCATCGCCGGCTTGTTGCTGAGTTACATAGACTGTGGCAGCCAAACCATGTGGTCGCGAGTCGGTGCGGATGAACCCTCCGCTTCCATCAGAGGACGGTGGGTAAATCAACTCGACGCTTCTATTATCGCGCTTCACAAGATCGACGTCATCTGGGGGGACGTCAAGGCAGAGAATGTACTTATCGACCAGGACGACAATGCGTGGATTACCGATTTTGGTGGCGGTTACACTGAGGGTTGGGTCAAAAAGGAGGTAGCTGGGACGGTGGAAGGCGACCTGGCTGGCATGGCAAAGCTTAGAAAGTTCATCGTGGAGGGCGAATAGGACGCCAATTCTAAATTATTCCAAGATGCCTGGCGGGTGCTATTCTGAGATGAGTGCGTCGCTTTAAAGTGCGGATGTCTTCGCTTGAACGAGTTCTAGAGGTTTAAATTGAATGACCAGGATTGCATGAGCCACCCTACGAAGGACCTAAAAAGAGTTCACGTCTCCAAGTACCCAAGAAACGAGGTTTACAGAACTCTACTACCATACCCGTCCTGCAAACGGTGCCGTGGATGGAATCGGGCAATGCTCTTCGTAACTAATCAAACCCCGACCCGTTCGCTACCACCGGCCGATTGCCTAGGCGAGATGAAAGGCAGGAGAATCGGCCATCGTTTTAGTTGAAGATCTTTTGTGAGGGTGGAGTTCAGTCGGTGTGCATGGAAGACTTCCACGCCAGCGACCCAAGTTCCAGAAACTGGCGCGGAACAGGGTGATCGGGGCTCTTCGGCTTCCTGTCTGGGCTCGTCTTCTAGAACGTAGGAGAAGAAAGGAGAACAACACGACATAGTTATCAACTGTATCCTAAATCATAGGCCCTCTATTTTCTTTCTGCCCACTGTTGTCTTGGCCGATTAGACAGTCAGGATCCTCAAGAAGAGGATGCTAAGACGAGTAGGGCGAAGGATCAAGTCGTAGGACAAGTGGGCGTCGGGCGATACTAGGAAGAAGGAGAAGAAGGAAAAAAAAAAAAAAAAAAAAAAAAAAAAAAAGGTCGAGAAATTGGTCGGGTTACACTCGAGAGAACTTGGAACTGGGAAATTGCGATTCTTCTTGAGCCTGAAATCAACGGGGAATGGAACTCTGCGAGACGAGATTGACCTCGCGCCCGTTCTGTAAGCACTGCAGCCTCTGCAGGCAATCTAACATCATGATCCTTGCAGTTCTTCACCTTGTAAGGCGTCAGCGTCTGCCCGTTCTTGCAATCTGGGGCCAGTGCTGGGAGCGAAGAACAAGCTCGTGCTATGCTCCGTGCTTCCTGGACCCGGAGAGTCCAAGCTCCATTTTCCCGGCCTAATCCTAGCTTGTCTTAGCCTCAACTGGCATGGTCATCTTCACTTCCACGGTACGGATGGGGCCTGCGTTGTTTCCGGGCCATAGCGCCGTCGGTTGCAGTCCCGGAAACCCTCCCAATCGAACAAAACCTCCGTCATCTGGACTAACATGGAGTAGCAGTAGTGTTGCTCTGCAGACGGTCGACCCGGAAGCTTGACGAGGTTCACAGTCAAACCTGACACAGTATTCGGTGTCCAACTCCAATTCGAGTCCGCACCTGCATTTCCGCGCATGCGCCAAGCCCATCGTCCTGCGTGTTATTATTAGATTGATGCACCTGCCAAAGACCCAAAGACCTAGCATCCCTCGGAGAGAGACAAATCCCGGACCTCGTGCTCTGCTTCGCGCGCAGTATTGTAACAATGAGCTGCTGCAGTAGTCTTCTCGGGTCCAAATATTCACCCCCTTGCGCAAAGGCTCTGTAGAAGAATTCATCCCGAAATTTGTCGGCGGCCGTCTTTTCAAGGGGGCCCATACTTCATCCGTACTTTGCCCTGACACTTGAGGGTTGACAATGACTCGTTAACCAGCTCTTCTTGGTACACTTGGTACCTGGTGTCATTGAGCTGTCGTGTAAGTTTCCTGGCAGCTCTCTGCCCAGATGCCAACGTCGTACTTACGGAGAGACACCCGGGATGCACCGGGGAGGATCTATTACAACTACGAAGTATAGCGGCTCCAAAAGCCGGGCACCAATCATTCGTGCCTCATAGGCGCCTGTAAATACCCCGTGCTCTCTCCACGTTGACGGCCGGTTTTCCTAGTCTGTACTCTGACCTTTACCGGGCCTATAAGACATGGGTGGTCTGTCTTCATCGGCCCATCTACTGCTCCCTGCGCAGGCATCGTAAGCGTCTTTCTTCTGAGGTCTTGGAGTCCACCCTCTTCTCCAGTGCTTGACATCCAGCTCATCGGTTTACCCTCTCCTCTCCTCTCCTCTCCTCTCCTCTCCTCTCCTCCCTTTCTCTACCCTCTCTAATTCCTCCTCTTTCTCTTCGCCAACCTTACCCACCAGAAGAAAAGACGCAAAGGACCAAGGATCCAGGGATCGAGAGAAGAAAATATGGGCCGCCTCATGTCTCTGGCAGCCTCAGCGCTGCTCGCCCTCCAGACCGTGACTGTCCAGGCCGCCAAGTGTCCTGCCGGTCTCGTACCCCGTGTGTGGGAAGGAAAGCAGTATGGCTGCAAGTGCTACGTTGGTGATGACTGCTGGCCTAAGAGCAAGGAGTGGAAGACGTTAAACTCAACCGTCGATGGCAACCTTGTGATCCACGTACCTCCGGAAGCGGCATGCCACAACACCTTCGAAGGCCCTCTCGGAACCCTGGAGACTTACGATGCGGAAAGGTGTGCCGAGGTTACTGCCAACTATGCCGCAGAGCAGTGGACGTAAGTAGAAGCCAAAATCCGGAAGCTCCTTGCACCTTATTGTGTGAAATTCTGACGGTTGTTGTCCTACCAGAACCGACCAGGACGCTCTCAACCTGTGGAAGTACTTCACAAATGCCACTTGTACTCCCACCGAGAATCCCGAGGAGCCATGCACCCTTGGCTACTACGGTGTCTACGTTGTCCTCGCCAAGGAGCATGCTCACATCAAGGCCGGCGTCGACTTTGCTCGCAAGCACAACCTTCGTCTTATCATCCGCAACACCGGGCACGATTTTATTGGCCGCAGCACTGGCTGGGGTGCCCTCATCATCAACACTCACGTCTTCCAGGATATTGACTTTCTTGACAGCTTCACAGGACCTGGCGACTACGATGGTCCGGCGGTCAAGATTGGTGCTGGTGTTCAAGGTCGTGAGCTCATCCGGACCGTGGCTGCCAAGGGGCTTGCCGTCGTCACGGGCGAATGCCCGGTAAGTTTACTAGAGAGACAAAAATGAATGAGCTTCGGGGAGTCCCATTTGCTAACATGGGGTTTGCTTGCTCTTAGACTGTCGGTGTTGCTGGGGGTTTCATCCAAGGCGGTGGCCATGGCCCCCTTACCACGCTCTACGGCATGGCTGCAGACCAAGTCCTCGAATTCGACATCCTCACCGTCGATGGCGAGTACAAAACCGTCAACGCCGGCAACGAGCCCGAGCTCTTCTGGGCCCTCAAGGGAGGTGGTCCCTCTACATACGCTATCGTCCTCACCGTCACAGTCCGTGCCTACCCTGAGCTCCCCAGCGCCGCCGCGGACCTTTTCGTCAACTTCACTTCCATCTCCGACCCCGATGTGTTCTGGGAGGGCGTCCGCATCTTCCACAAGCACAGCAACCACTTTGTCGACAGCGGCCTCTACGTCTACTTTGAGATCGGCCCTATGCTCTTCCGTGCGAAGCCCTTCGTCGCTGTTAATCAGACCGCTGCTCAGCTCGAGGCTATTCTCGCACCTATGGTTGCTGATTTTGAGGCCTCTGGGGTTCCTCACGAGTTGAGCGTCTTTGAGTATCAGTCGCTTCATGATTTGTACCTTGACCGCTTCGAAGATGAGGGCGCCGGTGCTTTCGCCCTGACTGGAGGCTGGCTCTTCACCCACAGGGATGTCGAGGAGAATAATGACGAGATCATCGAGGCTTTTAAAACCGTCCTAAGCCCCCGTGAGGACCTTGTCAATCAGGGCTTCATGGTCGGTCATCTCTTCAACGCCGGCCATAATCTTCCCGTTGCTCGGAGCGCAACTCACCCTCTCTGGAGAAAGGGTACCGACTTCATCATCTCTATCCTCCCGGTTCCTCAGAACGCCTCTGTGGCCGAAAAAGCCGATCTCCAGGACGTCCTAACCAACGTCCAGGATGCCGCTCTCAGGGCCGCCGGTCCTTATGGTGCCAGCTACGTCAACGAGGCTGACCCCTTCCAGCCTAACTGGCAGGAGCATTTCTGGGGTGATATTTATCCTGACCTCAAGACACTCAAGAAGAAGTGGGATCCGCGCGGAATTCTCTACGCCGTTTCTACTCCTGGAACTGAGGAATGGGAGGTCATCGAGTACGGTACTCGTCTTTGCAAGCGTATTGAATAAATGACGAATATGGAGAGAGGGAGGGAGTATTGAAATGGTCAATGAAGGGCCATGCACTAATAGACTCATACACGTGTAAGCTTCATCGAATATACTCTGCTGCGTAACTCATAATTCATCGTGTTCTGGATTATTTGCTCTTCTGAAATTTTGAAAACAGGCTCTTGGCCTTCTTTTCTTCTGCCTCCTTTTTCTTTTTGTACTCTTGCTCCTCTTGTGCAACTCGTCCCTGGAGACGCATGAACCTCTCTTCCATCTGAGCTTGTGTCAATAACCCTCGCCCACCGTCGATAGCGGTGTCCTTGTCCTCCTTGCCATTGTACGGCCCGGCGCTTATCCCGAGTGTCCGCGAGAGACCCTCTGCCTTACCCATCAGCCATTCTCCATATTTCAAACCTTCTCGCCAATGGATTGGTAGGGCTTTGTATCCGAGGCACGAACCCAGAAGCGCCCCCGCGAAGCACGCATTCGTATCTGCATCACCACCTCGCATGATGAGACTCGTGATGATCTCCTCAAAGATCGTGGCTTGCGTCCGAAGCGGCGCGGGCGAAGAAGCCACGGCACGCATGGCCAGACGCAGACTCAAAATTCCGGAACCTAGGCATTTGTAGACGTAGCCCATTTTCTGGCTATCGTCCAACTCTAAGCCCGCCAAGTCTTGCGCCTTGACGTGCCGCAGGAGTTCTTCCAAGTTGAGGGGCGGATCGGCTTCGCGACTTAGCTCCTCATTGTGCTCGGCTGCCCACGGTGGGTACCACGCCAGAGCGGCCTCGATGACGGAGTCAATGTCGGTTTCTGTCGTGTATTCGCTAAGCGCAAGACCACGAACGAGATCTGTGCCTATGGCACAGGAGATGACGCATCGGGGATCCACGTGCGTCATGACGGAGAACCGAGCCGCCGTCTCGAAGGTCTCCGTCTGCGATTTGCCAATGCACATGATGCCCAGGGGATGCGTCCTCATCAAGCTTCCGTTTGGCGCAATGTCCTTCCCGCCTTTTACCCACACATCGTAGGCCGTTCCTTCTGGGTCTTCTGTGAAGACCTTCTTGCCGACAATACTCCCCACCGTCCGACCTAGACCCAAGGGAAGTGTGTCTAGAGCCCGTAGGCCGTTGCTGACCCACACGCTCAACCTCGCAGCAAAATCCTGTGGATCGAGTTTTCCTTCATTATGCAAGAAGGACAGGAGAATAAGAAGTGCATGATCGGTATCATCTGTCCAGTTTCCGGGTTTGTGCGGAGAGCGGTGATAGTCCCTGCGGAACGGAGTCGCCTCTTCCGCGGGGCTTAGTGCGAAGCGCCGGGCGGGGTAAGTTTCCTGGGAGATCTGGGCCGAGAGAAACTCGGTATAGAGGCCTATTGCATCGCCGAGGGCGGAGCCGATGATGGTGCCGATAATGCGGTCGTGAATGGCGGAGAGGACAAGCTCTGTGGTGGCTGCTGTGGAGAGGTTGCGGGGAAGTGCGCGGGGAGTGAGACTGGTGTTGGTCATTGCGATCAATGCGTGTGTGTCGGTGACCTGAGACAGGAGCAGGATATCTCGAGGTTAAGAAATTGAACAGTGATGAACGTATTGAACAGTGAGAGTCCGAGATTTACATGAGATTGGGCCCATCATAGTTTTGTACTCTCTGTTTTAATGTTCCCAATCCCCAAGCGCCAAGAGCTCAGCTGAAGGAGCTGAAGAGCTCCCTAGAGGCTGCTCCGCCACTGCAGATCAATAGCGTGAGTTAGCGCATTGTGCTTTAATCTTCGTATTACTTCGTACGCGATGGAGCTGCGTAATGGAGAAGCTCAGGGGAGGAGAAGTGAGCATTGGTTGTCGACAATTTTTTATTTATTTTTATTTCATTTTCTTTTCTCCAAAACATCTCCAAGCTTCGAGACCTTTTGCTCACCTCAATCACTTACTAGAAACCAAAGCCGTCTGTCTCCCTTCAATGAAACAACGAGCCAAACTGCTTTTCCGTCCGGGTTCGGTGCAGTGAAGGAGAAGTGGATCTCCCGGCAATGGTATACCAAGGGACCAGCCGGCAGAGTAAGAAAAGTCCAGAATCCCTGGAGTCGAGCGAGAATTGAGGCTTGTTCTGGAGCAAATCGTGCAAACCGGTCGGAATGTATCATACAGTGAATGAATAGGAGGCAATTTTGGGGTTTGTTCTCATACTCAAGTTCTTGGGTTGTCCGGACCCAGCCTGGTCTACTGAGCCTTGCCCTCCTTCATGCTGTTACTTTGGTGGCGGCCAATGGAAGCATATTTGTAGGTAATTGGCAACGAGTGAGGCGGGGCTCTAGCGATAGATTCTCGCCAGTTTTGTTCGGAGGCTTGGTTTGCTAGCAAACACCTCAAAATGAGTGATCGCATGGATACGGATTCCGATTCCGACGGATTTGCGCCGGTATTTGTTCGAGGCGACACAGAGACGCACCCCGTTATCAGTCGTGTCGCATACATCAATAATCCCTCATTCGAGTTCTCGCCTCCTGACGGATACATCTGCAACAAGTGCCGCGGCGTCCACGCCATAGCGATCGGGTGGAGTGCCATCACGTTGGTCGAGTTAGAGCGAAGTCGATCGGGATGTAGATTCTGCGATTTTGTGTATCGCGCGGTCGAGCACCACAGCGACAGCCCTCTCGGAAATGTAGTTGCCAGCCTTCAAGGTTCACCGGATCAAGAAAACGTTGGCGTCCGGATTACCTCTGAGGAAGGTAACCTCAACATCGCGTATTCTACGGCAAGCGGGACAGATCGACCTCCGGAACTTGACCTGTGGGTCTACACGAATGCGGGTAAGCTCATGGTCTCGAAAACGGCCCACAGATATTCTGAAGAAAGTGGAAAACTTGAAATGCTTGAGTGCTCACATAGGGGTGGCACAGAGCCGGGGTCTATTCCGTGGCCAAGATTACCGTTCAAGGACGGGATAGCCGAAAATGTCTTCTCGGACACCTGCTGGTCTCTTGTAAATACCTGGCTCGACGTCTGCCTTTCCAATCACGAATTATGCCCGTGGACCGAGAAGAGCATTCTTCCATCTCGATTTCTTGAAATCTCTGCGTCTAGCTGCGGTACCCTTCCGGCTCACATCAGGCTCCGTGAAAATACAAAAAACAAAACCGGGAGATACGTCGCTCTAAGCCATGTTTGGGCAGCATCTAAGCCAACCGGCGCGGAGACGAAGACGAACAATATAGGAGCTATGCTGCTGGGGATTCGCCTCGGAGACATGCCAAAGACATTTCGAGATGCGGTCGAGATATGTATCAAACTAAAGATCAAATATCTCTGGATCGACTCTTTGTGCATCATCCAAAATGACCTGGATGACTGGAGGGTCGAAGCCGCCAAAATGGGCCAATACTACAGAAATTCCTACGTCACGGTGGCTGCTCACCCAACCCATGACTGGGATGGCAAAATCCAGGCGCATATCGATGGCGGCTGCCACCTTTCCAGAAAAAGGCCTTTCGAGGCGACGGTCCGAGGTAGAGATGGCCAGGCGTGCAACATATTCGCCAGGCAGCTTCACAACCACGGGCAATTTGTCAAGACGACTCAGGATGGTAGGTGCAGTGAGTACTTTAAACGTGGGTGGTGCTTCCAAGAGCGCATGCTAGCGCCACGTATCATGCACTTCACGAAGAGCGAGGTTCTCTTTGAGTGTAACACCACGTTGAGCTGCGAGTGTGGCGGGGCCTCGAGAGGGGAGATTGAGCGAGCCGAGTCTCTCAAAAAGCCATTTGCGGTATCGTTAAGATCCGTCGGCCAGCCGACTATCAGCCCTGATGCCTCGAAGGAAGTCCTGCACGCCTACCGCCGTCTCACGGAAGATTACTGCGAGAAGAGACTGACAAAGTGGACTGATCTTCTCCCGGCGCTCTCAAGTATGGCAAGCATCCTTCAACCAGCTCTCGGGAGCTACTATGCCGGCCTCTGGGAAGCCGACTTATATCTAGGCCTCCAATGGTCGTCTTCGTGGGGGCTCGGGCCTTGCTCGGAACTCTGCGACAAATCCCACAGGGAGAAAGATTGTCCGAAGCGATGCTACCGCCACGACGAGTACGTCGCGCCCTCTTTTTCATGGGCCTCTCGACGAGGCGGGTTATGCAACGCGACAGGTACCTGGAATTCCCAAGACGACGCCGACAAAGGGATATATGCAAAAATATCACACATTGAATGCATAAGAGCCTCGAAGGAATCATTCGGTCACCTTACAGGCGGATCATTAACCCTCTTCACTTGCGCTATCACCATGACTGGCCCTCTCGAACTTACCTTGGGAGGGTGGGCGAAGATTTCCGGTGACAAGATCAGTAGTTGTACCTTCATCCTCGACGCTAAGCAGGACGAGGCCTTGGCAAGAACGAAACCCGTCGTATGTATTGAACTGATGCGCAGTAGAGCCATCTACCGCGAAACGATCCAACCGCGTCGATTTGTCAACCCACACTACCCGTTTGGAGAGGCAAACTTTGATGCGGACTATTGGAATGAGCAACCCAGGCCCGGAAGACAAATGGTGAGCATCGCGGCCATCGTAGCAGTGGATCTGGAGGATGGCACCTTTCAAAGGATCGGGTTCACTCATTGTAACCGGGTCTGGGAAGACTTGCCGATGCGGCACTATAAGATTATTTAGAGCTATTGAGAGGTGGTTAATTTCAGCGTTATTATACCAATTGATTTTTAAAAGGAACAAGCTTAATTGATTGTATTTAAAGAGCTTTCAGCCATTCAATCACCGCCCTCTTACCTCCATTCTTTTATTTTAACTGATACAAATTTTCTGCAGATCTGGAGCCACCTTTTCTCCTCGATCGCATCGCCATCCCCGAAGCCAATCGTGGCAGCAACGCTATACATCACGGAACCGAGGGGTCTAATTCAACGCCCGAGGCATCTGTAAAATTTGAGTGCTCAGCACCTGGCTCCTTCGGTTCTGGTGCTGGGAATACACACTAGACCTCCTCATGCAGCGAGCCCGCAAGGGTAAGGGAAGGCTGGGAAAGCTTTTCCGGCTTGAGGATCGCTTCCTCTTCGTCTTCGGGCGTGGGTGATTCCCCTGGGCTGGATCCCCCGCGTGTGTAGGCTCCATTAGACTGTGTATTCGAAGACGAAAACTGCGCGAGATTTTGGTTGGTGTGAGGGAGAGAGCGAGCTCGGGCAGGCCAAGATCGGAGGCGGTGGGTCGGCAGGCTGTCGGCTAAAAATTGGATCAATGATTGTCTCAACGTCACCTCATCAACTCTAACTCAACCTCACACGACGAGAATCTCTTTATCGACCGACAACGCTTCCCAAAGTCATTCAATAGGGATATTTCGATGGCGGAGGTGCTGGAGAGGGAAATATCTTGGTATCTCGAAAAATTTCTGAGGTGTGGGTGGTTGGGAATGAGACAGTCGGGGCGAAAGCGGAATGGATGACCCGGTGCCAACGAAATGGGCGATAACCTTCACGCGAAACGGAGATTCCTTCACTGAATTCTGGGAAGAACTGCGAATAGTGGTCGAAGGGTTTAGAGATATGGATGGGGGGTATTCTTTGGTTGTCGGAAGCCTGGTGCCCGAACGATTTTGCTGTGAGGATCCTCTCGAAGAGAACTGGTCTCGGTTATCTGCTACTGAGTCTGCCGGACGAAGTAGGCCATATCGGCGTTACTTCGTGCTTTCATATGGCTCGAATATAACGTATTATCCTCGAGATCCTCTCATATCCGCCTTCAAGATGGACTGGGGGATATTTGGGGAGGGCAACATGCCGCAAAGTCCCACACTGCCTGGGCAGATTGCTGATTGCTTTGAATGGGATTATGCCTGGGTTTATCGGGATCAAAATGAGCGGTGACGAACTGGACGGCGTCTCCATTTGTGCTTCAAAACCGGGGATAGAGCCTACCAGTGCTTCTTCCAGAACCAGGCGCGGACGTCGTGCGCTCGGCTCGTCACTTGGGAGCTGGTGGATGGCTGTCTTGGAGGATTCCCTCAACCGTCATCACACATTCAAGTCCCGGAAGTGGTCTCTGGCAATGACGGCTAGGGGTCACAGCTGCTGTTCTCTAACGGTTGGAAATTGAGTGCTGGTCTTCACGGCAGGAGCGCCTGCCCTAGCTGCTTGCTCCTTCCACAATTGAACAGCCGCTCACGCTCTGGAATATCCCTTATAGGGACCAAATTGGCCTGGAGTCATCACCACCAACTACACCTTGGTGTAGTGGTCTCTCCATTCAGATTTTCTGATGGAGTGAAGTCTCCGGGTTCGAATCCCGGGTGGCCCCTTTAAGCATCATTACATCTGCCACGCTTGTCCTGGATCTGATTTGATGCGATGATGCTCCCTACTAACCACCCCTACAGCATAACAATATAACAAGTCAGTAATCCGACCCTTCAGACCTCAAGGCTAACATCGAACAGATCAACCTGCTAGGGAAGCTGGGCAGGTCAGGGATGGTGGGTGGGCAATCATTTTTTTTTTTTCCCTATTTCAATCATTTATTTTTTATTGGGCTCCCCCGTCGCCGCTGTTCTTCTTTTCCTTCAAACGGCCCGATGCGCCCTCTATGACGAAATATTGTATTGATATATAATGATATTATCCTCGGCTTGGAGTTCCGCTTCGCTCTTTGATATTGGTCTTCTAATCTTGCGACTTGGTTGGCGATTTACGTCGCCTATGTGCTCGTGATGTAAGATGATTTCTTACTGACTTTAGTTTCGACCTTCCCGAGTTGACATCTTCTAATATCCCGACCTGATTCAGCTTCAGGGTTTACTTCTCTTTTAAGGTCTGGCAGGAACTACTGACATTCTCGTCCGGTAAAAGAAAAAAAAAATCTGCAGCACCAGGAAGTAAGATTTCCCTCAGCGGCCCCACGAACTTCAACCTCTTCCCCTTCTTTTCTTTTTAGCCCTAGAGCAAACCCTTCTTTTCTTCACCTGCTTTCCCTATCCCCCTCTTACTCGAGTACGTCTATTCCTCTCGTATTTATTGTCCCTCAAACGAGCGCCCAGAAAGTTGTGACTCGTGTCAACTGACTCGATTGCAACGAGACAGGCACTCCTTGATCTCAATCCTCTTAATTTTGACATGGCAAAGAGACGTCGTTCGATTTCACCGCCCGCGATCCCTGCGGGAAAACGGGCCAAGACTCTGTCCCTCCCAATCCGCAGTACCGCCCCTGGTGTCTCTACCACCTCCTCCGTTGGCCTCGACGTCCATGGTCCCCCCGGCGAGCCCCAAGCCCAGACCACCACGCCTTCCGCCAACCCAATGCCCGCTACCCAGCCTGGAACTATGGTGAGTGGTTCCTACGTTCGCTTCTCCTAGCTCTAAGCCCGAACTTGATGATGCAACTGGCAAGTTACTAACATGCGCATTTGCAGAACGCGAACGCCCCTCTACAGAACCGGCCTGATCTCATCATCTCCTTCGCCGACTTGCGGCCCCGGGCCGGATACTGCTACGATGACGTGGAACGTGCCCCTCGAAGGGTTCGCAAGGCCTTCAAAAAGTGCTTCGCAGCTGCTTCTAACGTTCTTAATAGAACCGCTTTTGATCGGAAGCTGGTCGAGATTTTTGACGCCGCAGCCAGTCGCCTCACAAAGGCTCTTGTGTTTGACTCGGCGTTGGCTCGAGATGTCATCAACTCCGTTTCGTGGACCGAGCCGATGGACCCCACTGGTCTCGCCCAGATAATGGGCTATTTTTATCGGGCGCGTCTTCATTACTTCGATCGTATGGCCGACCCTGGCTACCGCAGGCGCCACCAGCGACCCTCTTGTGCCAGCGCCCAGGCCGTCGACCGTCTCTATCTGGCGGCCATGGCCAAGGTCGAGCAAGGTACGGACGCGGTTGAGGAAAGTACGGACGCGGTCGAACAAGTTACGGACGCAGATCTTACTGCGCTTTTGTCCGCCGGTTCTGACGTTAGCCCCTTCGCCGAATCCAATGAACCCATCTGGGTTCCTTGTGACTCCGATGATGATACCACCAGCGAGTGTGGACGCTGGGTGTACCCAAACGACGACAATGGCTCGGGAAGCGATGACGCCGATGATGACGACGAGGGATCTGACTATCAGGACTCTGAAGACGATGAAGTGGATACCGAACTCTGAGTTACACTATTGAATGCTGTCCTTCCCTCGATAACATTAGAGCCCTGTTCGGCGCTTCCCTCGGGTGGTTGTTTATAAGAGTTCTTCCTTGATAGAAAAGATGGGCCATCAGGGGCCAAGAGCATCAATTGATGATTCTATTATTCAGTAAATTCCGTCTACGCAGAAGTGAGAGCACGAAGACGTGGATAGCCGTAGCCGCAATTATCAGCAAGGCATAGATCTAAAAGGAAGAAGAGGAACAAGGAGAAGGAGAAGGAGAAGAGAAGTAGACCATGAATGAGTCGAGAACTGCTCATCCTGTAAACGCCCCTATGCTACCTATATCACCTAGGCAAAGGATATATATCCTCCCAACGCCTATCTCATACACCTGGATTAGACTCCACAGCTCCCCAGCCCGACTCCCTCCTTCCCAATCATGGAAAATGCAAGACAGACAAGAGAAAAGCTTCAATAGATACATAAGAACGCATGAAATCTCGTGACAACGCTCAACTCCCGCTCCCATCTAACAAAAAAAAGAGAAGAAGAAGAAAAAATCGAACAGATAAAAAGACAAAAATGACCAGTCCTTTACTTCTTCGCCTCTTCCCACGCCGCTGTACCCGCCAACATATCCTTACAAACCTTCAACCTCGCATGCGCCTCCTGCAACAGCTCCGAGTTCGCCTCGCCGAGGCTACTCCTCAACGCGTCCAGCAGGTCCGGAAGCCCATCGTACATAGCCGAGGCCGCCTTCTCGCTAAGGTCATCGAGCCTCGCCACGCTGGTCAGGTAGCTCCCCATGCGCCTGTAGCTGTCCATCGGGGCCAGGATGCTCTGCATGGGAGGCGGGCGCACGTGCGGGGGCGCGACGGCGCGGACGAAGGACCAGATGCTCAGTGCGGCGTAGTACATTATCCAGGGGCGATGGGGGTCTGGCTCGTGGCGGATGGAATAGGGCACGGAGAAGGAGTCGATGTAGGCGTCGGCGGAGGGGCCCTTTTTCGAGCGGGGGTCGACGAGGACGCGGTGCAGGAGGCGGAAGGCGTGGAGGATGGCGTGGCGCGTCGAGGCCTGCTTGGCCCAGATCTTCATGCGGCCTACGGCGTTGGAGTAGTCACGCATGGACACTTTCCGGCCGAGGAGGCGCTTGGCGCCGGCGTAGACCTGGCAGTCGACGATGTCCACGTGCAGGCAAATGTGCGCGAGGTGGTAGAGCATGGCAGCGCTGTGCACGGGGCCGTTCGTCGAGCCCCGCGTGTCGGCCGTGTCGCCGTTGGCGTTATCGAAGCTGCCCTTCCAGATGTCGAAGGCCTTGAGGAGGATCTTGCGCCAGTTATCGCGGGTGTCGGCGGAGGGGGCGCGCACGTCGAGCCATTTGAGATGCGTCTCGCGGTGGCTTAGGTGCCAACCCACGCTCAGCAGGCCGGACATGATGATCATTCGGGCGAAGGAATGCGTCTTGACCTCCTTGCCGTGGAGGGCGTTCTTGAGCCCGTCGAGGAAGGACACGGGTTTCACGCCGTACATGCGCAGGTTACCGTCGAGCTGGCGACATATATCCGGGTTCGGCGCCGTCCAGAGGTTATCGTCACAGGGGAGGGGCAGACGAATCTCGTGGGGCGCCATGTCAGCGGCGTGGCCGAACATGGCGGCGTGGATGATGTCGAGCATGAAGGCGACGAAGACGACGCGGTGCATCGATTCGGTCTCGGCCCAGCGGATCCACCACATGCGGGAATCTAACGTGCCAGCGCCGCTGTGCTGGGATTGCTGGTCTCCCGGGACCGGCGCGGCTTCTTCCGGGGGCGATTCGCTTCCCGCTCTGCCGATGAGCGGACTTCCGCGGCGCAACAGCGTGAGGGTCGCCGAGTGGTAAATGTGCGCGCGCTCGTGGAACCGGCGCGACGAGTACAGCTTTTCGTAAAACTCGAGCAGGAGCAGCGCCTGCGCCACCCAAAGCCCGACGGGCGGCGTAGCCTCCTCCGCCATGACGATCTCCCAGCGCACGCCCTCGATGATGACGTCCGCAAAAGCGCCGTAATCTTTCAAGCTGCCGCCGCCATCCCTGCTCCTCAGCGAGGCGGCGCCCAGCGCCACCATGACCATGAGGAGCAGGATGGGACACCTGTTGGAAGAGAAAGTGGGCTGGTGGATGATGGGCAGGCGTGGCGACACCGACTCCCAGTACTCGTGGACACAGTCGCGCATCATCTCGAGGTTCAGCGCGGGCAGATCGCCGGCCCCCGTCTCGCGCACAAGGTTCACGATGCTGGACTCGTACCGGTCGTTGCGCTCGCGGAAGATCCGGAACATGCGGAGGATCTCCTGGCGGCGCGATTCGCTGATGAGGTCGTCGGGGCCCTCCATCTGGCGCGGCGGGGTGGGGTCGAGCTGGGAGCGGCTCGTGAGAGATTCGTAGTCGAATTGGATGTTGTTGTTGAAGGTGGATTCAAGGCCGCCCTCGATGAAGGGGATGTTAGTTACACTGAAGTCGCTGTAGCTCGTTTGGGGGTCGAAGAGCCAGACGGCGAAGTTTTCGCGCGCCATTAGTTGTTCGTCAGAGACGCCGCTGTAGGCGATCATGCTGGTGGGGCCTGGTAAAGGAGCCGTGTCGCGGCGGTAGTAGCCGGCGCCTGGTTTGGGGCGGATTATGTTTACGTTCAAGTCGTTTATTGTGGGAGGAGGAGGAGGCGGCCACGAATTACTGTGAGTTAACCTGGCCGGAGGGCCTCCAGGGTTAGAGTTAGGAGGGAGGAGGATGGGGGAGTCGTAGGGTCCACGCGAGACTGGTTGGGAGTAGTTGGATTGCTGCGGCCCAGGGGGAGGCTGGTGTTGTTGTTGTTGCTGTTGCTGTTGCTGGGGAGGAAGAGGCTGCGTGGGGGATGGGCGGTGGGCTTGCGGTTGCGGTTGCGGAAGTTGTGGCTGGTGATGCTGTGGTTGGTGTTGATGTTGATGTTGATGTTGATGCTGATGCTGATGCGGTTGTGAATGCGGATGCGGATGCTGATGCTGATTCGGATGTTGATGGGGTTGCTGCGACGCGGGATGTTGCGGCTGCATTCCGGGACCAGAAGGGGATTCCACCGTTGGTGAAGTCACCGGACTAGTCGGCGAGGGCACGCCGACGCCGGACGTGTTAAAGTTGGGCACGCGGTTCCGAGGAATGTAAGTACCCGAGTGCCGCTTCTTGTGGCGGGCGAGCAGATCTAACCTCACAAACTTTTGCTCGCAACCAGGAACATCACATTGATAGATCTCCTTTGGATTATCTGCAAGTGGGTGTGATTAGCCGACATGGACGATGATTTGATCCCTCTTCTCTCACCACTCCAGAGAAGAGAGAAAAAAAAAGAAAAAAAAAGTAACCGGGAGACTGGCGCGTGAAGGGCCTCCATTCACACCCCGGCGTCACACACACACAGGCACAGACGCACACAACCGATATCTTGCGCTGGCGAAGTCTCGCAATTTTCTTTCACTTACGGTTCAGTTGATGGCGCTGAAGATGTTCAGCCCTCGAGTAAATCTTGTCGCAACCGGGATAAGAGCAGCTGAATCTCCTCGGCGCACCTTTGCGACTCGCGCGCTTGTACGTCGAACTCGAGCCGACCCCCGACGTCGTTCCTCCTACGCGGGGCGCATTCCCACTCGCATCCGGGCTGTTGCTGCTGTTGCTGGCATGATGTTGGTGTTGGTGATGATGGCTGTTATTGTTGACTCTTGCGTCGTTTCCCGAGGTCGCGGTTGCAGAGACTCCCACGGCGGAGGCCCCAGTGGGGGTTTGATGAGTTGCCATCTCGCAAAGGCAAGACAAGGCCTCGGCTTCCTTTTTTAATTTTTTTTTTTTCCTGTGACCCCCCTACTTTACTAGAGGACGGAGTCCATAGGATGGGAATGGCGGGGGTGCGTGTTCCTGGCCCTGGGGTCGCGAAAGCAACGACAGTTGCAGGAATTTTGGGGGGACGAGCAGAGCAAAGTAGGATAATGAGCGAAGGAAAGAGAGTCAAAAGAGAGACCCAAAAGCGGGTATGACGCTGAGTGGGGGTTATTGGCAAATCAATCTAAAATGGGGGTAGGATTCTGGATGGGTCGAGTTCGAGAGGGCCGAAGCCGAAAGGCAAAAAAAAGAAAAGAAGCGACGGGCTAATCGGCCGAGAGGAGAGCGAAAGCGAGTGGGAAATGATAAGTGATGGGGCCGAGGCCGGGAAAAAAAGAAAGGAAATGAAGAGGTGAAGAGGCTGTCACGACGCGACAAGAGACAAGAGGTAGAGACAGATTATACGAATCAAATGCTTCAATCAACCCGATTCACTGTATCTCTCTCTCTCTATCTCTCCTTTGCCCGAGCTCTCTCTTCTCTCTTCTCTCTCCGCACCTGCACTCCCCTCAAGGCCCGGGTACTCCAACTCGTCAATAATAATAAATAATAGCTCGAGGCTCGCGACTCGAGTTCTTTCTTACCCACCCACACAGGCCGAACTGGGGAGGTAACTTGGAGTATTACAGCCAGATCTGGCGTGGTGGCTTTTTACGGATGAAGTCGAAATGGAAGGGTGGGATCTAGTTAAGCGACGTCTCGCTCATCCGCATCGGCATCTGGGGATAAAGTTTCTTAAGTGGGAGGGAATCTTGGAAAGAAGCCTTGCTGGGAACATTTGGATTTGATTTTTTTCTTTTTTCCCCTTCTTCTTCGCACGCGCGCACGCGGGGGAGATGATGGGGGAAATGGGGAAGAGTCAAAATGACAAGGGACAAGGGGGTCGGAAAACATCAAATCAGTGATTTCAGGGTTCGTTGGTCGGTTGTCGTCCCTCAAGTCCGGTCTCAGTTCTCAGTTCCCATGGTTCGTTCTTCCAGCTTGGAGATGGGAACGTTCTACATTCGTATATTATTCTCTCTTCGTAATTATTACTACCCATTAAAGTTGACCTATCCACGTCGAATCAAACCCCCCCCCAAGAATCAGGTCCCGTTATTGATCTTTACCAGAGAACGAGACAAGACAAACCCAAACCCCTCTCTCCCCCAAAAATGAAAAAGACACCGAGACCGCAGAGAGAGCGGTTTGCAGAAACTGGGATGCTGGGATGGGGGGAGCGAGGGGGTGTGCCCCCACGCCGAGGCCCCATTCGTCATTTGTGTCTTGGGCAGATAATCGCACCTTATAAGGTACTGTACACTAGTCCCTCAGCCGCGGCATGGCTAGAGGTAGTAGTAGAGTACGAAGTACGTAGTGTCGAGTACTAAATGTGCTGCTGCATGAGTACGACGAGTTCGTTCGGCATGGGGCCAAAGATGGGGCAAGGATGGGGCGGGGGGGAGACGAGAGTGGGGGCTCGCCAAGGAAGGGGAAGCGGAAGCGGACGTGGAAGAGGAAGAAGAAGTGGAAGATGAGAGGGGGACTCTCTAGCGTAGTAGAGACCAACGGGAGTTAGAGCCTATTTCGTGCACGATGTTGTGTAGCATCCTAAGACCTAAGCTACAACGAGCATGTGGCATCTGGTGGCATCACATCGCATGTCGCTTGTCGCATGGGGGAGGGAGGGGGTATGAGTGGCGGGTAGGGACGAGAGAAGACGAGACGAGAGACATCAGGAATGACTTCAACCCTGGACAGGCCTGAGACTGGGGCCGTGGAGCAGACGGGCGACTGATCCGTAAGAAAAGCAAAGGAAGCAAGAAAAGAAAAGATGGAGGGCTTCTCTTGATCGCTACTGGCGGCGATCAGGGCGGGATTTTAATGGGATTTGATGGGATTTGCTAGGCGCGCACTGAATCCCCTCCCTCTTCTGGACGTCTCGTCTGGTGTTTCCGGCAAGCGAGCGCATGGAGTTGAGGGGCTTTCCCGGACTTTTCATGTTCCCTGTTGCTCTGTTGTCTGCTGCTGTGATACTTCGTACCTTTTTGGAGAACCATGCTCGGGGATGATACTCTCCCCAGATTGGTGAGAGTATGAAAGCGTGAGGTTCGTAGTACGAAGTATGACGCATCAATCTATCCATAATCCTTCTAGCATAGCATGATGCGACTTTGAATACTACTTTTCTTCGTAATACATGACCTTGCCCCAGGACGGACACGCCGCCCACTTGAGGCAACGGGGACGGATAGATAGGACGGAGGGATCCTTGGATCCTTGGGATCAGACGAAATGGAATGGATGGGATGGTCTCCCGTTTTGCATTCGAAGATCGTGCTGGAAACCAGACTTCTCGTTCGTCGAACCGCTCAACGCTCGCCGGGTTTTCGAGCTTCCTTTTGATTTTCCATGGCTGGCTTCCCGCAAGGCCTCGGGACGGGGATACCATCAAAGCACTGCACTGCGCCTCGGCAAGATATCTAATCCGCGTCAATTCGGATTTGTGATTTGCGATTCATGATTTTTGGTCCGGTTTCCGCAGACGCCGGGTACGAGCCTACTGATACCATACCTCGCACTGCACCTACGAAGTACCTATCGCCCCCATTTGATGATGCCATCGATTAATGCAGCCTCGGAAATCGCGTCCCTGGTGCACCACCACTGACGCAGCTTTTATTCTGCGTCCACCATGTCCCCCAAACCAGGCTCGGTCGACAAGTTCGACACAGCCTGGCTGCAACGATCCAATTATTTCTCTCAAGTTTAAAGGACAAGAAAAGAGGGTTTTAATTCCACGCTTCCCCGACACGCCACAAGCCACCATCCACAGGGAACTCCGACCGGCATCCAGCATCAATCACGCTTCTCATTGATCACGCCCAATCTAATCACACGAAATCGCACGAAATCGATTACATACAGTATTGCTCCGTATGGTTCAGGCACAACCTACTGCAAGAAGCTTGGCCCTATCGGGTAGAGATCCCCAGTCCAGTTCTTCCCCCAAGCAATGTCTTACTTAAATCATGGGGGAAGAAATTGGGGGAATCTGAAAAAAGAAAAAAAAATCAAGCCGTTGTCACCAATAGCAAGGATTTTCATTTCCTCTTCGCTCAGCTCGTCCAGGGTTCCCCGTAAAATACCCCAGGTTCCGACGATGGAGGGTGGGCACAAACTTGGAGAAGGCACACGACACGACACGACACGACCTTCGCTGATTATGATTTACTGCGGGATGACGAGATGTGTTCGCGTACTTTTTCCCGAGATTCCGGGTTACTCAACATTTCACATCCTCGACTCAGATTTCCTTCGTCGGTGTGTCATCGCTTTTCCCGGCTTGGTCTGGGCACGGCGATGTGTGATGTGTCTTCGTGTTTGCGCGGGCCTTGCCAGACCTGAGATGATCTAAACGGTGGCTGTTCAGCTCTTCATTACTTCATAATATCTCCCCTTTCTCTATCATCCGCTCCCTTTTACTCGGCCTTCTCATCACCTCCACTCCCCGTCTCCTTCGCCTTCCCCTTGCCCTTTCCATCACCATCCTCCACCTCCTCGCCCTCCAACTCAATACCCTCCACAGCTCCCTCCAAACCACCCTCGCCACCATTCTTACTCTCCAACCCCTTCACCTGAGCCAAGAAATACTCCGCCACGTCCTCATGCCCGTTAAAGAGCGCCAAATCCAGCGCGACGTAGTTCCGATCGTTCGCGACAGCCTGCGTCGCCCCGTGCTCCTCCGCGAGCAACTTCACCGTGTCGAGGTGACCCCCCAGCGCCGCCCAGTGAAGGGCCGTGTTGCCGAACTCATTGGGCGCGTCGACGTAGGCTTGCTTTTCGGCCTTGGGCCGCGAGGCGAAGCGTTGGAGGAGTAACCTGACGGTTTCTGCTCCGCGGCCGCCAAAATCGTAAGAGCGCAATGGTTAGAAAGAAAGAAAAAAAAAATCAAGACGGACAAGATTCATATTATTGATGGCGGGGTAGGAGGGGCAGGGGTGTGTGCGAGTGCGCATCTTCTACCACTTACCCAGGTGTCCATTCCCCGTCGCCATGTGCAAACACGTAGATTTTCCTTCATCTTGAGCCGCTGTGATAATCTCTGCCTCTGATACCTTTTCCCGCGCTGCCAGTTCCTTGAGGCTGTCTTCGAGCTCTTTGTTCTCGCCTGCGCGGGCGAAGAAGATGAGATCATCGATCTCGTCTTCTGTCAACTTCGGCGCCATGGGTGTCTGGGTGCTGCTGTTTGTGTGTATGGCTTGTGAAAACTGAATGCTCCTGCTCTCGAATTTTTTTTGTTCCTTCTCTTTATGCGATTCGTTTTCGCTTCAGCTTCGTTGTTCGCCCAACTATTTTTTTTTTCGCAGATGATTCGGGTTGGTGGGTTGAAAGTTAGTTTCTCAAGTGGAATACAGTGTCGAAATTATTCCGCTGCTATCAGCGCACTGTCCTCTCTTTGGGCGCCCCCCGAGGTATTCAAATGGACTAGAAGTGTCCATAGGAGGGACTCTGGATATATTAAGATTAAAACACTTTTTCATATTTGTGCAATGGAGAGGTTGGCAATATTGCTTGATTATTGTGGTGTTGCGGTTCTTGAAACAGCCCACCCTATATCAAGCGCAAGCCGTCTGTCGACATACCCAGCAACATCCCCGTGCTCATTCATGGCCTGTATCTCGACCTTATAGCTCATCATAAGCATAGTCCGAAGCTCCCTCTGTACCTCTGCAACATCTATATCGTGTTCTTCATTGCTCGAGAGCTTATCAAGCAATTTCGTCGCTAGCCTGCCATCTCTCTCGGTGAGAGGTTCAAGCCGCTCCATGTTGAACTCGATGAATGCCCGACCGGAGCCACCACTTGGGGTGGCAAGGAGAGAGCCACCTTGACCCCCCGACTCTAGCGCATCCGTGTGGCTTGGAGAGAGCACTATGTCATCACTCTTGATCCCAAGCCACCGGAGCCGAGGAAGGGTAGCGTTCTGCTCGTGCCGAAGCGTGGAGGATCCCCACTTGTAGCATTTAAGAATATTGATACCGTCCGGGTCGAGGTCGACGAGAGCATAAATGGGCATCTCCGGACGTATATCGTGTATCATATGGAGAAACGACCGTGTTACAAGGTCAGGATATCCTTTACCCTAGGTCCCGTCACCCATCAGTGTCGAGCAGAGACTACTACGTTGCAAGCATCCTTACCGTTACCAAGAGGCCCTGTCCAAGGACGGAGTGTTTCTAATACTTCGACTTGGACATTGTTCGAAATGTTGCCTTGCCACCATACAGTTAGTTAGCTTATCAATCGTGAAGACGCCGAGCGTCGGAGCACTGGACACACCTCCTTTTCAATAACAAGAACCCAGCGAGTTGAGCCTAGATCTAGATGACGAATGCTGTTGGACGGGGGAATCATGCTCCCCTGATAGAATCTGTTAGAACGCAAGACATCCTTTTTGAGTTCGTCCATTCACTTGCCTCAAGGTTCTGCGAGGCATCGATAATCGCAGATCCACGCATGAGAATCTTGATGGGTCCCGATACCAAGCCTTTTCCAGCAGCGACCTAAATGTAGCGTGAGCGGCACTCTAGGTAGCGTCGTATGCCTTCACATTGACATACGATGCCAAGGTCATGACGACCGACTCCTAAGGTAAGGGCTAGCTGATCGACAAGCTGATCGACTCTTCCTTGGGAACCGTATAACCGAGGCTCTTCGTAGTAGAGGTTTCTATCAACTCCCCAAACCCGTCGCGACCACGTCAGTCCCACCACACTGGGGAGGAAATCATAAATATCAGGTCACAAGTAACAACGCTGATAGGCCATGCAAACCTTTTCGAGAACACACGTCCAGTGGTGAGTGCCGCATGCACTGTCTTGAGAAGGCAAAATATCTGGTCTTTGGACGTAGGTTAGATGGGAAGAAACTCAATAGTTCCTCTCATACATAGGACTCAAGGAGCAGCAGAGCAGTTTAGTTATTGAAGGCATACTGAATTTCGTCGCCTCTGCTTCGTTTCGTCCAGGAAAGGTTACGGTGGTGAGCACTTTCTGCCCCGTGGCGGTTCGTCTACAGAATGGGAGGGAAAGGGGCCGCGGAGGATTGTGAAGCTGAGGATCCGCTATTCCTTGCTCTAGGATGGTTTCGATTCTCAAAATGAGCTCGTCTGTACGGCGTGCCTGTTGAGAAGCTTGGAGGGGCATTCTTATTCGCTGGAACAACGGGGGAGCATCCATTGCTGATGATTAGCCTCGAGAGGATATGGATCTTATGAGGATTGATAGCATGATAATGGGGAGCATGGAGCTCAAGTGCAAAAGAGCAAGCAGCAAGGCCGATTCGGCATCAACTCCATATTCATCAATTTTCAGCCAAGCAATGGAAGTTGAGCCTCTCACATTCGTTCCTTTTTGCTGAGCTGAGCTTGGTTCCCGAAAAGGTAATTGTGCATTAGACAGCTCTACCGCATTATCGAGGCAGACTTGAAAATGTCCAAGCAAAGTATGCGATTATCGGGGCCTTGCAGGGTCTCGGGGCAATTTACGGACCCTCGAGCTTCACCGATTCCCCGTCGCCAAGGATGAAGGGAAAGCTCAACCCCTGCTCGTCTCAATTAATGGCCAATCGCTATTCACATGCTTCTTCTCCAGGTTGCCGCTTTCGAACCACTTCACTCAATTGACCGCCGTTGACCACAAGACACGGTCTTGCGATCCCACAAGCTCACAGAAGTGTTCAGTCCCTAGTCTCAGTCCAGCACCCATTCCATTGAGGAGACAATGGCCAGCGAACAGGTCAACGGGACGAAGCGCCGTCACGACGCCTCAGCTGAGAAGCCGTCCGAGAAGCGGGAGTTCCCGAAACGCCCGCGACTGGAAGAGAAGACCGATCTTATGAAATGGCGCATGAGGGACGACCAAGGCCGTTTGACCTGGCATTATTTGCAGGACGATGAAGCTGCGAAGGATTGGCCGCAGAGCTATGCCGACAAGTGGTATCTCGGCCTGCCAATGGTGAGTCTGGCTTTTCTCAGTTTAGCTTTGCCGCCTCTCAAGATGATCCTTTGGCATATTCTTGCACCTGAGTTGTAGAAGCGCTGACTTGTCCATTCTAGGATCTGCCTAGCCTACCACGGCCTCAGAACCCCCTCGACGCTGCTCGTAACGGCCTGACTTTCTTCGAGAAACTCCAGCTCACCTCCGGCACCTGGGGATGTGAATATGGCGGCCCAATGTTCCTCATTCCCGGCATTGTCATTGCGTGGTATGTCACAAAGACGCCGATCCCGCCTCATTACGCCACCGAAATCCGCAACTATCTCTTCGCTCGTGCCCACCCGGAGGATGGCGGTTGGGGCCTGCACATCGAGGGGGAGAGTTCCGTTTTCGGCACCGCGATGAACTACGTCGTGCTGAGGCTTATCGGCGTGGATGCCGAAGACCCTGTCCTGGTTAAAGCTCGAGGAACGCTACATAAACTTGGTGGTGCTGTTAATGGGCCTCATTGGGCCAAGTTCTGGCTTGCCGTGCTTGGTCTGGTGAGCTGGGATATCGTCAATCCTGTCCCACCTGAGATTTGGCTGCTTCCCGACTGGGTTCCAATCGCGCCTTGGCGGTGGTGGATTCATATCCGTCAGGTTTTCCTCCCCATGTCTTACATCTACTCCAAGAGATGGAGTTGTGAAGAGACGGATGTCCTTCGGGAACTTAAGAAGGAGATCTTTGTACAGCCGTGGGCGGAGATCGATTGGGAAGGTCACCGAAACAGCATCTCTCACATGGACAACTACCATCCCAAGTCTTGGCTTCTGCGGCTGGCAAATTGGTTCCTGGTGAAGGTCTGGAATCCTTACCTGCGGACCGAAAGCATCAAGGATTGGGCAGAGGCATGGACTAGTGAACTCGTGGATATGGAGGACGCCAACACCGGCTATGCTGACCTGGCGCCTGTCAACGCTCCGATGAATACTGTGGTCTGCCTTATTCGAGATGGACCCGAAGCTTACTCTACTCGGAGACATATCGAGAGACTCGAAGAGTTCCTCTGGGTGAAGAATGAGGGAATGCTCGTTAACGGAACGAACGGCGTGCAGTGCTGGGATACGGCATTTGCTATCCAAGCTGTTATGGCTGCTGGGCTGGAGACAGATGAAAGGTGGCGCCCGATGCTGACGCGAGCCCTCGAGTTCCTTGACACCCAGCAAATCCGCGAAAACTGCAAAGATCAAGAGAAGTGCTACCGCCAGCAGCGCAAGGGAGGCTGGCCTTTCAGCAACAAGGACCAGGGATATGCCGTTAGCGACTGCATTTCCGAAGCTCTAAAGTCCATCATCCTCCTTCAGAAGACTGAAGGTTACCCACAGCTTGTCGATGACCAGCGCATCTTCGACGCTATTGACACGCTACTCATCTACCAGAACGACACTGGTGGCGCCGCCTCCTACGAATGCCGTCGAGGCGGCGAATACATGGAAATGCTTAATGCAGCTGAGGTTTTTGGTCGCATTATGATCGAGTACGACTACCCCGAATGCACGACCGCGTGCGTTACGGCTCTTTCTCTATTCCACAAGCATTGGCCCGACTACCGAGGCGCCGAGATCGAGGCTTGGATCAAGCGGGCCGTCAACTGGATCAAGACGAACCAACGTCCGGATGGGAGCTGGTACGGAAGTTGGGGCATCTGCTTTACGTATGCTGCCATGTTTGCTCTGGAGAGTCTTGCTAGCATTGGCGAGACCTACGAAGCGAGCAAGTCGTCCAAGGCTGGCTGCGAGTTCTTGCTGTCTAAGCAGCGTCCCGACGGTGGGTGGTCTGAGAGCTACAAGGTAAGAAGATCTTCGTTCGAGGTTACGAAGTACCAACATCCTGCAAGAAATATGATATGCAGTCAGCTAACCAACCCGTTTCTCTCTTGCATTAATAGGCCTGCGAGGATATGACGTGGCACGAGCATCCGACTGGTTCGCTAGTCGTCCAGACAGCCTGGGCCCTCATTGGTCTCATGGAGGCCGGCTATCCTCACGTCGAGCCCATCCGAAAGGGCATCAAGTTCATCATGGACCGTCAGCAGGACAACGGCGAGTGGCTGCAGGAGGCAATTGAGGGGGTGTTCAACAAGAGCTGCATGATTTCGTACCCTAACTACAAGTTTACGTTTACGATCAAGGCTCTCGGGCTGTTTGCAAGGAAGTTCCCGGATGAGAAGGTGGTCTAATGCAGGGCCTTCTTCCCTTCATGTGAAGGCTCAGTTCAGGGTCGGGATTTCTTTTCGGGGTGATCGCTTCTTGGGATGGAGAGTACTCATAATGGATGACAGACGAGAATGGTGGGTATATATATATCACGATATCTAATAATTGAATGAAACTTGACACATCAGACCGACACTGGCATTCTCGTTGCCAGTTTAAGTCCGAAGAGCACTGGGGATGACCTCTCCACGCGAGGCTTCCGCGCAAGCTCGGCAAAGGTTCTGAACTAAGTCCAAGTTTGGCTTCAGCTTCCTCGAGCTTTCTCCGCACCAAGCGAAAATAGGAACCGAAACGACCGAAAAACGACCCAATTGCCTCTCCGCATCTTTCCCTTGCACCGAGGTCCAAATTGCGCAGAAAGTGCCCACATCAATTGATCACACATGTCCACTTAGTTTTTCCCTTTTTTTCCTTGGCTCCCCAGGAACGCCGCGCGACGAACCTATGATCTTTCCCCATTCCGGGCCGTTTTAGAACCGAGTTGTCAAGCTCGACTAGCCCCAGAATCGGGAGGCGAAGGGCAATCGCGCTTACACTTAACGGAAAATGGCGGGGTGGAATGAGCCCACCTGCCTGCACGATGGGAAAGATTTGCGGAGGGGCAATGGCACTTGCTTTAAAGCGTTCGGGGATGTCTCGTCTTTGGGGATTTTGATGAATGCCTTGGAAAGACGTCGCGTGGTGTTAGCTGACTTGGGAAGACAAAAACGACTCCATCTCCACTTTGATTATTTATTTATTTTATTTACTTTCCTTCCCTTCTTTAACCTCGAGCAACGACCTGCTGGCTGGGGCCTTGGAGCTTAATTGTGAGGTAGAGAAATTTGTCAATTGACCTTGACTCTCTCTCAATCGGGGAGAGTTTCTTTCTTGTCTTTCGAGCTTGAAACTCTGCGATCATCTCCCAATCCGTCATCATGATCCTCTCAACTGCCCGGGTCCTGCCGAGGGTCCTTGCGCGATCTGCCCTCCGCAGCTCAGCACCGACGAGGGCAATTCCAGTAGCAGCAATTGCTCTGACTCGCAGCCCGGCTCGATTTCTTTCGATTTCGTCCCCGCTTCGAACCCCACCAACCTCGGCAGCAGCTGCTTCTGCCTCGCCAGCCCGCACAACGACACAGCACGCCGATGCGCCGGCTTGGCTCCACGACAAGGTCAGCACGGCGTCGCTCTGGCTGCGCGACTCGTGCCGCTGCGAGATCTGCGTGAGCCCGTCGTCGGGTCAAAAGTCGTTCGCGACACCGGACATCCCCCAGGATATCCGGCCGCGCAGCGTGCGCGTGTCGCCTGATTTTGAGCTGGTGGTCGAGTGGGAGAATGATATCCCCGACGCCGCGGTGCAGGGTCACGTTTCGGTGTATTCGCCGGAATATCTCGAGTCGCTCAAGTTTAGGAAGGAATTGGGCCCCGGGGAGGCCAACGACTTTAACGTCGTGGATAGGACGGTGGCGTATAAGCCGTGGAACAAGGAACTCATCTCGCAGCATCTGCGATGGATCGATTACAACGACTGGATAAATTCCGAGGACGCCATGTGGCAGGGCCTCTTCGATCTCGAGGCTTTCGGTCTTCTTTTCATCAAGAACGTGCCCAAGGAGGAGACCTCGGTTTCGGAGATCGGGCTCCGGATCGCGAATCTCCAGGAGACGCTCTACGGAAGGACGTGGAACGTCGTCTCGAAGCCCGACGCCGAGAACGTCGCCTACACGAACTCGTACCTCGGCCTTCACGAAGATATGCTCTACGTCCAGCAGCCACCGCGCATCCAGCTGCTGCACTGCCTCGAAAACTCCTGCGAGGGCGGTGAGTCCATCTTCAGCGACGGCAACAACGCCGCCCTGACGATGATCAACGACCCCGCCCAGGCGAAGAGCGTGGACGTGCTGAGCAACTACCTCGTGCGATACCACTACCAGAAGCACCCTTTCTCTTACCGCCACGCTCGTCCCGTTTTCAACATCCAGACCGACGACAAGGGTAACAGCGAGCTCGCCAACATCTGGTGGTCGCCTCCCTTCCAGGCGCCGAATCCCCCTTACGGCCGCGACATCGATAACGTGGAGTACCGCACCTGGCACGCCGCGATGCAGACGTTCGAGGGCCTGCTGAACGCCGAGTCCAACGTCTACGAGTATAAGATGTCGCCCGGCGAGTGCGTCCTCTTCGATAACAGGCGAGTGCTGCACGGCCGAAAGGCTTTCAACACGGGCTCCGGGTACAGGTGGCTTAGGGGAACCTACGTTGCCGACGAGGATTTCAGGGCCAAGATGAGGAGCGCCGAGGAGTCTAGGGTGGAGGCGTATAAGAAGGAAAAGGGCCTGCAGGGCGCGGCGTCGAAGCTGAAGAATGCCGACGAGCTGATGGCGGGTTATGGGTCTTTGTTGAGTTGGCTGCGCACTCCCAAGAAGGAGCTTCCACAGGAGGCGCTGGAGGGAAAGTTGGAGTAGATATTCATAGTTAGGATGCTGAGATGGCCCATAGTATGAATTTAGCCTTTCCAACAATGTACTCGGTAGGGATCTTGAGGTCTTCTCGATTCCATGCCTCGGTCGAGCGGGTCGTCATTCAGAGCTCTGACCAACCGAGACGTGATTTCGAATGTCTGTTGCCTGGAGGTGTTAATTGCACTGTTTCGCACTGTAAAACATCCGTTGCAAGCTTGGACAAAATGGTAGGTGCGGGAGGAGCTATCAAGAACCCCTCGTTCCTTCCTCGAAACCAGAAGCTCCATTCCCACTCTTTCTCTGCATTCCAGACACTTCCATGAGCGCCCATTCCTTCTTCACACAAAAAATCTAATAGTTTTGTGCATAAACCCTAACTCCTTCTCAGCAATAAACACAAGACTTTATTTTGCCCCATTGTCAACAACTTAACAACTGCGGGAGAGATAGAAACATCATCCCCACATCCCACATTGCGGGCGAACAATCCAAGAATCACCTCCATCTGCTTCAGATCGAAGAAAACGACCGTCTTGAAACGATGTCCGCCGTCACCCTCGGCCAAGCCGGCCTCGACGCCGTCGAAAAGCGAGACTGGACGACTGCCATCCAGAAACTCACCCTCGCAATCGAGTCCTCCCCCTCGCCCAAGTGGCTCATCGCCCGCTCGACGGCCCTCAATGCCATCGGCGACTTCGAGAACGCCCTCACGGACGCAGAGCTCGCCTACCACATCGCCGCCGACCGCGGCAACCGCGCGCTCATGACCGACGCGCAGTTCCGCCGCGGCGTCGCCCTTCTGCGCCAGGACAAATACGCTGATGCTGACGCTTGCTGGGCCCTCACCATAGGAATGACGAAGGGCGGCAATCTTTCGGACGGCGATGAGTTCCTCAAGCGTGTTGACGAGGATGGAAATTATAATGTTACCGTCGAAGAGGTGGAGGAGGACCTTAAGGAGGGCTTTGCTCCGAAGCCAGCGCCTGGGAGCATGACGATGGAGGCCTTGAAGGGGAAGGATAGTGTGGCGAGTAAATTGTGGCATCGGTGCACTGCTATGAGGATTCGTTGCCTCAAGGATATGGCTAAGACTCCTGAGGACCATCCCGGTCGCAAGATTACTATTTCGAGGGTCCCGCCTCGACCTGCTGGACCTGCGAGGCTTCAAGTTGCAGGTTCTAGCTCGACGGAGGCTAAGAAAGATGCAGAAGCTTCCCTCGCCAAGGAGGCCGCTGCCGCGAAGACCGATAATTCGGCTGGCGCTGTTACACCGGCTCATGTCTCGAAGCCCGCGCCCCTCAGGGTTGACGCCTACGAGACCGATACCCACCAGACGGTCTCTATCTTTGTCAAGAAAGTTGATCCTGCCAGCTTCAAGATTGAGTGGCCTCAGCCGAGTCTGGTATGTTCATTTACATACCTCGTATACTTCTTTTTTTTTTTTTTTTTTTTTTTTTTTTTTTTCTTCGCATCCTGACCTCTTAACTAAACTGCTTTTCGTTTCCCTTAGATTACCTTGAAGTTCAACCACGGCGACACTTCCGAAGTTCTCACCCTCAAGCTTGCCGGCGATGCAATGCCGGATCAAACCACTTTCCGAGTCATCTCTATGAAGATTGAACTCCGAATCAAAAAGGTCACCCCCGGAAAATGGACTGTTCCTATGATCCAGGAGTCCTCCAATGACGCCGCCGAGCCCTCTGCCCCCATCAAAACCGATGCCGCGGGTCCCTCCGTGTCTGATGAAGACAACAACACGCCCTCCGCCACAACCACCCAAGCTCCCCCCGAGCCCGCTAAATCTACCCCCGCCGCTCCCAAGCCCTCAGGCCCCCCCGCGTACCCCTCTTCATCCAAAACTGGCCCCAAGAACTGGGACACCATCCTCCAGGACGACGAAGACGAGGATGCCGAGGAGGGAAACAAGGACCCGGATTTCTGGTTCAAACAGCTCTACGCGAACGCCACCCCCGAGCAGAAGCGCGCCATGATGAAGAGCTTTACCGAGAGTAACGGAACCGCCCTCAGCACCGATTGGGCTGATGTTTCTAAGGGCCCTGTTGAGACGAGGCCTCCTGAGGGAGTTGAGGCGAAGAAGTGGGGTGAGTAACTGGGCGACGGATGTACGCTGATGATGATGATGGATGGTCAGAAGAGTGGTGTTTGTAACAGTATGGAGTTCTTGTCTCCTTTGTTTTTTTAACGAGTTCACGTCCAAAAGTCGGGGCACGATACCAGGGTAGTCCCGAAGGCGTTTAACGGAGCCCTCATTTACGAGTACTTCAGATAGTTTCATCAGAAGTTATTTTTACACAAGTCCGATCAAGTCTTTTGTGACTTCTCATTCAAATCTTACAAGCGATGCGTCTAGTTGTGTCCCCCCAGATGAAAACACCAGATTTTGCTTTTGCATGTCCTCCCCAACGCCTGTGCGCCCAAGGGTATCCTAATGTTCCCGATATAAAATGCCCCAAATGCCCTACCCCAATTCTAGTACATGATTCATAGTTCAGGAAGAGTTACACAAAGGAAGGAGGATATTTTGCTTCCTCTCTAAGCTTTCCGCTCCCTATTAGGGTTAAACCTCTTCGCGATAATCTCGCGCACGGTATACAGCTGCAACACATCCGTGATACCCTTGTCTAGCGCTTCCTCAAAGACAGGCGGAGGAGGAATGTCCACATAGGCAAGCACAATAGTCTTGAGTACGTTCGCGAGTGTGCGGCTCACGCGGTGGAACCACGCCCAATCTTTCTCGGGGCTGCGGTGTCCATGCTCCTTCCACCAGGGATGAGAGTATGAAGGCATGACTATGATGCCGTACTGGGCGTGGTCAAAGGCCGGGCCCTTGAAGTAAAGCAGCCAGTCGACGCCGAACTTGATACCGGCGCGGGGTACCCAACCAAGAGAGCGGAAGTGATGGTAGATGGTGTAGTCAAGAAGGAATCGATCGTCGGGTCGGAGGACTTTCGCGGCCGGTCCTTCTTGAGGGGGAATGTAAGAGTAGCGTCTGAAGAGTTCGAACAGATCGCGAGCGGCGATGGGTTTTTGGGATTCTTCGTCTATTACTTTGAGGGCTCCCAAGCCGAAGGAGAGGAAGAAGGCTTCTTCGCGCGTAAGTTGCAAGTGTTCCTTATCGACGAGCTCGCCCAACTCCTCAGATATTTGTTCCTTGGAAGGAATTTGATCCTTGTCATCGGTATCCCGCGACTGTTGTTCCTCAGGAGAACTGGAGAGGCCATTTGATTTGACGTGCCCATTTCCATTCAGCGCCGCAAGCTCAGGACTGGGGGGAAGGGAGAGATCAACAGTGGTAGACTTGACTTCCGGCGAGAACCGAACGCTCTTCTGCCGCTTCACAGCCTGTCGTGGCGGGGTCCTTGGTGGGGAACTCGGCTCCTTGTCGCCGTTAACGATTTCTTGAGGCTTTACCAAGGAGCCGTTGGCATGGGCGTTGACGTCCGTGGCGGCGCGAGGCGAGGATGGTTCTGCTTCTGCCACTTGGCCGTTGCTCACCTGGGCAGGCTCGGGTGTAGGTGTGGTAGGTACTGAATTGGGGAGTGCCAAAAGCTCCAGAGGCCCAACGGGCGAGAATGAAACCGTCTCTTCCCGAGCTTCTCGGAGCTCGGCTTCCTCAGGTTTCGTCTCTCCTCTCACGGGGGCAGGCTCAGGAGCGATGGGCAATGAATTAGGGAGCGCCAAAAGTTCTAAAGGTCCAACGGGTGGGGCAAGCTCAGCAGGCTCAGTAGGAGTGGTAGGTAGCGAATTCGGGAGCGCTAGAAGTTCTAAAGGACCAACAGGTGGGGCTATAGCATTCTCTTCCCGGGCCTCTCGGAGCTCTGCTTCTCGTAGTTGTGCCTCCCGAAGTCTTGCTTCCTGGAGTTCTGCCTCTCGGAGCTGTGCCTCTCGAAGTTGGGCTTCCTGAAGTTTTGCCTCCAGCTCTGCTTCTCGGCGTTCTGCTTCTCGGCGTTCTGCTTCTCGACGTTCTGCTTCTCGACGTTCCGCTTCTTGGTGTTCCGCTTCCCGACGTTCCGCTTCCCGAAGTTCTGCTTCCTCACGAAGTTTAGCTTCTCGCAACTGAACCTGGCGCAAAGCCTCCAATTCAGCCTTTGCCCTTTCCCACTTCTTCGCTTTGCGTTCTTCCCGCCTCTTGGTAGTAATGAGATGGCTGACGTGGGCTTCCACCAGCCCTTGTCTCACTTGCTCCTGTCTGAACCATTCTGGTTCACTACGGCTGAGATGGCCCTTTCCATAAAATCCCTGCTCCCACAAGGCTCGGATCGAAACGGCATCTTTCACTAGAACTGCCCCAAACTGAGGGGACCAGATGCCTTCGTGCACAGCGGCCGGTTCTCGAGGAGTGAAAATAAGCTGGTTCACCCAGGCGTACACTAAGTGAACAAGAGAGAGAGGGTTGCTAGGGTAGAAAGCAGGTAAAGGGAACGTCCGAATTGGGACGGGCAAGGCATGGAGCTGGTGCAGATCCGCCTTTGTCCGTTTGGAATTAGGCGCCCTGGGAGCTACTGGAACACCCTGTCGCTCGGAGTTGGCGGAGGACGGAGCCTCATGATGCGCCAAAGGTGAGGGTGAAATTTGCGTTGCAGCCATGTTGAGGCTAGATCATTTTTGGAGATATTCTATTGAGTTCGAGGTTAGCTTGTGCTCCTCCTGCTCATCGCTGAATGAGGTCTGGAACAATAAATTGACATGTGTCCCAATCCCAATTGCTCAGATACCGTTGTAGTCTATATGGTTAAGCAGCCATTGAGATAGAAGTGAATCCGTTTCTCTCTGCACCAAAAAGGTCGTCATCACCGCAAGCTTGGGAAGGGAATGGGAAGCGAAGATTGCACGTGGGAATTGTCGGAGCTGCGGCAATTACCTACCAGTAAAAAGGCTACTCAGCCTGGACAAGGGAGATTCAATCCATTCGTACAAGAACAGAGAAGTCAGTGTTAGTTCTCGAGACGGGGGAGAAGCGAGAAATGTTCAACTCGTGGAAAAGAGTTGAAGAGGGCCATTAAGTATTGAAAGATGAAGGAGAGCATCTGAGCTCCATAACTGGAAAAGTTTTTTTTCCCTTGATCTGCGGGCCTTGTAAGATTGTGACCAGTGACCAGGGTCCAATAGCGAGGCTAGCAAGCAGCTTTTAGTCGTGGACTTCTCGGAGAAAATGCGGGTGTTGGCGGATGAACGCTGGGCAGAGTTGTACCTGTATGAGATTAATAAGCCAGTGATTTGCGAGCTGCTCACAACTTAAGCGGGAGCAGACAACCACCAGCTGTCTGCGACTGTCTTGGAAAACTACCAGTGGACTATGTAAAACATGAGTGAGGGTACGAAGTACTATGACCTGGTTCCAAACATTTTACGACCAGCGCCTTTTTTTTTTTTTTTTTTTTTTTTTTTTTTTTCTCTGTCGTGGAATTGGCGGGGGAGCCACTCTGACCCGGATACCCCGGCCTTGCCTTGTCCTGCGAAGCGGCTTAAAACCACCATCTTCGCTCTTTCCGTAGATCCGTCGCCATGTTGAACATCTTCAACCGTGCGCCCTAATTCTTCGCCGTATCTCGAACACCCTCTTTTCCGACCCGAAAGCTAGAAGCATGACATCCACTCTTTTCGACATCGTTACGACCTAATACCACTGTCATGTCCTCTGTCGTCGCGCTCGTTTTCGCATACATAGCTCTTATATGGGCTGTAGGCATCTTCTTCGTCCAAGTTATTGGCCTCAGCCGACTGTAAGCCAGCCTCGCTGTCAATGGCGTCCTGACGTTCTCCGAGCTGCGATCGAACTAACCCGAATCTGCGTTTCCTTCGTACATTAGGCTCCGTTTCTTCACCTCCCCGCCGCCGCACCCCCCTGTGTCTCCAACTTTGACCCACGAGCGCGTGCCCCATGTAACCATCATCCGCCCCGTTAAGGGTTTGGAACCCGAGCTATACGAGTGCATCGCCTCGACCTTTCGGCAGGATTACCCCACAGACAAGCTCACCATATATCTCTGCGTTGCCGAGACGCAGGACCCCGCTTATCCCGTCCTGACGAAGATCGTCAAGGACTTCCCGCATTTCGATGCTTGCGTGTTCGTCGAGGCCGACGATCCTCTGTTGCACGGCGAAGATGGGCATATCAACAACCTGGGGCCGAACCCCAAGATTCGGAACATTAGCCGCGCCTACCGTGAGGCAAAGGGAGACATAATATGGATTATAGATTGCAATGTGTGGATCCCTCGGGACACGACCGGTCACATGGTTGACAAGCTGGTTGGGCTTGGGCCTGACGGACAAGCGGTTAAACCGTACAAGTTTGTCCATCAGATTCCCTTGGTGGTCGACATCACGCCAGAGCTTCAAGGGCGAAACACCACCGATGCGCAAAGCCTACTTTCCTCTTCCTCCGACGGGGACGCCTCCACGTCGTCTGCGGCGCCCCTCGCGAAGACGCCATCTACCAAGAGCCGATCGCTCATCCAGCGGTTACTCGAGCACGGCGGTGGACGACTAGACGAGATGTTCATGTCGACGACTCACGCAAAGTTTTACAGCGCCATCAACACCGTTGGCGTCGCACCTTGCATAGTGGGCAAGAGCAATATGTTCCGGAAGTCGCATCTTGATATGCTCACTGATCCAGCCCAAAACCCGAATCTGCCTAATGACCGCGAGCACCCTACTGGGATCGACTATTTCTCATCCTACATTTGCGAAGATCATCTCATTGGCGACCTCCTTTGGCGATCCAAGATTCCCGGCTTCGCCAACCATGGATTCGTCCTCGGAGACTTCGCCATCCAGCCCATGGATCGCATGTCTGTTGCGGCTTATATCGCACGCCGAGTTCGATGGCTACGCGCCAGGAAGTGGACGGTCCTTGCCGCCACCCTTGTGGAGCCAGGTGTAGAATCGCTCCTGTGCTGCGCGTACCTCTCCTTTGCGCTCACCACGGTCCCATGGTTCAACATCAACCTCGGCATACGTAGCACATGGAGCGCCATGTTCATCTCCTGGATTTGCGGAGTTTCCGTTTGGATGATTGTGGACTGGTATCTGTTCAACAGACTCCACACGGGAGGAACTGTCGCTGTTGATCAGGACACTCCCTTCTTCGCGAAGGGCACTTCTCGCGCAGGAGGTGTTCCTAAGCGCAACTTTTTGGAGTGGCTCACTGCCTGGATCGGCAGAGAAGTCCTCGCCCTGCCGATCTGGACGTGGGCCGTACTTCTCGGCGCCACTATAAACTGGCGCGGAAACAATTTCCGCGTTCGCATGGATATGAGTGTCGTTGAGACGGACCCAGTGCGACCCACGGCAAGAAGTCGAAGTCCGCGCACTTTGACACCAGAGATTGAACTGGGTCAGTGTCGAAGGGGTAAGAATCGGGTAGATTGAGGAGGTGGATGTGTTATTTAATGCCTAATGTTTTAAGATCTTATTTTTTCCCCTTTTACTCTTGGGTATTATTTCGGGGCCATTGATACCTTTAATAGAGGAGGCGTAATCAGAGTTTTGGGGGAGGGGAGAATTTGGGGCAGAACGGATGTCTTTATGGTCAATGTTGTTATGTCGGATATTTACCTGAGATGTTTGAACCCTGTGTCTATGACTTGTATATCAGAAAGAGAGAAAAAAAAATAGTCCTAACCAACGCCTTCGTACTCCGGGATTGATAATTGATCTATCATGCACTTGCAATTTTTGATTTGGTAGTAGAACGGCCAGCCGCCTTGAGCTCAAATCATAAAGAGATCAAGGGCGCGTCCGGCTCGTCCGGCTCATCCGAGTCCAGATCGGCTTCACCCAGAGGCACCTCTTCCTCTTCCTCAACCTTCTGTTCCGGCGCCCGAATAAACAGCAGGCAGATACGGGCAATAGTACACAAGCCCGCGATGTAAAGGAAAGGCAAACCCTTCCAGCGTCCACCTTTATCCTGGCCGATCTGGAAACACAACGCCAAAACAGGCCCACCGAAAAAGGACCCCGCTGTCTCGACGATATTGACGAGAGCCATGAGTCGCGACGTGAGTCGCGACTCGACATAATGCGTCAGAAGAGCGCGGGCGAGAGGGGTATACGCGGCTCCGAAGGTGCCCACGAAGAGGCCGAAGAGAAAGACGCTGATGAAAGGGCTGAACCCTTCGATCAGGGCTCCGAGGGCAAGGAAGGTGAGAGAGAGTCCGCCCAGGAGGTAGTCTTTCTGGAAAGGCGTCATTTTGAAGCGAGAGACGAGAATGTCGCCAATCTTGGGAAGGCCGCCCAGGACGGCGATGGTAAGAATCCCGAGCGGGGAGAGGAGATAGCTTGTTTGTGCGATGTCCCAGCCGAATTCCTTGCTGACGTATTGGACGAGAGTCATGGAGTACGCGACGCCGAGGGGGTTGCTGATGAAGAAGACGACGAGGATGAGGGTGAGGTTCGTGTTTCGTAGTAGAGGGAATGATTCGCGGACTTGTTTGAGGGATTCGGTGATATGGGTCTTAAGCCAGTCGGCGAGACCTTGGTCCTCGTCGTCATCTTCAGATGGCGTCTTGCGCTGGAGCGTTTCGGGAAGGAGGAACATGAGTGCAATCACGAACGGAGACATTGCTGCGACAACGTAAATCGGTACCCAAGGATGGAAGATCTCCATGAGGATACCCGAGATGAGCGGCCCGAGCAACCCGCCTGTTGTCGCACCGATCATGAGGAGCAAGAAACTCGATCCCCTTTGATGGCTGGTCAGCATCTTGCGCAAGGTTAATGGGGCATAGTGAAAGAGAGGTAGCGTACCGGTTCTCCTCCACAGTCACGTCAGTAGCGATCGCGTACAACGTGCTCATAGAAACCGGTATTCCCCCGCCAAAGGCTTGGAGGAAACATCCGATGAGCATGTAATACGGGTTGAAATCCCGAAAGTAGTGGAGATAGATGGGCGACGTGGCGAACGAGAAACACACGCCTCCGTAAGAGAAGATTAAGACGGGCTTCCGGCCGATCCTTGAGAAAGTCAGTATTGATCTCCTTCCACAAGGAGGGACACTACGCTTACCTGTCGGCAATTGATCCGTAGGGTAAAGCAATGACGACACCTGTCATCCCCGTTAGTATTGCTGTGTAGGGCAAGGGGGGGTCGGAACTCGAACGTAAGAGAACCATTGAAGAAAATACTCACCTACGATGCCGTTTACCAGTGCAAACCACCCGAAGAAATAAGCCAGCTTCTTCTGGACCCCATCATCCTTACACTTCCTCTCATCCAAGAACCCCGGAGAAGTGTCATTAAAGTGCCTGTGACAAAACACATCTTCCAGAATTCTAAAGAACGGAAGCATAATCAACGTGCCGCTGATAACAATGAGAAACTTGAACAACGCCGCCAGCCTCAGCACGGCCTTTGGAGACGACACCTGCCATCTCTTCGACGAGATGAGCTTGGGCACAGAACGACTCGTCGCGGTGCCATTGGGTTCCGCACCAATGCGCGTGTCGGTGCTACTAGAGTCGTCTGCGATGAGCGGGAAGCCCTCGACGTCGTGCCCTCTTTCCCACGCCATGGCGAGAATATTCTGGTTTGAGAATGAAAAGGAGAAAAGAAACGCAACGGACCCCCTTCGCAACGATCGGGGGACGACAACATTTAATACGACATATACGAAAGCTGAAAGCCTCGTTTCTTCATGACGTTTCGGGGCTGTGTTTGGGGATGACTAAGCGTATTGTCTTGTTCCATCATCGCCAGAATCAATGCTAAGAAACGTCGAGTCGCATCGCCAAGAGGAAAGAAGATGCACACTCAGGACCAGTGCTCCTCGGTCAAACTTCTTCTTCTTCGTAAGTATAAATAGTCAAGTAAACCCTCTACGTCCATTTTTTTTCTTTCATATCCTCAATCGTCAGTGTTAAATGGGAGAGCCTATCCGCGAACCATGCGCGTCTGGACACACCCTCAAGTTTGGGAGCTTCAGCTCCATCCCCGGCCAGAGCATTTGCTTCGCGGACTGTCGGAAGTCAGAGACAGTATACGTCCTGTTCTCGCTGAGGCCGCATACCCCGACGCATCACCGTCATTTTCGCCGCCACCGCCCGTGAACCCGCCTGTGCGAGCACGTCGTCGTCGACGTCAAAGGGCGCCCCCAGGTTCACATCAAACTTCACATCGAACCTCACATCCTACTTTACGTTTACATCCTACCTCACGTCCTACTTCACGTCCTACTTCACGTCCTACTTCACGTCCTCCTTCAGGTCCCTCAGGTCCAGCCTCGCCTCTAAAGTCATTCCCGCTCTTTCCGCGACTGCCAGTAGAACTCCAGTTCATCGTATGGAAGTTCTCTCTAAAGCCGCGAGCTTTTCGAGCAATGTTTGCCCCGACTCACGGACTATTGAGGCAGCTAAACGACACGCAGGAATCCTCATGGCACGTGTGCGCCCCCGGCGATCTCTTGGTTAAGTATCATCTTCGTCGTGCATGGGATATTCCCCAGCTTAAACTTTGCAGCAGCTCGCGCGCCGCGGCCATCTCCGTCTACGGACAACCGCACCCCAGCACTCTACCTTTCAACCCTTCTTTGGACGTTCTGCAGATAGTCATACGTGGTTCGACTTTCCCAGGTCGAGCGCCCGAGACTGGCGATGCGTATCCTTTCGGCTTCAAGCTCGGAACCACGACTGCCTCCGTGACCTTATCCAAGATTGCTATCGACGGCAATCAATCCTGGGGCTGGCGATGTCCTTATTATCCCATACCTAAAAACCCGTGCTGGGCGAAATTCTCGAAGCCCAGTACCCGTTTTCGCAACGTCGAGCTTTGCGTCTAGGCGACGAGGCTGCAGGGGCAGTTGAGACCTGACATTTTGGATCAGGCTCAGCATCTGCGTAGAACTTTCCCCCAACTTGAAAATGTCACCCTCGTCTTTTCGAAAAGGGGGAAAGCGTCCGACGGTGCAAAGTTGCCCCGCGGGTTCCGATTAATGTTTGAGCAGTGGTGCGAGTCGATGCTGGATGTCATGAGGGGGAGCGAAGATGTCTGGCCTCACTTACAGGTCTTGCGTCTTGCTAAGCATGTGATACAGCACCCATACCCATAATTCATTAAAAATTAAAAGGAGAAGAAGAGAATTTCCGCGCTAGGGATACGGCGCCTCCCTCGGCTCTCACACTGGGGTCTACTCTTTCGAGCCTTGCTTTCCCGGACATGACGAGAAGTTTGGCTGAAATTGCCTTGAGAGGACTTCGATCACGTACTACGAGTCTGGCCAAGTGGCACGTCCCTTGAATCGGCCCTGCCTTCAACAATTCCTACGACTGCCTTGCTTTCTTTCGTCACGTCTTCCAGGTCTTGCACACGTGGTCTCGTAGAGTTGCACAGATCGCTTCGATTGCGATCCCTCGATTTTCCGGTAACGACAGTCGCTTCTTTTGAGTAGCTTATGGTAGAATAACGTACATGAATAGAATTCAACGACAAAAACTTGTTCTCTAACAGGATCAATGACATTCTTTCCCATACATTTTGTAAACAGAATCGGCAATATCAGCAGTTTCATCCCATTAGCGTCCGCTATCCCGACTCTTTCTGCACCAGACGTCTCATAATCCCCCTAATCCCCCTAATCCCTTTACTTCTCCCCTATGGGAAACCACCACCGCCACCACCGCCAGGGAACCCAGGGAATCCACCACCTCCTCCAAAACCACCGCCGAAGCCGCCGCCAGCACCACCGGGCTGCACAGGGCCTGTGGGGTTCTGGTGGCCACCAGTTTCGTCCTTGTACGCGGCGGGGTTATAGTTCCTCGAAGCGGAGACATCGACGCCGAACCGCATCCAAGCAAAGATGCCGTTCTCGATGTCGTCGCCGAGCTGCGCGTAGCGGACGATGGGGTCGTCGCCTCCGGAGGTGCCCTGGCCGAAGAGTATGTCGACGTTGTTGCGGGTCCAGGCTTGGGTGTTGACGGCGTAGACGGAGGTCTTTTCGACGAGTTCGAGGAGCTCGTCGTCGAAGTACAGCTGGCCGATGTGAGAGACGCGGCCGCCAGTGATGGTGCCGTTTTCTAGTTTGGTGGCGCCGTGGTGGACCATGGCTGACGGGGGAAAGTGTGGTGTTAGAGTTCACTACTCTGCTCACCGGAACGGGGGACAGTTACTTACCGTGGACATGGTTGGTACGGCCCTCGTAATGGCCAGGAACAAGAGTATCGAAGAGGGCAATTCCGTCGGAATCCGTAGGCTGAAGACCACGGAGAGCAGTGGCGTTGATGATGGACTCGTCGTTCGGGTCACCATTGCCCGGATAGTACAAGACACCACCATAAACACCCTAGAAAATCTCAATGTTAATTTCCGTTTATCAAAATTCATCGGGGAACAGTTGTCGGGTTTTATGTCGCAAACTTACAGTGGAGTTACAGCTCCAGAGATCGATCCAGAGATCGGGCACGGGTTCGCAGGTCTCAACATCAACAACCTGGATAGCCAACCTCATCTTGACACCACCCTCACCATCGGTGACATCCTTTCGGACCTGCTCGCCACGGACGTCTAAGTCGTGTAAGTCGACGCTCAAACGACAATGGCTGTTATCATTCATAAAGAAACTTACAGAGAGGGCCTTCGGTCACCTCAGGGGACAAGACACAAGAGCCGGCATCGGCAAAGAGCTCAACAGGATCCGTCTCCAGGGTGATTTCGGAGTCGGACTTGTGGTTCGTGCCGAGAACCTCCTCGATTCTAGCGGGATCACCACCTCCGAATCCGGGGAAACCACCAAACTGTCGGCGGTGGATGGTTGGCCTAGAGGGTTTTTCGGACGGGTTAGTTGTTGACACCTTTACGCTCTCCGCCTCTGGCACCCCACTGCCAAGACTCCCGGTCGTCTTATCACTCATGCAGTCGCGGGATCCACCGCACGGTATATGTGAAACGACCTATTCATTTTCACACTACTTTTCTCATCCAAGAAAGGGATGTGTTGTAACCCGAGGAGAAAATGGGGGGAAGGAGGAAAACTTACACATGCTCGAGACCGCGCTCCTTCTTCAGATTGTCAACCTCAGCCATATGCCTTTCGGCGGCCCTCTTGGAGATACCGCTCCTCTTAAAGTGGGCGTTGCAGTGGCCAAGACCCCGGGGAAGTGGCTTCGCGGCGTGCTGTGGCTCGACGGATCCGTGGGGATGGGCGAGCACCAGCGGTGCAGCAGCCATAAGCTGCACCAAGAGACTCTTGAGCTGCATAGGTCTGATGGATCACGGGAGGGAGATGGTTAAGACGAAGAATGGAACCCACACACAACAACCCGAGTAGGGTGGAGAGGACGAGGGATTGATCTGGAGATGAATACGAGAGAAGAGGAGAGAAAGGACAAAGACATTCCTCGATGGAGGCAGCGAGGTTATACTTCTTTTTCTATACTTTTTGAGGAACAAAAAGTGGTTCCGCCACCGACGCGGCGACGGCCGCATCGAGATCACTATTGACAGTATCACACATATCACGCGCTACTATACGCCTGCGATATTTTCCTTCGAAAGGCCTTGCATATAGTTGGATCAATAAAGCATCCATCTAAGAATGGACCCATCTTAGTGATTAAAGGAAACACAACTGTCGTCAGCTTCGAACAATCCCGGGATTGGCATCCTTGACAGAGCGTTTGCAATACGTTGGCTGTCATTAGTGCAATGGCGGCTAAAGTGGGGGAAGAGCCGGAACTTAGGTCAAGGGGTCTTGGTCTCGCTATTTTGCGGGGAGAAAGAGGATGCAAGGGTCAAGAAGGTTTTGTTTACCCATATTGAGAGATGACGTTTCTGTTCGAGACGAGGCAGTGATGGGGGCTTTGAGGTAGGGGGGCAGGTGGAAAGAAACTTTTCTCGACGTGCATTCCGGTGTCACGGTGACATCGCGGAGCATATCTTGATGAAGGACGGGCCCGCTTACCGGGGAGGTTATCCTCTCCTATCACTGATGATGAATTACTAAAGGATTCGCGGATGGATGGCATCGGGATTGTGGGTGTGTTGTCAGGTTGCATCATGCAACATTGGGCGTGCTCTTCACGTATATTGGGAGAGAACCGTGGAAGGTCATTAGAAAGAAGATGAGTATAAGGACTCTTGGACCTTCGCCACCGGGGAACAGGTCAGGTTGTTTCAATAGTCCCAGCACCGTTCGTCCTCCGGGCGGCGAGGCGACTCTGACAGTCTGACGCCGTCCTTCATATCAAGTGGACCCGTCACCTGCGGAGAACTTCTACAAATCGATCTTCATTCCGGACGAGTGAGCACTTGTGATTCCAAGCGTAAGTCGGCCATGGTCGGGGTGCTTCCTTCGGCGGATGGCCAATCCTCTTTCTCTCTCCATTCATAGTTATACCATCTCTAAGCGCATATCAAGACGCTCGGAAAAAGCCTTAAGAGCAGGCGGCCCCCGCGAGAAGCTCGACAATGTTCTCGAAACAGAGCGGAAGCCAATATCAGGCCACAATCCTCCCAAGAATCCGTTTTAGGATGGAAACAAAGTACAATCCCATATGGTACTCCCCAGCTTACGTGGAACGTTAATATCGAGGCGATGGCGAGGGACGGCAATATATTCATAGCTGGCATTTACTATTAACTTCGGCATCTAAAGGGGTGGGCAGGGAAATATTGATGGCCAATCGGTTGGTTGCGAATACCAACCAAGACTTCCCATTCGTAAAATCGGAAGAATTGGATCACGATCCTCCACCGGGGTCGCATAACGCACAGGAGTTATGGAGATGGCGATATAATATTGATGCTTTTTGTAAAATTTGGGATCACATCTTGGCCCATAACTTGTCGTTCGTTGATGGACACTTGGTCCGCCAATCTCCGTTCCCCGAACTTGACACGAGAGCATTCGACCGGAAATCCCATGCGCGGGCGGAAGATGCTTCCCCGGTGAACAAGAAAGCCTCAAATGAGGCTTTACGTCTGCGTTCGGCGGCTAATATCTCCTCAAGCTGGTACCATGGCTTTCGTGTCTAGCATTTCTGGACAAAGCCCAATCTGAAGAGGAGGAATTCAAGGAGTTTCTGTACGAAGCCAAGTTCGTTCCGCTTCCACCAGTCAGCACTTCTCCGTCTTTGTCATCGGGTGTCTGTCACATTGTCCTGTTGGAGTGCCGTGGCCGTTGCCGTTGGCGAGGGTCTTGAAATGAGTTGTTCATGAGCGCTTTTAGCCTTGAAACTTAGGCATAGCTGCCCAGGACTTCTTTGATTAGCTAATCAATTATATTCCTTCCTTTTTTTGCGACTTCGCAATCCCTTCTAGCTTTGGACTTCATGAAGACCTTCATCGACCACGGTCTATAAGAGAACGGCGCTTTTTATCATGGAAAAATAATGTGGTTGAGACTCTCTCTCTCCTCCAAAATTTTGTATTTCGATCCACATACTCTCGGAGTGATAAATATTTCAAGCTTCAAATTAAATGCAGTGCCAGGTTCGACCAGAGACCACAACAACACACCAATCGCTTGCTCATACCCATGTCCCAGAAAGAGAGTTATTTTAAGCCTGCTCAAACAAACTCATCGTGAATGTGCTGATTATCTACGAAGAAGTTGTGGTTCGACTTGTTGTTTTGGGAGGAATAAGCTTAGGCCGTGGTCCTGGATCCGCGAGGTCGCCGAAACACCCCTCGTTACAGAAATGTGCGCAGCGCAGCGTTATCGCAAGACAACCTGTGGAGGGGAATTGAACATGGGATGAGCCAGCGTTTCAAAGCCCGCGTGGCGCTGGGGCGGTGACCTCGTCATCCAGGACACTTAAAATATCCAGTAGGGACCTTCTCGTCGAGGTTGGTCTACGTTTTTTTTTTTTTATTTCTGCAAACTGAAACCTCGACCCACCAGCACGGTCGGTAGATGCAGTTCGAACACTTCCATCTAGCTCAGAGTCCGGAAATCAATCAGGTGGGACTAGGCAATAACCTCGAAGATGGCGAAAGGACCATATGAGCAGCTCCAGGCGGCTGAGGATGTCCACGATGACTCGAGCTCGGATGTGACGATACCTTTCATGGACGATGAGGACCCCATGCAGTGGAAAGAAGGCTATGATGGACCACCCAGAAGTAGGAAAGCCAGGTTTCTTTCGGCCATTGAGAAGTTGAAGCCAATTCGGTGGCTTATGGAAATCGGCCTCGTCATCACCGTCGTCGTCCTCCTCGTCCAGCGGCGGCAGAGCACTTACGACTCCCAGAAGCCAGAGCTGGCGGGTGATATCACTGGGTTCGCTCCGAGATGTATGTTAGTGAAGCTCCGAGCCTGTTTCTATGCAACTGACACCCTTCCAAGTCTCCCAGAAGATCGTCACCTTTGAATTCAACGACGAGTATATTCCCATACATACCGCCAAGTTTTTCAGAGCGAAAACGCACAGGAAATGGCTAGATCTCGTACCGAGTATGTTTTTTCAGTGCAGAGTGAAATTGGACATGCGGATCGCCGGATTTGGAAGCGAGACTAACAGCATGTCAAAGAGGGCCTCGGTTTCTTGGAGATGCAGAATCCAGAAGAATATGACAACCTTCCCGTCCCGCTCGACGACTTCGTGAACAAGACCGTCTTTACGACATCCATGACCCATCAACTCCACTGCCTTGTACGTCTACACAGTTATTGATTTCGGTCGGTCATAGCCTTGGGGAAGCCCCAGCTAACCCATTTATCAACAGCACTCCATCATCGACTCGTACACTCGCCTTTCTTTAGATTGGCAAGTAAAACACAACGAGTGGCATGTCCAGCATTGTTTCGAATATCTTCGCCAAAGTATCATGTGTTGCGGCGACGTTGCCCTCGAGGGCCAAGAGACTACGTTCCCCGAGGGCGAGCGCGGCGGCAGTGACGGGTGGGGAGCCCAGCACGTCTGCAAGGACTACGACGAGATTTACGAATACCTGGAGGCTGCGAGGGCGAACGATGAGGTGTGGATTTAGAGGCGACACTATCTAGAGTATGAGCCGATAGGAAAATATGGAAGATGGCCGGGGAAAACAATCTTATGCTTGGTATGGTTGAAAGAGGTCAGGCTCTCCTGGTGTCTCATCTATCCTAGAGTCTATCCTAGAGGAGAAAGAGTCGGGACTGGCGTTTTTGGGGCGTCTGTTTGATTTCGTGGGAATTTGATATATAGGCTGCGGGAAACGGGGCGTTGGGTGGTTGGTTCTAGCCTCAATAGAATGGCTCGAGGCATTTCCTCGTATATCATATCAGCGATGAACTTCTCCAAACAGATCAGTATGTTGTTTACTTCCCCAGGTTTAAGAAAGTGTATTTCAGAATGCCTTACTCTCCGTTGGAACCGGAACACGGTTCCGCTCTCTTCACCTCACTTGGGGGTCAACATTCCCAGTTCACGGGCCAATATCTTAACGGCTAGCCAGCTCTAGGTGGTAAAAGCTGTATACGAAGTAAATCTCAGAATTAAAAGTTGTGTACGATCCGAATAAAAACACCTGGTAAACCACCATGATTGGCAGACAGCGTCTCCAATCATGCCCTTTTATACCTCCTATCTTATCGCCTCATCCGTCCTCAAAAACGCCCTCCTGCCTATTTCCCAAAAGGCGAATCCGGAACTCCGGTCGGCGGTGCAGAGCCACCTCCACCAGGGGCCGTGACAGTGACAAAGCTCGTCACGACAATAGCCGTTGGAGCACCCACGCCGAATTGCGTCGTAGTGACTCTACCATCATCAGGTGAAGGAAGATTCGGGTTACCGCCACCGACGATGGGAGGCGAGTCGATGATCCGGCCATCGGGGATGTCGTCCAAGGGGGGTTGGTCAGGCTGGTTGGGTTGGTTGTTGCCCGGCGGGAACTGATTATTGGGAGGCTGTGGGAAGCCATCATCAGGAGCGTCAGGGGAGTTGCCAATTGGACTGTCAGGAACTCCCTGGAAGGGGGGATCAGAGGATCCGGAGGGAGGATCGGGGAAACTGGCAGGAGGATCAGGGAGGTTGGCGGGAGGAGCAGCATCTTCCGGCTCCTCAGGATCGGTATTCTTGTTAATTACCTCGCCTACTTTGAGACATTGAGAATACCATTCGCTATTAAACCAGGGCCATTAGCCGGACTTTCGAAGTGTGAAGTAGAGTCCGGAACATTCATACTCGTCTACGTAGCAGTAGAGGTCTGGTTCACATTCGCTGGGACCGTCCCAACCATCACCACCACCTAGGAGGCATCGTCGGTTAGGAAACTGGTTCATCAAACTGTAAATTATCGATTGGGACTTACATTGTCCATAATGGGTCTGCAAGGCATCTTCGGCCGGTATTGTGGGCGTCCCCGTCTGCGCACTCACACTTGTGGCGAGGACAAGGAGGGCAAGTATTGAGGTTTGCCTCATCTTTCTCAAGCTTGTCACGAAGACGTTCCCAGGTAGAAGCCTATGGGATGCCGATGGAGGATCTAAAGAGAGCTCTGGGCAGATGTAGGAGATGTAGAGTAAATACACATCGATCCAGCTCCCATCCGATCAGAATAGAAAGCGGGATTCCTTCACCTTTTGTATGTCCGTCTACTTCACTCTCTCGAAAGCTTCATCAATCTACCGTAGTTCTATTTCAAGGAACGGCATCTCCTCCCGCTATCCCAAATCCCATCTTCTTCCGCTCCTCCCTCACGCCCAGGTTCAGATCGCCACAGCATGAATGTCTCCTTTTCCGCTTTCAAGCCGGTTTCCCGCGGTGCAGTCATCTCACCTGTTCGATCCATTAGCCCAGGGCAGTTATCATTCATTGGGCTGGCCAGCCCAGACGAAGAAGCGAGAATCGCATGTCAATTCTAGACTAGCAAATCCTATTTAAGCCGGTTGCTTCCCGGGAATTTTGCCCAAGTGATAGGATCCTCGGTGCCGGGATTCGTCTTTTCCCGCTTGCGTCCCTCTTTTTTAATTCGCTCGCTTCTTTATAGTAGGGGACTACGAGTATGCGTAGGACGGTAGAGATCGATGAGGGTAAGCTTCATGCCTTTGAGTATAGCAAGGGTTGGTGGAGTTCCACCCGAATACCCCTTCTTAGAGATGCTTATTTCTTCTTCATTTCTAGGAACCCGTACACTTGGTAACTCGATGATGTGACTGCTCGTCTGGTTTGCGGTAGTTATGAAACCGATTTGCTTTCGCGCATCGTACGGAGAAGCCAGGCGTAGGGATGACAAGATACACCCATGCTGCGTTAGAATCACCAAATGCACATCTAAAATTGAGTCCAGGCATTATTATTCCATTCTAGGACCCAAATTTAGTGTCCAATCCGTTTCTTCTCGGAGAACGAAGCGATCTCCTTTTCACTATCGAAGCAAACACGAGGTTTGGATCTATATTTGGAAAAGCCCGGAAACATAAAGCATATCACGGTATTAGCGTATATGCACAAGCTCCTAACCTTTACCATATAGTGGCAACGTGAGTCGCCTAGTCTTACATACCGGGTGGCCAACTCGATCTTCGAGGCTGGGCTGCCGATGTTTCCCGCCGAACGGAATAAAGCCGGACTCAATGTGCTTCATGAAAAGGGATACACGGCATTCCCGCTCCAATCCGGAATAAAACTGTAGGAGCAAAGGGTGTTCTGGATATCTTATTCGCCCGTCAACGAGGACGGTTCTGGGCACTCCCACTGCGGGATGAGATGTGGTCACCTCACAAGGCCCGGTATAAGCTTCATCAGCCAAATATCGACCGTAGATCCCGTTTCTTCTCAACCTGATAAGAAAGCTACTTAGCCCATAGATAATTGATGAGAATTGGTATATTGGGGCTGCGTAAGGTGTCAGGAGCGGGGATCGTTCAGCTCGTGTAAGTCGAACGCAAAGCCAAATTGCAAACTATAAAGAAAATCCGAAACCCGAGTACCTGCAGTTGGCCGTACGACACATCTTTGAATAAGAATAGTTCGGGACACCAAAAATAAGGGACCAGGACTAAATGCAAATGGTGTAAGCTTGGATGAAGAAGCAGGGGCTGCCGAAGTTTGGGTCCCTTCATCTGGGTGAGTGCGCCGGGTAAAGAATCCCGCCCTGAAGCTTCTTAGCACGTTTTCATTTTCATTAACAGATTGCTTTCCTCTTTTGTTTGTCTTCTTCTTCGGTTCCTGGATATTCAAAGTATGCTCTGATCATGAATATTTGCACGATTGAGCAAGTGGAGTGTTCAATGTTTCCCTCCAGTCCACCCATTCGTTTCACTTCAACTCCCGAGCCACATGTTCTCGTTTGCGTCTCGTTCTCATGGGATTAAGCTCTCTTTTTAAGCTTCTTCCGATGTAACACTGGCCATGTTTGTAACCGAACGGGAGAACCACAATGGCGGAGGGACAGCGGGCAGCGGGCATTGTGGACACGAACCCGAACTCGTTCCTGGCACTACCCTCCGCGTTGCAGCCAAGACCGGCGAATGCTCCCACCTCACCCGTCTCGGCCCAGATGCTTCAACCCTCCTTTACCGGAAAGTACCTGCAGAGATAGCGTGATATAAAGAGGTTCCTCCTCGCAGATGCGTTGTTGGGATTACGTCTCAACCGTGGTTTACGGCGCGGAGGTCCGGGTGTATGCAGACCAGAGTTCGCAATAGCAACAAACGAGGTGAGAAAGCACCCGGCGGAAAGAGGCAGGGCAGACGATGCAATTCCAGTTAGTCCACTTCGATAACTGTTCCAGTTCTTCATCATCATATAATGAGACTATCGGACAGGGCTCTATTACCAAACAGAAAACAACACGGGAAAACGTAATCTAATCTGGTTCCGTAGGTGTCTAAATATAAGTTCTTATAATATGTGAGATACCGGGTAAACCATATACACAAAAAACTAGACTTAATAACTAGAAAAAGGGAGAGAATTGATGGTTCAGACCAAGTGTACGAACGGGGTTGGAATTGGGGGCATATTAGATGAGGGCAAGATTGTGTAAGTCGGTGCATTCTATGTTCGTAACAAAAGGAAGTAAGATCGAAAGCTCGGTCAAGTTGGAAACCAGGAAGTTCCACTCCCCAGCTCGAGTCCCGAAAGTGAGTGCGCAAAGAAGGGTAACAGAATGGATGGAAAGGAGCGGGACTCTCTAAGATGAGAAGACACCCTGAAACCCAAAGCCGGGAAAAGTAAACGAGAGGTAGGCAAAGCCTACCTAGCCGGCTTTAAAAGCCCTTGACTCGCCTCCCATTGAACACACCAGCGGGCCATCCTTGAAGGGTCTCGCCCTCACCGACAACATCTCCACCCATAACAAGAGTATGTTCCATAAGGCAGGCGTCATCAAGCATATGAGCCCCAGAGAGCAACCGGCTTCCAGTGCGCAACACACACCGGTTTCCGACAGACAGCTTATTGAGATCAAACTTGCCGCGCGTGTTGATGTGTCCGACGAGACTAGCGTCGTCAACCACCACGCGGTTGCCGAGAGTTAGGAGGTCCGGCTCTGTGAAGTACAAACTGGGGCTGCCGTTGGCGAAGAGCGCGCAGTCCTTGCCAATTTTGGCTCCCAGCGCACGGTAGTACATCACGATCCAGTGAGTGCCCGTCAACATACCCAAGATACCCGAACCGCGGTAGCAGGTCCTTCGAAGCCGCTCAATGGCGAGGAAAAGCTGCCAGCGTTGGCAGTAGGAACTCTTGTCCCAATCGTAGTTCCCCGGCCGTCGACGGCCTAAGAGGATCCACTTGCTCGCAATGACCGCCAGAAGGGCGACGATGGCTTGTATGGTGGTGAGAGCGGCAACAAAAGCTGTCGTCCATCCGAGGAGGATAAAAGGGTCGGCCCAATGAAACTGTAACTTCATACCCACCACATTAGGTGCCTCCCTGAATAGCAGATTTGTGAACTGGATTGAAGTAATGCTCGGCACATTCCAGTAAAATCTAGTGATGACCGTAAGGAAACTCGAGTAACAGAAGATGGTAAAAGGACTCCAGACACGGTAGGGTGCTTTCTTGAAGTAGAACGCGCGGCCAAAGGGCGACGCCTCGGTGTCTTCCGATTCCTTGACTTCGTGAATACTTGTACGCGGAGAACTTTTCGCGCTTGCCGACTTCTCACTCGACTTGAGGAAATCTGCTACGGAATTGGGGCGCGTGAGAGTAAGACAGACTGCATCTCCTCCTTTAGAGCCAACATACGTGCCACCCGGCGAGTACGTCTGGTCGCGCCGAGTCAAAGATCCGGAGCCCATCGTCGTGCCATCGCCGATACTGACACCAGGAAGCAGGCACACACGATCCGCAATCATTGCGTTGTTACCGATGATGATGGGTTCCGAACCGGTGCCATCGGATGTGATCATGTGGCTTCGAGAGCCAAAGACAACATCATCGCCAACATTGATTAGATGGTAATCACCCACTGCAGGCCCAGTTCCAGGCCAATAAACTCTCTGTCCAACCTTGCCACCAAGGAGACGCACCGCAATTGAGGTTCCCTCGTAGTGCTGGCCCATCATTTCAGTCATATCGTGGAGACTGGCTGGCGGCATCAAGGTCCTCATCAATTCTGCCCGCCAGATGGAAATTTGGCTGCGACCCTTGGCTGTGCCAGGTCGAAGCTCACCGAACAGTATATCTAGCACCCATTTGACTGAAACGGCAACACCAAAGGCAACGAACGGGCTAAGGGCGGCGCGAAGGACTAAGGCAAGGTAGTGGAAGCCAACTCTCTCAGCCTCTGAAAACCAGACAATAATCTCGTAGAGCGCATTCTCAGAGTGGGCGGGTGATGTGATAACCAGACCAAGTAGACCTGCAATCCAGGGAAGGAGAGCAAGGAGCCAAGACAGAATCTGGAGAGGAATTGTGAATAATAAAACTAAAATCCAGTGGGCCTTGGGCCGTTTGGAAGAGAGGATGTTGCGGTTCTCCTCGGAGGCGTCTTCAAGCTCCCAGCTAGATGAGTTGGGTCCGACGCAGGTATTGTCTGGGATCTCGGTACCAGGGGCAATTATGGAGGCAACGCCAACTGTGGCATTCTTCCCAACGACGATCCGTCCAAGATACATCGAGGTATTTCTTTCGGCACCGAACGGACGGCAAATACAGCCTTCGAGAACTGCATTGTCACCAATCTTGACAAGGTCCCACTCTCCCATCCTCACCTTTGACAAGGTTACGTTCTTGCCAATCTTGGCCCCCAACAAGCGGTAGTAAAGTATTCGAGTGTAGCCGGACCACGAGAAGCATCCTGGACCGCATATATCCACAATCTTCTGGACCAGCCACCATCGTGTATGATACTGACCCCACATGGGATACAGGCCCTCCTTGTACCGGCCGATGAGAATCCATTTGGAGAGGATGCCGAGCCAGGGGATGACCAATCTGAGAACAACCTGCCCAAAGAGAATAGACACAGTCAAATTGAACAATCGTCCCATCATCCAGTTGTTCGTTCGCCACGGCTGCGTGTAGCTTAGAGCCACCATGAAGAGGGTCCATTGCAACGCTCGGCGGAAAGGATAGATCACCACCATAGGTAGGAGTTGAAGGAGCATAAGCCACGGCCGAGTGGAGCTGTGCGTTTTCTCACAGCCAGGTAGCTTCTCCCCCTTGCCAGACGTTATGCTTGGGGTCCTAGAGCGGCATTCGTCAATGTACTTCGCAATAACTCGAGGAGTACCGTCACTGAATATGATGCTGATTGGCACAGTGACGTTAAACTCAGACCTAAGGCCCGTCATGAGTTTTCCGGCTTTGAGGGAATCACCACCGATGGAGAAGAAGTCGAGATCTGGTTTTACGAGAGACAAGTCACATTGGATGATTTCGGCAAACTTCGTGATAACTCTGCCCTCAGTGGTGTGGAGCAGTTGGTTGGCATCCTTTTGCTGCATCTCATGAAGGATGATCTCCAACGCGGAAACATCCACAAGCGCAGGGTCTTCGGCGGCTCTAGGAAGGGGCTGGGACAGCCAATGGATCCGCCGTGGTACCAAGTAGTTGTCGATCTTCTCGGCCACCTTATCGAGCCAATTTTTCTCCATCTCAGAGCGTATAATAGACAGATTTTCGATAGGCCCGGTGTCTTCTGGTGCTACCACGACTTCAAGCCACCCTTGTTGGGAGTTAGTCCGCACATACACATCGAGACGTGCACACTCTGGAAGGCTGTCTTTGAGGGCCAAGGTAACAGGGATTTCTTTCACGGGGCACTTGCTAGCCTCGATCTTAACAGACAAATCAGTTTCATCCGCAGGACAGACTGCTTCCCAGTGCCTATCATGGTAGGGCGTGTCGTCGGTAAATGTGGGGAGGGACAAACGCTCAGCCAACTTGATTCTGAGCACTTTATTATTCCGTTTCGGGAGGCCGTCCATATATATAACGATCGACGGCCACTTCGCTTGCTGCAGGGCAGACTTGAGTGCTTCTTGAAGAATCTTGAGATCAACCCTTGGCTTTCCATGTGGTGTGACCAACACAATTCCGACCACCTCCTGAAGAATGTCGTGTTGGACTGAAAAAGCGAGAGCCTCTGTTACCCGTCCATAAATTGGTGAGTCGGGCTGTTTGGCGGCACCAACAATAGCATTTTCGACCTCGAAAGGTGAGATAATTTCTCCTCCACGATTGATGACCTCTTTATTGCGTCCTGTGATGTAGAGGTATCCGTCGGAATCCATGTATCCCATGTCTCCAGTGTCGAACCATCCATCTTTGGTGAAGGCGCTCTTGTCCAGGATATTGTCATCTCGAAGGTACCCATAAGAGACCGGTTCTCCCCGTACGCATACCCTACCGACAGAAAGTGGAGGAAGCGGCCTGTCATTGCCATCGAGTACGGAAAGATCGGGACCTGTAGCTATTCCGGAGGTTCCCGTCCGATCAAGTTGATAGGTGAGCGGAGGTGTTGAGATAGGCATACACCTGAACCGGGGTTAGGATCTTTCTGTGATAGTAACATCTTTGTCAATAGACTTACTCTGTCATGCCATAGCTGGGAAGGACAGTGCATTTGAATACATCTCGTAACCGGAGTGCTAATGAGGGGAGCAGACCACCAGCGGCATTGCAAATCAGTCTGAATCGGCTGTCGTGGTTTTCGGGCGCGGATGAAAGGATAACAGAGTGCATGGTGGGTGACGCGTAGTACCACGTCGGAGATAGCTTCTCAACCATAGTCCAGAAGAGGCCAGGGTCAAAAGCTGGGCAGCAGATTGTTGCGCCTCCAGATAACACCGAAGCGAATATATTTCGTAGAAGGCCGCCACTATCGTCCTTATTAGCTCTAAAATTGAAGACACATAGATTTCGATGTCTGGATTCACTTACATGTGGAACAGGGGCATCATGTTCAGGCAAATATCAGAAGAAGACAGGCCCCAGCTATCAATGACCAACATCGCGCCAAATATAACGAGATGCATCGTAAGAGGCACGATCTTCTTTGTTCCAGAGGTGCCGCTAGTAAAGAGCATCAAGCAGATATCTGAGCCTTTATTTGGTTGGAAGTGTTGGCTCTCGGCTGAGATGGGAGTGCCATCCTGCTTAGTGATGCCAAGTGTTTGCGAAGAAGTGAAGTCGGCATAGAATACTTCTATGTTCCGCTCAGAGACCCAACCATCTCCGAGTCCAAGTCTCTCAGCCACTTCAGGGGTAGTAAGGATACATTTAGCCCGGACCTGCTCCACGTCCGCACGGAACTGCTCCGCACCGACAGACGGGTTGATGGGTGCCGCCGCAAAGTGGGCCGTTACAGAGACGCAGGTGGCCGCGAGGAGGGAACCATTAGGGATGGCGACAGCGACGACAGGACTTTTATCATCGCCCTTTTGCAGGGGAAGTCGAAATTCTCGTATGGACTTCTTTAGCGCTGTGTGAGTGACAGCTGGGGAGCCCTCCGGTGAGAAAAGAACTGGTCTGTTTGACTCTTCGATGAGGTCGGACAGGCATTCGTAGCTGTCGTGGATCGCTTTGACAACCTCTTCGAGCTTTTGCGTCACCTGGGGGACTCTGCCTGCTTTGACAGGCTCCGGCATGCCCTTGCGTATTTGGCCATAGCATCGCAAGAGGTCAAGTACTGGCAGCTTGCCGCGGGTCTCACTCAGTAATAGAGACAGCAGCGCTAGCCCCTTCTCAGAGTTCACTGATAGGGCCGAAAGAGATGTCAACAGGCCAGACGGATCTCGGTTAACGGCGTCTAGAACGGTTTTAAATTGAGAGGTTGACTTGGTATCGTTATCCACCGAATTTGGGAGCTCTGCTATGGCGGCAGCGAGCTCGGTGTGAGGGATAGACACCATAGTGGCGAAGAAGACTAATACTACTTGAAAAGAGAGAAGAAAAGAAGCACAATGCAGTTTCTGCTAGTTGCAGACAAGGTGAAAAGAGTGGCAGGTCCTGGACGCAGGACTCGGGGATTCGGAGCGAGAGAGAACGACGAACTGTAAGGAACGGAACTGATGCTGGCCCGGCTGAGATGGGAAAAAATGAGCGACCGTAGGAGGATGGACAAGGGGCTATATGCAAAATCGGGGAGTTACACTAGAGAAGCCTCTCATGGCTTCACGATGTATTAAACGCCGATGTACAGTCCGTCAAATTGAGGACCCAACTTGCGTCTCGTATCTGTTCCATATATGGCGTCGGCGCCAGAGCTGGGCTCTCAGCTGGGCCACATCTTGTCTCATTATACAAACACCATGGATTGACAGCCAAGGTATTGACATCGGCAGTAGTCAGACAAAAAAAGCCATGTTGTGGGATAGAACCCTGAGCACTCGACTCTACCGTACCGAAAAGAACTCATGAGGAGAGGCCGCTGTGAGCGAGATGATGGAATCGAGAGCAGTATGATGGAATTTAGAGTATTTTAACAGTAAAGGAGGCTCGTATTGCAGCAATATATCAATGCGAGTTTCAACCCATGCCCGTCGATTTTCGTCCATGTTAGAATAGGACGCCACAGCTAGGGATACCTGCAGCACTGGCGTGGCATGCTCAGCTATCCGTTATGGAGGGGATCGCAACACCTAACACTATGCCTCTACAGGTAAAGATTCGGGAAATAGTAAATCTTGGGTATGGACCCTTCTCTGCGCCAGTGTTCGGCCTGAGAAACTGAATGAACTCCCTCAGGGTGGAAGAGATGGGTGTCGTGCCACTAAGGCGACAACGTCAACGCAAAATGTATTTTGCCACAAGACGAAACGAGATGTTCCAGTTTGTGATATCAGATAGGTCCTTGAAATGCGAGCATTACCTGCGGAATGGAGAGGCGTTTGACGAATCAAGACAAACACAGGGGTCCATAATGTAAATAGAAATGAATATGATGTCAATCATAGGGGCCCCCCTGCGATCTACGAGGCATAAAACGGCGCGAATAGCAAGCGATCGAGTCATTTCCATCTGCTTAGGGACGGTGGGCGATGATCGGGGTGAGTAAAAAGGACGCGTATGGTTTCTGATGATCCCCAGGAGTGTGATGGAGGTTGAGAAGTGGTGGAAAGACAATATGGGGCGTACGAGTAGGATGGAGCCGCAAGGCCAAAAACGGGAAAAGATGGACGACGCGCAACATATACTTAAAACCTGGCGAATAGGCCGCTTTGCAAACATGCAGAGTAAGCTGGCGCTACCGAGGTGCAAGCCACTGCTCTCAAGGAGACATCGTTCTACTACACCCATCTCTAATTTCGTTGTACGGCAGGGTGCTCTCTAGCACCAAGAGCTGAACAAGAGCCCGGAGTAACTTTCGACAGCTGGGGAGGCTAGTGTGCAATGACAGCCCAGGAGCCCTATGAAGTGTGTCCGTAGAGTGATCATCGGCGACACTGGGCAGTGGTAGTGTCGGCTCTACCAGTAGCCCGTGAATCCGAAGCTCTCGGCTAGTTTTAAGACGCCTGGCGCATAGGGTGGGAAAGGAATTTCTGACAGTGAGCTCCTAAATCTGTGAGAGGAGCGGGGAAGCAACAAGTTCCGCTACCACATGGCTGCGCTCTGTTAGATGAGTCAAGTAAGAGAATGGGAAGCCCATGGTGATTAGGGGCTCTGTAGGAGATGTGAGATTTGACGGATAAGACTCCACGTCGGAACAGTTCTCCGGTAGCAAGCAGTTCGCAATCAGGAGATACAGGGAATAATCCATTTCCAAGGAAAATGCTATGATTTCTCGATGGGGGTATTGGCGGTTATCCAGGGAAGCAATTAAACAGCAATGGTGTCAGCTCCGGAGGAGGGGGGAACGATGCGAAAGGCGAAAGGTCCAAGAACAGCAATACAGAAACACCTGTAGACCAGAACATAAGTTCTTCCCTCCATCGGCAGTAAATAGCAGACATACACCAAGTTACCAGCACGTCTTAGACAGCTGGCGGGTGTCGCTTTCTGGCCGTGGGACACCGGCAGATAACGGCAGGCTAGTTCGACATTCCTCATTATTGAGATAGGTGTAATACCTGAGACCAGCTGCGTAGTTCTTGTCAGGCTTAGGGATAAGGAGGAGGTAGATGGCTTGGCGCGGACCCACAGACTCTACATTATGAAAAGAGAGAGTCAGGACTTCGGAAGGCCATATCCTCAGTGGGACCGGCTATAGATGACGGGAATACGGAGTCTGATAGGAAAGGAAGGATGAAGAGGTCTAGGGACACAACGCGAGACAGATCGGCAGTGTGGATAAGGTGTGGGATATATAACGTTGAGTTAGGATCGTCAAGAAGCATAAAACAAGCAAAGACAATAATCCTCCGTCCGAATCCGAACCAAAAATACTCCGAGGGTCTAAGTGGGTAAGCGTTTCTTATGTGGGGGTGGCGCAAGGGAACGGCCCTCGACTTCGACTAAGTTGTCTCAGCCTCGAGTCATATTCCCAAAGTCGCCTTTGATGAACTTGGTTCTCTGGTGGGATCAAATGACCCTCTCCGCCAACAGCGAGCGGTGGTTGTGATTAGAAGGGAGTTCTTCATTGCTATCTGGGAGAATCAAGGTCGCCAAAATTAGAAGTTTCAGGAACGCACTAGACAGCAGTAACTAGACTAGTGCCAGTCACAGTCGAACTCCGAAGGAAATGCATGAGTAGCATTCTCTGCAACGGTGAAATACACTTCCAAGGTTTCCAATACCCTTCTTCTTTGGTTTGTGTTACAGTTTTAGGGGCAAGAAAAAGAATGCGCAGATGAGGCAAGGGATAAAAAGTAAAGTGAGATGACGAAAGATGGATCACCAAGGATGTATAAAATGCACATTGGCCTTCACCCATTGAAAATTTAAGGTGCTGGCCTGCAATAGCTGCTTGACTGTCGCCTTCAGCATCTGTAAAAATCAAGTATCAAACCCACTGGAGCGCCCCTCGTACGTATAGATTAGGAACTTGGCCAAGCTGTCGTTGTCCGTGCAAGATGCCGGATGCAAAAAGGGTAACGCTTGATAACAAGATAGCCTTGGAGTCGAAGTCCCTCTCTAGAAGGAGACCATGGAAAGCAGCATCGAAGAGGTTTGCAACTGCCAAGGAAATTCCAGCTACTTGGCGAACGCTGAAAAGGGACCAATAAGTCAATGCTTGACCCCTCACATCGTGCCATGGGACTCTCTCCATCGTAGACGGCGATCTTATAGGCTCGTCACTGAGTCCAACACCGTCGCCGAGCTCTCAAAAAGGCAGTGACCGAAGCATTTCGCGTATTTTTCTGAGAATTTCCCCTTCCAACGTAAAGCCACTCTTGTCAATGACTCGTAGGGCTCGGCACATCATGCGCTGTGACGCATACACCTTGGATACTTAGGGGTGTCTGGACACGCACGCAGGACACAGAGCTCCTTTGGGATTATTAAGACATGACCTATATGATGAGGTATGCCAAGAGGTCACAATCAGATGAAAGGTTGTGAAAGACATGCCGCTGGCGATCGTCATAAGAGCGGCTATTCCCTTCTGTTAACTATGATGAGGTTAGAGGTCTCATGTCCCGAGGCGGGTCCGAAGAAAGGGTGAGAAGGGAGGGATGAGCCTACACCAGCATGTTGATAAACCAATCTCGCCAAGAAGTCGCACAGGTTATCGATTTCACGACTCAATCGCTCGAGGGAGAGTCCAGTGAGCGGGTCATTGTTGAGACGGCTTGCTCCAAGGGGGCAGGCTCAGAATAAGGCGGATTTCGCCTTAAGTATTAACATGAAGGGCAAGGATGGTCCGCGATTTCGCGTATAATATTGTCTTCTGAAGAGCCGGATTGAGCTCCCCGAACTGCCTTTTGTTAAAACTCAGGTGGCTTGCGTCTGTTTGCAGAGCAGAGAGGACATGGGAATGACGTGCGGCGGTCGAACTTGGATGTCTTCCGAAAGTGGAAACATGAATGGGGGAATCGGAGCCGATCCCGTCCACGTGCTCGCAGGTGTCGGCCACCCTCTGCCACTGCCAGGGTCCACGCAATTGGAATCTAATCGCCCGGACCAATGGTATCTAATCGTAAACTACTTCAATCGATCAACCCCACTATTTTCACAATATTTTCTTGTGCAGGCCTTCGATGTTTGGATACCCCACCATCAATAGTATTCATTTCTTGGCTTCGAAAGCCGTCACCCTCCTTCAAATACGAAGGTGCTCACACCCATACCCAAGTGCTCGCTCTCTCTCCGAAATTCTTTAACCCTGCGCTCTACCCAACCGTTCCTCTCATTGGTACGACTCAACACACTCCCAACTAAAGAATCCGTCGATCTCGCCCAGGCCCCCAACCATCCCCGTCGCTCTCCTCCGATCCCATTATATTTTGCAATTGCAGTAAGGAACAATGTCTTCCACTGCCCCTAGCGGCAGCCCGGCGCCGTCCTCATCCGCGCCTGAATCTATACCCTCGGCCGCGGTCCCGGCCTCTACCCAAGCAACGACATCCTCATCAAACGACGGAAAGACGGTCAACTGCCTCGTCCTAGATACCGGCGCACTAATCAAGAACGAGCCCACCGTGAGCACCCTTCTCGCCCAAGCGAATGAACTATATACCATCCCCGCCGTTCTGGCGGAAATCCGGGACGCGGAGACTCGCCGGCGTGTCGACACGACTCTGCGCCCATTCTTGAAGATCAGGTCTCCAAAATCGGAAAGCGTAAAATTCATAACCGCATTTGCACGAAAGACTGGTGACCTCGAGGTTCTCAGCGCTCCGGATATTCACCTCCTAGCCCTGACCTACGAGCTTGAGTGTGAGAAGAATGGCGGAGACGGGCGCCTTCGGAATACCCCTGCGCAGAAGCAATTAAACGGACAGGAATCGAGCGCCGCGGAGAATAATAAGCCATCTGCTGAGGGCGCCACCCTCACTCCCGGTGATATGCCAGAGCCAGAAGCTACCGAAGCCTCGGCGGGGCAGGCGAGTGACCCACCTCTCGCGAGCGATCCCTTTGAAAGTCAGCCCGTGCAGAGCCAACAACCAACACCGGAACCCTCTGTTGAGGAGTTGGTGGAGAAAGTTACCTTGGAAGAGGTTGCGGATGACACCAAACCTCCCGCGGCAGCTGAAAAGCCCGCCACCGCGGAGGAGGAACCGCGAGAAGGAGCCGAGGACGATGAAGGTGAGGACAGCGATGATAGTGACGGCTGGATCACACCATCCAACTTGAAAAAGCACGTCGCCAAAGACCAGACCTCTTCTCTCTCCTCCAACCCCACCCCACAGTTCCTCCAAGCTGCTATCCTCACGACAGATTATGCCATGCAGAACGTGGCTCTCAGGATAAACCTAAACCTACTATCTTCTGGCATGTTCCGCATTACTAGACTCAGATCATATGTTCTTCGCTGCCATGGCTGCTTTGCCATCACCAAGGATATGACCAAGCAGTTTTGCCCCCGTTGCGGTCAACCCAATCTTATCAGAACCAGCTGCTCCACTGATGAGAACGGCGTTTTCCAAGTGCACCTAAGGAAGAATTTCCAGTACAATAAGCGTGGAAACGTCTACAGCGTACCAAAGCCCGTCCACGGCACATCTAGCGGCAAAACTTCCAAGGTGCAAGGTGGTGGCAGGAACGGCTGGGGTCAGACTCTCGTCCTCGCGGAGGACCAGAAAGAGTACGTTCGAGCCAAGGAGACGAGGCAAAGGACTCGGCAAAGGGACCTCATGGACGAGGACTATCTTCCTGGCATCCTCACTGGTGAAAGGAGGAGTGGTGGTGATAAAATCCGAGTCGGTGCTGGGAGGAGCGTCAACTCCAGGAAGAAGTGGTAAAAGGTATGCCCTTATGTTTCACCTTACACACTCGCAACAACAGTGAATGACTCGGCATGGAGGGGCGTTGGGGGACCGGAAGGGATAAAAAAACAAGTTTGGGTTCACTCATAGATACTTTCTTTTGATAGGAAATATGCAAAATGACCATTTCCTCAATGATTCTCGATGTGCTTGACCAGACAGGACCCTTTTCCAACGCCTCATGTAACGCCTAAACAGTAAACCCACAGAATTGGGGTATAACTATCGAATGCCGCGAACGGCACGATACAACCAGATGGCTGCCTCCAACACTTTTCTTTGCACGTACCCTCGCCGTGACTCGGCCACCACCACCATCGAAGACCCAATCCATGGAACATTCCTTACGTCAGAGACCGTCTCCCAAAATCAAACTCTCCGTCGCTTCAGAGCTCACTCTTCTCCTTGTCCTCTAAAAAAAAGGTGAAGTCAATTCCGTTAGCATCGCTTGACATTAGCAACCTCCTCCAGCACGCAGCCTCCCAGAAAACAAAGGAATTCTTACTCTGCTGAGAAAGAAGCAGGCCAAACCGCCTCTTGAGGGTGACCCTCTGCCTGGACCACTTGTCGTCGGGGGAGAATCGCGCAGGGTGAGCAGACTTGGTGACTTGGCCGTGCGCAACCTTCTTCAGGGTGTACAGGCGGTTGCCATTGTCGTCGAGGGTGTACATAAGATGCATGGTGACGCTTGTTTGAAGTTTCCGTCAACTCGAGCAAAAGGTCTGTCTGGGAGCTGTGATCGGGATCGGAGATCGGTGATGCGGGAGGTCAATTTTCGAGATCGATGAATTGAGAAAATGAAAAATTTCTGGTCGTTCCAATCGATAAGAAGGTACGTACTAGTCCTGGCGGGAGTACACCGGGATCACGTGAATCTACACCGAACCAATTCGCGAACCAAGCCCAGTAATACCGGGATGCTTGGAGCTTATATTCCTCGATCAATATCAAGATGTCTCAATTGTTATTCCCTTCTGCAAGTAACGCGTAATATACAGGGAAACAAACATTCGTGTCGTGCCCTGATAGATTTCGAGAAATCAAGAAAATAAGCCCGACGCGAAAGTTAACTCCAAGAGAGATTAGTCATCCAACTTTTTCTTTTGGACGCCAAGCTGATCCCTGCACATCCGGCTCGAGGGAACTAATAAGAAAAAGGCAAGCGGTGTGAGATTCCAACACCCGCCTCAACAAAGTCGAGCGGGCGTCACGGAAGCTGCATCACCCCCGAACCCGAAAACTGAGGTTAATTGGCGCGCCAACGGTGACTTTGCTGCTTTTACCTTTCGAGAGCATCCTTTTCCCCATAAGCAACAGAAGACGAAACTAAAAATTGCCTCGACACGGACAATCGCGAAGAGCGAGACAAAGTACGAAAAACCGCGCCGAGAACCGAAAGGAAAAGCAGCAAAGCCCCCGATACAATGGCGACCGTCAAGACCCCAATTGCCTCGCCGGTCGCCTCCGCCAAGATCCCTCCCCCAGCGGAGCTCACGGCTGCCGAGCAAACCAAATATGATTGGCTCCTCGCCCAGGTGAAAGCCTGGACGGAGATCAAGGTCGAATCCGCGACGGCAAAGAACAAGGGCGGACCCATCACGGACGATGAGCGGATGTGGCTGACGCGGGAGTGCCTGATTCGATACCTCCGCGCTACGAAGTGGGAGGAGAAGGAATCCGAGAAGAGGTTGCACGATACTCTAGCTTGGAGGAGGGAGTTTGGTGCCGACGACCTTACGGCCAATTACATCTCGCCGGAGAACGAAACCGGGAAGCAAACGTTATTGGGTTACGATATGGAGGGAAGACCGTGCCATTACCTCAGCCCAGGAAGGCAGAATACAGAGCCCTCGCATAGGCAGGTGGAGCATCTTGTCTACATGGTGGAGAGAGTCATTGATATCATGCCCGCCGGCCAGGAGATGCTGTGTTTGATGATCAACTTCAAGCAAAGCAAGACTCGGAAATACACACACCCGTCCCTCAGCATGGCGAGGGAGTGCCTCAATATTCTGCAGATGCACTACCCTGAGAGGCTGGGCCGTGCTCTCATCGTCAATGGTAGGTTACATCTTTTCCCCTCAAATATGAACAATCTCTGCCTAATTCCGTGACACGGCAATATCTAATCAAAACCGCCTTTACTTAGTGCCGTGGGTTGTCTGGGGTTTCTTCAAGCTCATCACACCCTTCATCGATCCCCGGACGCGAGAGAAGCTAAAGTTCAACGAGGACATGACGCAATTCGTACCCGCCGAGCAACTGTGGACCGAGTACCAGGCGCAAGGAAAGCTAGACTTTGACTACGACCACTCGGAGTACTGGCCAGCTTTGTCAAAGCTGTGCGACGAGAAGCGCAGGGAACGTAAGGAACGCTGGATTGCTGGCGGAAAGCTTGTCGGAGAGTCGGAGATTTATCTTTGGGGAGGAGAAGGATCTAGCATTAGTGCTAGCACAGGCCATGCCGTTGCTGCGGTGTCTGAAGGGAGTGAGAAGGCGGAGATTGCTCCCGAGCAATTGAAGATGGAGAACCTTAAGATCGAGGAGAAGGAGGTTGAGGCGGCCAAGGAAGAGAATGCGCTACCTGCAGAAGTCAAGGTTGCCGCATGATGATTGTATATTTTAGGAGCAATTGTGGTTGGAAATTAGGCATAATATGGAATACGACATCCTGGAATAGGGAATTCAGGATGGAATACGCAGTCATGGCGAGGTCATCGCAACCCACGCCGAACATAGGTCTATAAAAGCGGAAATCAAATAATTAAAACATTATAATAATCGATCGGGTCAGGATATTAAGAATTAAGAATTTAGGCGAGTTGTGTGCGTCTATTGAGTTGCAGTCGGGAAGTATTGGTGTTGTTTGCGGCTTTCACTAGGTAAGGCTGTATAGATTTTGAGATCCCAGTTTCCCCACGTCAAACAGCGAATTAATGCAGAGCCTCATCATCACCCTGACAAAACTCCACCATCCACCAACGAACATCCACATCATTCGCTCTTCGCCCGCCCACCACCACCTCCTCTCCCCCTCGGTCGCGCGCATCGCAGCAACCAGAACCCACAAGCGCGACAATGGCCAGCTTACAATCCAACAAAGGTCCCGGCAAAGACCAGTCCGGCCTCCGATATCCCAGTAACGGCAAGACCATCTACCACCGGCCATTAAACCGAACCAAAACGAGCGAACTGAGCCAAGCGAGCTTTGCGTACCTCTTTTCTGAAATGGTCAGCTACGCACAAAAACGAGTAAGAGGGATCCAGGATCTTGAGCAACGGTTAGTTTGTTTCCCTCTCGTCGTCCTTCCCCCCCCCCCCTTCTACCAGCTCCTCCCTGCCATGAACCTCAAAATCGCTAAACCTTTGCACCACCGGGCCAGCCTCAACGCCCAAGGCCACCCCATCGGCCTCAAACTCCTCGACCTCCTCATCTACCGCGAACCCCCCCGCAACCAACTCCGCCCCCTAACCATCATCGCCCTCCTACACTTCATCAAGCAATCCGTCTGGACGCACCTCTTCAACCGGCAAGCCGACCGCCTCGAAAAGTCGGCCAACCCGGAGACCCCCGAGGAGTACATGATTATCGACAACGAGCCCCTCGTCAACGCGTACATCAGCGTGCCGCGCGAGATGTCGCAGCTCAACTGCGCGGCCTTCGTGGCGGGCATCGTCGAGGGCGTTTGCGACGGCGCTGGGTTCCCCGCCAAGGTTGGGGCTCATTCGGTGGGGAGTGATAGTAGGGATGGGCAGATGTGGCCGGGGAAGACGGTGTTTTTGGTTAAGTTTGCGCCGGAGGTGTTGGAGAGGGAGGCGTACTTGGGGAAGAGCTAAAAGTGGGGGAGATATGGACAAAGTTGCACACACGAGTGGCGAGCTAGGCATCTCCCAACACCACCTGCAATCATGGGAAAGGAGGAAGAACCTGAGCATTCATACTTTGCGGCGTTTCGGGAGAGGATATAATGGCGGAGTTGATGGATATATTTGATACTACCAATCATGTAACGTCATACAGGGTTTCTCTTGGGCATAAGGTGGACGAGACAACGTTCTCTTGCCATTATCGAGAGCATCATTTCTTCTTCGTAACTCTCCTCCGCTTCTCCCTCGTTCGCTTCGTAGCTCTAGCACCCAGTACAACAAGAGGCAACTTCCACCGCCATAGCATCGATCGGGTCCAGCCCGCTCCAAGGCCTGCCTCACCATCCATTTCACCGCGGCAAGGTCCTCCCCGAGCTCGCCGCCGCAGGCCCGTGAGTTTTTGGACCCCTCTCCATCAACTCCTTCAGCCCAAGATCCCTCCACGCCGGTTCCTTCACCCGCTGCGTCGCCTTCTGGATGCCAAAAGCGGCGTGCTGGTCCGGCACCACGTCATCCTCGTCCTCGGGGTTGACGGGCTGGTGCTCGGGTTTGACGTAGACCTCGTCGTTGGGAAGCCTGTCTTTGCAGAAGTCCTCGAAGAGGTCGGCGTCGCGAGGGCGATGCATGTGGACGTAGGTGTAGGTCGCGTCTTTGTTCTAAAGGCTAGGGTTAGAGGGTCTGAGATTACCCACCGTATCGAGAGATGGTGGCTCTAGTTTATTGCCGGGTTGCGAGTTGCAAGTCTGGACGGGAAGCTTACCATGGCGGAGGGTAGGGGGCCGCGACAGCTCTTGGTCTTGCTGTTACAATCTTTTCGCGGGGCTAAAGGTATAGTCACCCAGGTATTCGGTGTATTCTTTCGGCAATACTGTGTGCAAACGTGCCGCGGTGTAATGCCAGACTAGGAGTATTCTGAAGACCTCGTTTGTTGACAGTCAGAGTTGAAGGTTGAAAGTTGGAGATTCACGACGTGTTTAGCGGGGCTGAAACTGCGGATTGGGAGCTGGAGGGGCTCAGAGCTCAATGCCGTCTTGACGGTGGAGCAATGATGTAAACCGAAGATTCTCAGCGAACAACATTGGGATCAATTTTGTTTTATTAAATCTAGTTAATAATTCCTTTTTTTTTTTTTTTTTTTTTTTTTTTTTTTTCTTCGAGGATATCAAGCTTGCATCTCATAGATTTAGTCTGCCCATAACATCTTCGTCTTCGGCTGGCTCACAAGAACCGCCTACGACAAAAGACAGTCCTTGGACCATCTGGATCAACATCATCGGAAATACAGGGTAGAAGAACGCAATCAGAAATAGCTACATTGAGTGACCATTTATAGCGAAAATTCATTTCGATCTCAGGAAATTACCAAGAAAGCTGTCGCCGCCGTGTTATGAGAACCGAAATGATCGAACAAGAGCGGTGGCCGATCGTCATCTTCGGATCCATAGTATCTCGGAATTGATAGAATGCCAGCAGCCTTTGATAAGATAGTGAAGAACCAGAAGATATCCAGCATCAGATGTGGAGTTATAAATCGGCATTCCCGATGGCCTCAGAACCCAGACTTGAAATAAGAAGTACAATGTCAGGTATTCGAGAGATTTGGGAAGCGGACGAAGACTTCCAACGTAGGGCCACACCTGTCCCGGTCCGGGACCCGTCAGGTTTCACCCGGAGATGTCACAAAGAATCGTGATAAGGCTCTTGACATCATCGCCTCTTAGATCTCAAGGGATTTAGATCGAACCATGACTCGGGGAATAGGGCAAGAACATCTCGTCCCATGCTACCTCGACCTTATCGAAGCATGGACCCTCTACCGCCCTCATAACATCATGTTAGCCGGCTTCTTAGATCTGATGTTTCACTTTTCCCGTGACAAAGCCAAGACAATTTGAATCAATCGTCGTCATAGCTGTGGCAAAAAAATGCCGGGAATTCCATGGCTCGGCCGGGGGCTCAAAAGGCCTCGTAACGCTATTTCTTCTAGAGACCATGTAGATGTCATGAAACGCTGCGGCCGACGTCGAAGTGGAATAAGCTAGTTCTCACCGGCCGATGAACGCCCATTGATTCCATTTCCACATCATATCAACCCTTTCTAAACACAGGCAGTGGTAAGAACCGTAGAATACCAAAAAGAAATGTGATGAGTTCATGTGCAAGCCTCATAAGACTTGTAGCTCTCGTCGTCTATCCATGTGATGGGGTAGAACAGCCATGCGTCGGGATCATAAGGCCAAGTTTGTGGTGTTGACTTCCGATTGTCGGCTTGCACACCATGGCTGCCGACGCACATCGGGAAGCTCAGCTGGTCGCGTCGGCTAGGGATGTGGGGGACTGGCGGAAGCAACAAAAAGGGAAAGTTGACAAAAAGCTCATGCAAACAAAACTTCATTCGCTCAAGCTCTTCAGAAGACGAAGAGTCTAGATCATCGAGGCGCCATCGACACCACCGAACACTAGGCCACAGGATGTTACCAATCACTCTTGTTGCTCTTCAACTGTAGTGCCAACTTCGTAGTTGGATTCTGCAGCTAAAACGTTACGGTTTTCCATTTTCGGAAATAGAATAACTGGAGCTTCGTGAGTGTTTCCCAGGAACGAATCCACGACTTCAAGACTGCTCAGGGTGGTCAGCTGGTAATATTCACCATTCCACTTCCATTGCTCATGCAAAACCTCTCCCAAGCTATCCTCTCACATCTGGAAAGATGAAGATGGGTGGATGTGGTGTGTTAATGAAAGCAAAACTCTTAGAACCTAAAGATAGGAACCAAGAATATAAGCCCTGCAATAAGGCTCAATATACTTGGCACCGACGCGGGTTTCACGGCGGTGCTTCCATCCGCCCGGGAAGGTGAGAAAGTTCATGCAACCAGCGGCTGCATCCCGTAGCAATGCGCGGCGGAGCCGGTCTTCAGACCCAATGGAGGACGGGCGGTAGGCGACGAGGATCAACACCACCGGAGTGCGTTTTGCACTAGTGTAGAAGATGCACGCATCACATCGAGAATGGCACCGCTTCGTAGGTGGTCTACAATTTGTGTTTGAGGGGAAGAAGACTCCGCACTCCCACGAGGATGCTACCTTTAAGGGGGTTGAGCCTCAGATGGGCTTAGTGTCTATGTTTAATAGCCCTCACACAAGAGCCAGGCAATAAGCAGTAGCCCCCTCTTTGATAGCGTGCTAACGTCGTAGTGCCATCGTCGTAGTGCCATTTAGCGTTTGGTAGAAGATCTGATGGATCGTTGCCAACAAACCATGTTCTTTTAGAAGGGAAGGGGGAGGGGGGTATTTCGACGTGTTTGTTTTCGATTTTGACGTACACATCATATGGAAGCTTTCCATCAATGATTGCGAAAGAAGAGTCCAGGAAGTTCTGTGGCGGCTTAATTTGAGGAAAAGATCAATGCGAGACTAAGTAGGTTGGGGGAAGGGTGGAGAGGCATTGAAAAGTTGTTTGATATCAAAAGAGACTCTGGGCAGCCCCATCTCCTGCAAGGGGATAGCCTGTGGCAATATCATTATTCGCCTCTTTTAAGCATAATAAACATCAATGCTATTGTCGTTCTCCCGTTTCAGCGATTCGAGACGGGAATTGATCACCCTTTTTCGGACCTTTCTGCCCCCAAAACTTGGGTTACTCCATGAAGCCACGAGCGACGTTAGACCCTATTCAGACGCTACTCTGTTCCTTCGTCGAAGGGGATACGTAGTTGTTGAATCTCGATGGAGCGGGTTGCATCAATCTTGGTGTAAGCAGTTCGCTGCGGTGCCCTTTCAAGACTACGCGTAATACCTCGAAGTTAAGGGGGGAGAGAGAGAGAGAGAGAAAGAGAGAGAAAAGAAACAAACACCATCCCTACTGGGGGTTGTGTTTCCCCCACAGAGAATATATTCACTCCCCCGCCTCAGGTGAGGTGATTGATAGTAGATGGTATGGTCTCACAGCAGATTCGGTTCTTTCGTTTTCAAACCCCTAGATTTTGAGCCAAAAAGGGCTCTTGGGCTTCTGTGAATTCTTGCTGCTCTACTTCTTACCTTGTTTCTATTTCGGCTTACGCTACTGCTGTCCTACCTTTTTGTTTGTATTCAGTTTGAAAAAGAAAGTAAGGGAGCTAAAAGGATGACGAGGCCGACAAACCTGGGTTTGGCCATTTCTCACGAGACTCAGCGACTATGAGCGCATTAGTCGGTTCCGAGTGAGCGTCTACGCGATGTACGTTAAAAGTACTTCCTGTCATGGGAACATTAAAATCAATGTCAAGACTGATGGCACACCGATCTCTGATGCCACCGCCGGCATTTCAACGACAAGGTTGGGGATTTCCTATTCCATCAATCCGTCTCGGGTTAGAAGCCATACAATGTGGCATGAGCCCAAGGAGAAAAAAAAGACCTGCAGCACACGCGTGGGATAACCCTGGATCCAGGTCAGGCCTGTTAAGCCTGCCAAGCCTGTTAAGCATGGACCAGTGTCAGTGTCGGTGTCCCCCTTTTGCTGAACTTCTTCTCTTGGCATGTGGTATTGTGCCGTTTTGGTATGGAGGCTGTGATCAACAGTTGGGAAGAGGTTGGCGGTCTAGACGAAGGTGCAGAAGTGCACGACGAAGAAGGCTGGCCACGCATTTTTACCTTCTTCGCGGTAGCCAATCGCCCTTCAGGTGAAAGATGATAATTTGCATATGATCGCTCGGGTTGGCCTCCGAGCCACCGTCAAATTCCATGCAGAAGCAGGTAGGACGCTGCAAGAGCAATGAAAATGGGAATCCCGCTGGGATGATGGGTGGGCGCACGGCGCAGCCCGTCTGTCTCCCTTTTTAACGTCCCTCCCGATTCTAGCCCAATTTTAGACAGGAAGTTGCACAGATCATATAAACTGTAACGAAAGGGATTGATGAGTGTTGCCGCATTTCCGATCCCTGAGCTTGTTCGCGTTCCACTGCGACCGTACGCGAGTACGAACTAGTTGATGCAACTTTGGGACTTTTACAGATATATTCCGGAAAACGTAGTTTACATGCTTCGCAGCGTCGCAAAAAGTGGCAGATAGAAAGAAAAACCTTGCACCAAATACTTCGTAGACGGGGATTTGCGTCGATCTGCCCACGAATCATGCCGAACGGTCAACTGAAGTGGCGGGAGAGGCCACGCAAGGATCTTTTCCCCCCTCAGCAGACATTGGTGGCATGCCATCAATGCAAACGACAGTTTAGGAGACCGCCAGCCAGTTCCGGGGCTAGACTAAAAGAGTACTGATCTCTTACTTCGTAACTCGGTATGCCCAGTTTAATCGTGACAAGGGCCCCTTGATGGCGCATATCGAACTTTCTGATGGGATGCCGACTCTTGCCCATCTCTCAAGTACGAAGATGAAGTACTCCGTATATGGTGACTGAAGGACATCAGCTCAAGTCAAGGGGTGGGCGTTCCATTGTAGCGGATGCCCACTTGTCCAGCAAGGAGAATTGGTGCTTCGCACGAAGTAACGTGTGCAGTGTATGAAGTTTACTTCGTAGGGTAATAGCGGATGGGGGGCCCGCAAGGATCAATCCTGCCAAGTTTTCCAAAGCCCTTGATCCGTGGCGAGTGTTACTTTAAAGAGGGTTAATGGTTCGGTGATACGCAAGAGAAGAGAAAAGGCTTTTCCGAATCGGGCAAGCCAAGTCCGACGCATCAAATGATGCTTCAGCGTTTAGAGCATGGTTTTCGCAGGCTGCAGGATTCCCGTCCCAACTCCACCGACGCCAGGCACTAACACTGCGAATTAAACTCAATCTGTCGCTTTTGGGTTAGCAGAAGCTGAAGACCGCCGACCCAGCCTGGGTTTCCCCCCTTGCGCTAGCCCAGTGAGGGGGGCAGAGAGGAGAGGAGGAGGAAAGCCAACCAGCGCATTTTCGGCGAAATGATCAAGTGGACAGACAAAAGTCGGAGCCTGGCAGCAACGAGGGATGTGGTCTGACTGCCTTTGATGACTTTATCAAGATCCATGAGACGGTCGAAATTAGGGAATCATCGTCTGTGAGGCCGATGGGAACAATAAATGGGCCTTGATCGTATTTGCTCCTGATATTTTGGCAATTGTACGCGTATCTACCGTCATGATGTACCCGATTCGTTAGGGAGACTTCTAATGTCGCTTGCAGTTCCTGCAATTTTGAAAGTAGCGTTCGGCGTTAAGTAAGTACCAGGTCCCTGCGTCTGCGCAAAGATCTGCGGGGGGTTGAGACTGTCCTGTCGTGTACCTTGCAACATGCAGAATGGTTGGAGTTTATTCTCCACTGTATCAATTGATAGATCAAATTGATGTTTACTTCGCAGTGCATGAGAACACCGTAGGATTGAACTACTTTAGTGTGGTGCGCTTTGCGCTATTGCGCCCACATTCTAGTCCGGCGCTGTTTGCTTTGTACGAAGTCAAAGCCGGAAACGAAGCATCAATCAATTGAGGCATCTGAAGACTGATTGATGCTGTGTCGCCTGGCGCTGTGCCTTCCAATCTGATTGACCGCTCCAACGATCTGGACTCTGGTGTGCGCTAACCGCCTACAGACACCCCTGTCGACTTCGGTTGAGCCACCAATACTACCTTTGCACACACCCCCTCCACCCTCAAATCTCCTCTGCGGTTTCGATGGCTCGCGCGTTCCCTTTCCATTTCCATTTCCCTTTCCTTCCCTTCTCCCTTCCACTTCGTCCTGGAATCGCATTAAGCTCCTGATGCGCCGGTCCCAGGTACCCGCCACTACCTGCCACTTGCAGGTAGCTCCTACCGTGGAATTTGTACTTTTGGAGTATAGTTGCTTGTGATCTTCACCATTTCCCTTCGTAAATACTTCGTACATGTAGTCCTTTTGTTTAGTACAAGTACATTACTCGTCCCTTGCATTCCCAGCAATGGTCGGTAGACATACTTCATACTTTAAACATTACGAACAACATACCTTCCCTGTGAGCTTAATGGCATCCCCAGCCCAATACATATCCACCTTCCTCCGCGCTCTGCTCTCCTGCTCTCTCCTTCCTCAAGGTCATTTTATTGTGACCCCTCGTGGCAGGTCTTGATCAAGACCAGTCCTCCTCCTACTTCCTAATTCTCCTCTCCTCTCATCTTCAAGTCTATTTCCCATTGTGCACATCCTCAACCTGCATCTTTGTCTGTCCTTCTTTGCTTTGAAGTTGTGCAGCCTCTAGATTATCTGTTGTCATTACGCTACCTTCTTCATGGCGAATGATCTAAGGTAGACTTGCCTATTTGAGGTTTCGGTAGCAGTTGTGCTGTTGCCAAGCTCTTGCGCCTGTGTCGACTTACCAGAATCACCTCCCCCCTATTGATCCCTATTGATCAGATCTCTATCTCTTTAATCCATCTCCCTCCTCCCTCAACGCAACAGACGGAGAGATCTCTTTTTACTTTTTCTTTTTTCAAGACCAATTGTTATTTATTCAGTCGGATTACGCGTTTATTTTTGCTCTTTCGAGGAGAAGTTTTGTTCTTTTCTTAGAAACCCGAGTTCCAACCAAGACATTGACGTCGCACCGCACCCGTCCTTGAATCACCTTGTTTCTTTATGAAAGCGACGCAACAGACTTGGTCCTCAAGTTAGCAGAGGAAACCTTCTCCTCCGACAAACCTATTGCCGAGCCGCACATTCACAGAAACAGCAGTGTTTGTGTCGACAGGCAATTAAAGATTCGTCAAGCACCAAGCGCTGTCGCAACATTCGCCTCGATCCGGTCCTGAGCAATCTTACTCTACGAGCCCCAACCACGCGACCCCCTTTGCCCAACAATTCCAAGTCTCATTTAATTACGACTGACAGAATTGCATTACCGAGTGCATATTATTCTACACACCATTCTATTTTTCCTCAGCTCGGTACGTCATACGATCGCAGTTCAGCTGTTCGCAATCTTGAGATCTGAAGCTTTTTGAAGGTGCCGCTACTAACATGGGGGCACTCCTAGTTACGCGAAGGCGTCCAACACATCCACAATGGTTCCTCCCGTAATAATGGAAGAGGAAAAGGCCGAGTCGGAGACGCCCGTCCGCCCTCCTGCCGCTCACTTGACTGTGGTAACAAACCAAGTTGCTACTCCCAAGAAGTCCGACTCCTCTCTCAGTGTCGCCTCGACAACATTGCCTGAGGCTGCCGAGAAGGGCTTCAACGTGCACGTCGATAGCGACCCCCACACACCCCTCTCATACCAACAATCCAACCCTTTTGATACCGATATCGAAGCCATTATCCCCGTCACGCAGTCTGAATCTCGGCGGAAGTCGTCGGCGATGGCAAGGAACGATTGCCAGATTTGGCCAGGCCGGGACCATTGGAAGCAAAAGGAAAAGGCTGCTAAGCGTGCTCGGTCGTGCGCGTGGATGGCTTCGCTTAGTAGGCGAACCCGTATTGCGGTAAAGCTTGCCATCATTCTTCTCATCATTGGCATCGCCGTTGGTGTTGGTTTCGGCATCAGCAAGCCTCTGGGCGCTCCTATTTGGGGCACTCCAGACCATTCCTGATCTGTCGATTCCGTCGTGCCACTCCAGGCGCATATTTCCATACGTTCCACGACCGTTTCTCTTCCTCGATTCAGACGACGGTAGACGATAAACCCCAAACCCCGGGGACCACGTTTTCGTTTCTTTTCGGATATCCCCCCTGATCACGATTTCTACATTAACCAACCGCACGTTGGCTTAGAGTCAACGTCGTCTCATGACTTATTCCATCCCTTTCACTCGACTGGCCCTTGGCGCTCTCTCTAAGCAACATACGCTATGCGATAGTGACATGCCTGACGGCAGAGCATGGTCTCTCTACTTCCCGTTTTCTCACCCGATATACCTCTTTTAACTCACACCAACTTCTTCCCTTCGTTCTCCACTAAAACGGGATTACACCTTATAAGCATAATGACGGAGTTTGGGAGTTTCATTCTTGAAAGCGTGACCTTGTTGGACATGGGATTTGTGTAGGCGCTAGTTCACTCATTGGTTGGTCCTTTTATCACGCCCGCTTAAGCAAAATAAAGCGAATGAAACTATTATTTCATGTTCACACGGGCCTCACTAGGCCTTGAGAAGTGTCGGTCCCTTCTTGTTTCGTGCTCTGCGCCTTGCTTTCCATAATACTGTACTCTGGCCACTACTTGTCAGGATGAGAATGTCGGTTTCCTGTACCTTCGTACGACGATGGCTGTTGGAATACCATTGGTACCTGAACAAAAACACTGCTCTTTCGGCATCTTGAAGAATGTTTTAGTTTTCGAAGACTGGCATAGCGTTTCTTATAGGGGTTTGAAGCCGCCAGATATAAACTAAAGAACGATTGACGGAACAATGAAATACACTTTCCTTGTGCTTGCATTTCGATTGATCTCAAAGGCATGTTTTTTTTCTGTTATTTCCGTTTTAAGTTCCTGGGCGCAGAGGCGGTGCTCTGTGCCCGAAAGATGTGGAAGCACTAGTGTAGCAGCGACGCAAGCCTCTTTGGGTTGGCTTTCTTTTTTTCTCTTCTTTGCAAAAGAATGTTCTATGTGATGATCAAGGTCGTCAGTTTGGATATTGTGCTTGTCAAGTCGACTTGACCGGAGCTATTCGGAGGGTTAAATTGCTCTGATTCCTCAGTTTCCTTTGGCCCTCATCATCTACAACTTCATGGCAGAATATGTGCGATTTCAACTCAGACATCACTAAACTCGGAACACCACCAGAGGTGAGGATAAATAGTAATAGAGATGCCAAAAGGACACAAAACTTTGTGTGCCGTGTGTGCATTCCAAAGTTGAAAACAAGAAAAATCTAAACCAAGTCGCCTAAAACGCCATCAATGATTCCTTTCTGCGCTGAGTCGGAGCTTTTATTTCTGCATCCAAATCCCAATACAACCTCGAAACAAATGCATCCTCGGTATTTCTCACACTTTTTTTTTTGTCTTCCCCGCCCTTGTTTACTCTTCCTTCACCTAGTCTGGCCATCATCGTCCTCTTCCACGTCAATCAGTTCTCCGCCTTGCCACGCCTTCTTGGCCGCCTTCAGAAGAAGGTCGTACTCCCCACTCGTCTCGCACATGGCCTTGAACGATCCCTTCTCCTTCTGCAGGAGCTCGTAAGGGTGGGCGTATTCCACGACCTCACCCTTGTCGAGCACGAGAACCATGTCGTAATCCACAATGGTCTGCAGACGATGAGCAATGGTGATGATGGTGCTCGTGAGCTCGCGGATCGTCTTCTGGATCTTCGAGTCCGTGGCGTAGTCGATGGACGCCGTAGCCTCATCCATCACAAGCACGTTGGGATGCCGGAGCATGGCGCGGGCGAGGCAGAGCAGCTGGCGCTGACCCTGCGAGAGGTTGTTTCCAGACTCGGTAACCTGCGAGGAGAGGTCGAGAAAGATGTTCTTGTTTGTGGCAAGCGTAGGCGTGGTGGCTCCACTGATGGCCGTCTTGTTGGCCGTTCCGTTCGCACTCACCGTCTCGTCATCATCATCGTCGTTGGGAGCGACAATCGTCGGCGTATCGGGGAGAAGGAGGCTACTCCTGGGAGCAGGAGTAGTGGGCGGGGAATCTGACCCAATCAAGTGGACTCGGCGAAGAGCGTCAAATATCTCCTCATCTGTGAAGGCGTGGAAGGGGTCGAGGTTGCTGCGGAGGGTGCCCATAAAGAGCGTGGGATCCTGCGGCACAATGGTGATCGCTTGACGGAGGTCTTGGAGACCGATGCGACCGATGTCCACACCGTCGATCACAATTCTGCCGTTCTCGGCCTCGAGGGCACGGAAGATGGCAAGTGCAAGCGAACTCTTTCCGGCACCAGTTCGTCCGACAATGCCTACCTTCTGACGGGGCTTAATCTTGAACGATACATTGCGCAGCACGGGGTCGAGTTCCTCTCGGTACCTCGTGGTGTAGTTAATGAACTCAACGGAGCCCTCACTCGGCCAGCCCTTGGGGGGTCGGTTGTCTTCGATAATGGCATCCGCCTCCTGCTCAACCTCGAGGTATTCCTTGATACGCTCGACTGAGTTCATGTTCTGTTCGTTCATGGCGTAGAGACGGACGAGCCACAGGATGTTCTCGGTAAAGGAAATAGCGTAACTCAAGGAGATACCTGCCGCACCGGGATCGATTTTACCGAGGCTGAGAATCACAAACACACCAGCAAAGAACGAGACGAGGTCGCCGAGCATATCACACCTGAATGCCAGCCATCTGTTACAGGCCCAGAGGTAGATGAACGGACGGGACTGCGTGTTGATCTTGGCAAGATTCTCCCTGATGAATCGTCGCTCTTCCCCGTAGGCACGGATGGTCGTCATACCGGTCAGGGTCTCGCCGAATTGCTGGAACAATGGGCTTCGCTGCACCGATTCTAGACGCTTGAGGTCGCGAGACGTATTGAGGTACAGAGCTCCTACGAACCAGAATGCCAGGGTGATGAAGACACCGGCGATAAGGAAGAGAGGGGTAATCACGGAAATGACGATAATGGTAATAATAATACCTAGGGCGCAAGACAAAACGCTGATAGCGATAGGAGCGATCTCCTGATCGACGGCCTCGAGGTCCTTGCTGAATCGGTTCATGAGCTGGCCCAAAGGCGTGACATCGAAAAACTTCAACTTGGCCTTAGAGACCGAATTCATCAGATCGGTATGGATCTTGCGCGAAGCCGTGAGAGAACCGTAGAAGATCCAAACGTCTCGGATGAAAGCGGCTACCGCACCAGCGATGCCGATCAGGGCGAGAACGGTGATGTAGTAGACAGCGTCGACTTCGGGAGCGACCATGGAGAGCAGCGTGACGGAGTTGGCCTTCTGGATCCACGAAGAAACGGCAGCGTGGGCAGAGTTGATCGACAAAGCGCCCGACGAAGCTTCCTGGGGCTTCAGAGAGAAGGACGACGCATAGAAAGATCCAGATGCATCCGCTCCACCCTCGACATTGTACTGGTTGCTCCATTCTCTGACCCAGAAGTTGGTGACGACTGCACTCATCTGCTGGATGCCGAACACGAAGAGCGCGATGACCCAGAACCACCAAGGACCCATGGAGCGCAAGTAGAGGCTCAGGACCGGCCACTGGACGGATCCCTCGGCCTTCTTCTCGGCCATGGCGTCCTTCTTCTTTTCCTTCTTGTCCTTCTTCTTGTCGGTGTCCGGCTTTATTGCGCTAACTCCTCCGATATTGTCAACCGCAGTCTCGTTACTCTCCTCACCAACGCTAGAAGGTACTCGGGAAGGCATGTGCGACGTGGTTGGCGAAGAGGAACTAGTCTTCTGAATGTCTTCACCGAGCGCACCGGATGTGATGACGTCCTTCGCAGAACCTTGGACAGTGATACGACCGTTGTCGAGAACAACGATAAAGTCGGCGGCGGGAGCACAGAGTTGGATGTTGTGGGTAACAAGAACACAAGTGCGGCCCTTCATTAGAGGACCGGTGATACAATTGCGGAAGATCCACTTGGCTGTGTGAGAATCAACAGCGCTGAGACAGTCGTCGAGAAGGACGTGCTGGGAGTTGGAGTAGAGAGCGCGGGCCAACGAGATGCGCTGCTTTTGACCACCGGAGAGCGAGATACCCTTCTCACCAACAAGCGTCTGATCGCCCTCGTCCAGGATTTCCAGATCGTGCTCAAGCGCGCAGGCAACAATGACATCCTTGTACCTCTGCTCGTCGAATGGTGCGGAGAAGAGAATGTTGTCCTTGATGTTGGCGTTGACGAGCCACGGGGACTGGGCCGCGTACGCAATGGTATCTGCAAGTCCGGTCTCGGGGTCGGGCCGCACCTCCTCACGACTCTTGCCTCCAGGACAGAACACACGGCCGTCCACGAGGGTCATCTCTCCGAGCAGGGCCATGAGCATCGATGACTTTCCGGCTCCCGTAGGGCCGGAGATAAGGTTCAGCTTGCCGATTTCGAACTTCACATCGAGATCGAGAAGCTGGAAGGCTTGCGACCCATCATCGTTGACCTCGTTCTTGCCTCCCCAGATGAACGTGGCATCCCTAAAGCCGATAGTCTTGTTTCCTTCCTCGTCAACATTATCGGTGCCGAGCTGCTCGTACTTTTCGGTCTCGGCCTCGGTGAGGAACTCCTCCACACGGTCGAGAGAGACCTTGGTTTCCTGCACGTGGGCAATCATGTCGCCAAACTGGTCGAGAGGGACTCGGAGAAGCATGAAGAGAGAAATGGCAGTGAAGGCGACGGAAGGGTACAGCGGCTTCTTCTCGATCATGGTGTAGACGAGGAAAGAAAAGAACGTGATGAGAATGGGGACAGAATTCCAAACCGCCACGGCGCATGCCCACAGCACGTACCTCGAGCGGAGGGCCTTGAGCTCAACGGCACGTTTCTCATCGACTATGGTGCTGAAGCGCGACTCCCAAGCGAAAAATTTGATGATTCGAATGTTTTGGAGGACCTCGTTGGTAATGTTCATGCGCTTGTCGGTGGCGCTGAGAATCTTCTTGGAGGTCGTGGCGAAGCCGCGAGCGAAGAGGTAATTGACGGGGAGGAGAATAACCATGACAATAAGACCGGGGATGGAACTAAGGCCCATGACTTGCCAGAGAAGCACCACGGCCAAAATGAGCTGGACAGGGGCCATGGCGCAGAGGAAATGGAGATAGGCGGTGATATCGGCAATCTTGAAACTGTCTACGGACATGAGGTTGATGATTGTACCGAGGTTAGCCTGCTCATCGGATGAATCCTTCTCATCATTCTTATCGTCTCTACTTTCACCGGATGCGTTGCCATTGGCTGTGTTGCTGTCCTTCTTCTTCTTTTTCAGACCCAGGGCACGCTTTGCCTTGGCAATGACGCCGGTGTCCTCGTCGGCCGAGTCGTCGGCCTTCTTCTGTTTCTTTTCCTCTCCCAGAACGGAGTGTTTGGTAGTTGCTGCCTTGCGACGTAGAGCCTTGGCATAAATTTCCCCGACAATGATGGCGCGAATGCGGATGCAAATCTTGCGGCCAACCCAGAGGGCAACGCCATCGGCAATGGAGCGCACAACATCGACCAGGGGCAGGAGAATGACGTATAGCCAGAGGACATTGATGGGGGCGATGTCGGGGTTCTCGACATACTGAAGGATGGCCTTGAGAAGTAGTGTCGGGGCGAAAGTGAGCGCGCCGGAAATGGCGGCCATGAACGACTGGTAGATGAGGGGGCCCTTGAAGTATTTGAGAAGATGTACTGCAAGCGAGCCGGTCCTCTTCATGGTGCGGTAATCGGCAAGAACAGCGGCGGCCTTGTCCTTGGGAAGAAGGTTCCAAACCATGGACATTTCAGTGGTGTTCTTGAAACCGTTCCAGATGATCGGGTCAACCCAAGTAAAGGTGGCGAGGGAGAACAGCGAGGCGAGAGGCTCTCGCGAGGGTTCAATTCCGTTCTCCCATTCTAAAAGGACAGTCTTGTTACCCTTGCGAGTGGTGATGGTCATGACGAAGAGAAGCGAGGTGAGGCCAAATTCGACAAAAGTGAGGATCTGGGACAGCTGCGAAGCCGGGTGGATGAAAGCGGATCGAAAGAAGACGATTGACAAGAGCCATTGAATGGAATAGATGGTTGCAGTATGGTTCCATAGTCTGGGAACACGCCACTTGGTGTTTCCAAGGAAAAGGCGCAAGCTTGCGAGGATGAGAACATAGAGCCACAAGACGATGCCGGCGATGGAACCGATGCGAGTATCCGCACCAGCTGCACCCGAGAGAAGAAAGACGGAGTTAATGGCAATGAGACCGGCGATAGCGAGGACCTCGATTACGACAGACAAGCGCTCGGCAGGTGGGATATCGGCCTGGACGATGGAGCCCTTTGTGGTGGTCTTGACGAGGGCAAGACGGCCCCCGTTGATCTCAAGATCGTCATCGTCATCTTCCTCTTCAGAACCAACATCCTCGTCCGGAGGAAGCGCAGTGTGCTCCTCAGCAGTATTCGGGTGGGTCTCGGCTAGGGACTGGTATCCGTCGCTTCGTCTCGATTTGAGGGCTTGTCGAATATTGTGGGAGAAGATCTGGAAGAGAGATAAGACTACTACGGTCAGGGGTATTAGAACTTTTAGGTAGCTGTTGGCAGAATGTTAGCACAATGCCTTGTGCCGGCAGAAAACGAGACGGGAGGCAGCTCAATGGATGGATGCAGGGATTGTTTGCTGAGGGCAAACAAACAGCACTCCCCCACATCGCCAGCAGCCGACATCCGAGCTCAGGGCGGAGTGATAATGACGTGGAGAACGGCGACTGGAGACTCGAGAGTGAAGAATAGACACCACTGGCGCGGGAACTCGGAAGATACTCACTGATTCTTGAAGCACGGCGACAGGTCATCAATGCGCCATATCGGCCATTGACATTGTGCATAATTGCCCGTCATGTTTCCAGAGACCACACCACGCACACAGAGGTGGGCGGGTTAAACTTTGCGAGGTGGTTCCCTCTACTGTTCTCTTTATCCTCCTTCGTTCTTCTATTCTGTCGAAGGGATTTTCGGGTTTCTCGATTCGAAGGCCACAAGGGCGGCGCAGACTGGACAGGGAAGCGAAAGCCTGGTCGGTTCGCAGAGTGTGGTGGAAAAGAAAAATAAAAATGATGGAAGATGGGAAGAAATCAATGGGGTGAGGCTAATAAAGGTCTGGTCAATTGGTAAAATTTGGGGCCGACTAAAAAGACCCCTGCGGTTGTGAATTGGTGACGGGATTCCCACGTAAGAGCGAGCGAACCACAGCCAGCATAGTAGCTACTGTGTAGCCTTTATGTGGGGACTGATCAATATGCGATCAGATCTCGATCTTGATCTTATTCGAGGCCAATAACAATATCCACCACAGAATACCGTCCGATACCGCATACACCTCTTAGGGGTGATGAAGATAGGAGACAGAGCGAAAGGAGACGAGGGGGGAAATAAGAAGAAAGACGGGAAGAAGTTGAAGTGGCAAGGAAGAATAAGGGAAAAGAAGAGTAGTGATTTGTAAAGAAAAGGCGGAGAGGGAAGTTGCAATTAGAAGAACGGGGAGGGAAGGAAGTGAAAAAGGCCCTCGGACGAGAAGCCGGAGAGCGACAATGGGCTTGGGACTTGGATGACGGATGAACGAGGGTGGGCCACCTTCCTGTTTTACGCGTCGGAGATTTTGGCGGATGATGACATTTGAAGACTGGGAATTTCTGGGGGTTGCTCTTTCCTCGTCTCCTCGTCTCTTTGTCTCAATGGCAGCACAAGAGGAAGGAGTGTCTGGCGGCTAGCCTGAGCCCGAACCGATCCGCCGGGAGGCGAGTCTTGGTATCACTATCGCGTATTACTCAGTTCGCCGACGATGGGTCTGAAAATAAGATCAGTCGTCGAGAACTTGAACTTCAATGGAGCTCGCTCGCCGTTACAGCAGTGCTTGATGCACCTCGAGCATTCCTAATCCCTGAGCTATGCGAAGCGTACACCACTTCGTATGTGTGTGTGGTCTGGGTAAAATCCACTAGCGTGCAGATTTCCGCAGAATCAGATGCTGGAAACGTGCGGCTAGTGCTTCAAGTGGGGCATGTGGTAATATCATCGATCAAACAAGGAAACAAGCGAAGGACTTTCGTCCAACGATGCAAGTGGACAAGACTCTGGACATCTGGAGGTGTGTAGTAGTGGAGATAGGAATTGAAGCTCTTGCCGGGTATGTACATGGGTTGATCAATTGATACATGAAGCACGTACATTATTGCACTCCGCTACTTCCTACATTTGGGGTACATCTGAACGCCTGGCAGGGAAGCTCTGGTGGAGGCAGCTTGGGTGGAGGCGAGTGGAGAGAAGTGGGGAATACGAGTACGCTTCAAACGTACATATGAAGTACACGACGGAAGAAGACATGAGCACGCCAGCATTGTACTCACGCAAGTCATTACTCTCCTTCATCTGCCTAGCTATCCTCTATATTAGTGTAGTGCAATTGCACACTAATATCGAAGATGGAGGTACAATTTGTAAACCGTGACCCACACAACGGCGAGTACTTTTGCTTTGCTCATCCGAATCGAGTCCACCAGGCCTACAATACATTAATATAGTCCCAAACCAAGAAATGTAGTGTACGGCTTTGTTTCCGAAGCATCGACACTATCATAATGGACAGGTACGCATATCAAATAAACTTGTTCCCCTTCCAATGTTGTCGGTCTCCAGGCGTGATGCCCCAGGCCTATCCTGTATTGTTTCCTTTGCAGTTTATTAATGTACTTCGTAGGTATTAGACCATCTAACACCGCAGAGCCCCGAGATCGGTGGGGAGGGGTAATATCGGCGAATATCAATGGGACGGGGAAGCGTCGCACACCGCACTTCCAACACCCCCAGCCGCCCTTTATCTTCCAAGGATCAAGAACAGAGCCGGAGCCCTCGACTCGCATCAATTGATGTGTTGCCAACCCGGCAAGGTCAAGCAAGGACCCCAGAATCATCACAAACTCATTACCATCGCGAAACTCTAGCTCGGACGGTTCCCTGGTCGCAATGGATAGAGTCTAGCGGGCAGCACAGGGGTTTCCTCCTCTGGATGAGCAGCGCGAAGACCGAATTCCAGCTTCCGCACTGGCCAACGGATTGCCGGGATCCAGAACCCGCAGACCCGCTTCCAAGGTGAGAGCCCCAGAGAACACAGGGCAGTGGCATCTCTCCCGACCGAGCTCTGGTCTCGGTCGGTCCAGTCCAGTAATTTTGAAGAGGTCAAGGTCAACAAAGGCAAAGGTGGAACAGACAGATCGGTAGTCGTTAAATTTAGCGGTCTGGGGGTCCGGGAAGCTGGCAAGTCATGTTTCTTGGGGGTTTCATAGGTGTTAAGATAGAGGTGAAGGATATCAATTCAAATTGGAACAAGAATGGGTGCTGTGCAGCCTGCATAAGAAGCGAAGGAATTGATGATAGCGCCAGATTTGGGAGACCTCTCTCTGCTCATTGCATTGTCTTGCTCGATGAGGTCCGTCCCATCAAGGTACCTCAGATCAGTACTTCGTTGTGTACAACCAATTGTATCATTCCGTGCCCCGCTCTTCCCCGTTCACCTGCATTGCACTTCATTGATCCTGCACCGCTTCGCTACGGTCCATTGCAACTGCTCCAACTTCCACCTTGACCCAAATCCCAAGCTCTGCTGGGATCGATGATCCACAACTCTCAACTTGTTAGCTGATGACCGAGATCTCACCACAAAACTCTTAGCGTCCCGATCTCCACGTCCACTTCGAAGGTAGTCTCTTCCGCCATTAGCGCTTTGAGGCTCCTGGGGTTCCAATCAGCATGATGACTGCAGGGTCGTGCTAATCACATGCGGATAGTATATCCGCAGCCAACGGCAGCGTAGCATGGCTGCAGGCGCCTGCTGCATTAGGTATTTTCATTTTCTCATATCCTTGCTTGACGCAACAACTTCTGTCCTGTCCGTGAATTGGGCCTGAAGCTTCCGCCCAACAGTCTCACACTCGGTACTCTGCCTTCCCGACAAGCACTTGCGGGAGCAAATAGTCCATCTCGTGGGTCTAATATTGCATTGACGTCTGGAGCAGGGTGGATTGGTTGGCATTCAATTCTGCATTTTCGCTATTATAGGATCCCCCACCACATTTTGACAAGGGACATTAGATGCTCCGAAGAACGGCATCTCAGAAGCCCGAACAAATTTGATATCCTTAGGACCAGGTCTCACCCCTCAGCTGGACTTCGGTCGGCAGGCACGCTACGAGACGAAGACTTAACTAAGATGAACGAGCGGGCGGGATCCGGACCATGACACTAAGGATAAGATACCGAGTAGTCAGGCACCATGGAGGGGCCATAGCACTAAGACCCGTGATATCTACTTCAACGGTTGGTCTCTGTGCCTTTAGTCCGTGGCTCTCGCTGAGCTATAGGTTATTCTTCTTCGAGCATAGACCGGCCGGAGTTACCCTCTGGTTGCGGAGGTTTACAAAGCCGACTGAGACATCAATCCACGGAATAGGATTAGGCTATTGCTCACTTGGATCGCGCATGCCGTACGGAAAAGGGAATGTTGGCCTGGAATCTCCAGCGAGTGATTCAACCGCCATTCAGCAACATTGAAATCTCTCGCTTTCACATCCCGATTCAAAATTTCACTGACCAGACAAAAACCTCGGCCGGGATTGGTCCTTGGGTGGAAGCGGGGTCCAGGAAGGGAACGGCGATGGCATCACGGCTTTCCCACATGTCTCACCGCCTGCGACTCTGCTTCATCTGCAGGTGCCCTGGGCGACACCACATGGAGTATATTTTGTATTACTTGCATCCACGTTCCTACTGGGAGTTTGAAATGGCGGAAATGCCCATTGAATGCGTTAGAATTGGTCGGCTGACGGGCTCCACTCCCAGGGTGCCTGTAATTCCCGTCTTGCAGGGCAGAGGCAACTCCTCTCTATCTACACAAGGGCGTCGTTTGAGGAAAGGAGAGCGCGAATGGAAACTCTCGAATTGGGTAATGACGATTCAACCACCGAAATGGCCGTTCAATCAAGAACATTGAATCTTATCACCCCTCCAAGTCAAGATTGGCCGTCTCCATCTTCTATATCGGTCCTCTCAATGAGTGTGGGACCTTATCCAGTTCTCTCTGCAATTAAGATCGATACTTGTGTAAAGCACGAAGCAAAGGATGAAGGAATATCCCAACCCTCTATCAACACCCACCATGGCCTGGGCCCGAGGAATGCGAACCTAGCTTATGCAAGAGCAAGCACATTCGTTATTTGTGATCTGTCAAAAAAATCACACAATATATCAGGTGTGAATCCTTCCATTGGCCTTGCATACAGCCTCAAGTGCGAACCTGCAATCCGAATATGAAGTCTAAAAGAATGGTTGAAGCAAAACAAGAAATAAAAATAGGGAACCTGCATCCCCCGTCGTTTTTTCCTTGTTACTCCAGTGGCTGCCTGATATGCCCCTCCGCCTCCCTCCCACCAGTTCAGTGTCGCAGAGGTCGCATTCAGATAACACTCCCAGTCTAATATTACCCCACGATCGAGGATGACTCTTCTCCTCACCGCACTTCGTATATGTCTTGTCCTCACCTTGGTTCGCGACACATAATCACATTGTGCCATTTCTCTTGATACCACCTCTTGTGGGGACCACCTGCCGTTTCGTGCTCGCCCAGTGACACCACTTGCAAATAATATTCAGGCAATGGTGATGTAGCTCCCCTGCTCTGCATATCCGAATCCCCTTGACCAGCATCTCGCCTCTGCACACGCATCCAAGCCCCAGATCCAACCTTGTTCTTTATTTCTGTTTGCTCTCTTTTTCCTTCTGCATTCGACACGCCCTCGGCAACCTTCTTCCAGCTAAGCCCGCTTCTTCCCAAAGTACCGTAAGCCATGCATACGCCGTCCGATATACCACACCACACATCATTTGATACACACCCACTTATACGGCTGTCCTCAAGCCAGAACAAGAAGGCAGTCTTGCCCGTAGAATCATTACAAAGTACGAAGCGCGGAAAAAAAAACCCGGCCGGATTGAGTCACACGGGCACCTTTTCCTCGCCGCGTCGCCCCCACAACTCGTGTGCCAAAAAAAAAAAAAAAAAAAAAAAAAAAAACGCCTTTCTCCGCGCCCTTTCGGCAAAAGTCATTTGGTCCGCCGTTCCTCCCACTAAAGGATCGTATACCGTTCTTTTCCGCCCAATCTTTCTTTTCCTTTTTTTTTTTTTTCTTCCTAACCAACCTCGTCCCAAGAAAGGATGTGGTTACCAATTGGCCAATCAAGACCTATGCATTCGGGCTTAGGGTGCGTTTCTGGCCCCCATGGCTTGTGACGGGTGGCGGAACGGGGATCCCTACCCTTGTAACCCTTTGACAAGTTGACTTTGTTCCTTTGCAGTGAAACCCATGGATTCTTGACACATTGAACAAGGGATGGAAAGAAACACAGGCCTCTGAGATGCAGGAGAACCCTGCCCATGACTGTTCTCTTTATTTTCTTTGATATTTTACGCGCCCCGACTCTGAGGGGCCGATACTCGGTCCGAGGGCGCCTGTTGGCTTCTGTCTTTCTTTCCTTCCTTCCTTCTTCCCTTTGAATTTGAAGCACTTGAAGAGAAATATACCTCCACGTTGTCCTCGTGACGAAGTCTCGGGATAAAATCCAGCGTTCGAGACACCGGGATTAGACTTCCAACACCTGTTCCCTTTTTGTCCTTCTTTCTTTCCCCTTCCTCCTCCTGGGTAAGGAGACGGTGGAAGCTAACTAACTCTAGAGACTTTGCATCCTGTCATGTCTGTCCTGTCCAGCTTGAGCTCCCAACTCCCGTTCCCTTCTCTTCAAACCTACAAAGTTCGTGCCTGAGCGAAGCGGAAACAACTCATTGATGAAAACAAAATGTATGAATTTGACCCTTTTTTTGAAGTACTCATACGAGCTCTACGCCCTAAGATAATACACAAGGATTTCCCAATCCATGCCAAGCTCCCCGCCGTTCTAACCCCAACATGGAAAACAAAGAAAGTCCCAGAATGTTTTTTGTTTCTTTCGTTAGAAGAGAGAGAAAAACGCAAGCCTTAGTCCACTTTATTACATTGCTTTTTCCCCGAGCGAAAAGAGATACAGGGGCTCGTAGTGGAAGCACGAGCTGTCGTGTGGTGGAAAGATAGGAGAGGAGGGAATAAAACAGAGACAAAATCAGAGCACAGAGTCTCCGAGTCTTATTTAACCCATGATCATTCCCTTCATACCGGCGAGGTCGCCTTCCTTCGCGGCTATTTCGAAGTAACCGTAGATGATACTAAATGACGAATCGTGTTAGCTAAATGTGACACCCACATTGTGATTAATTGGGAGGGAACGTGTCATGAACTTACGTCACAGCGAGAAGGGTACCAGTGCCAGAGCCGAGAGCTCCCATGAGGTCGCTGGCAACCGAGAGAGCACCAATGCAGGCACCACCGAAGGCGGCGGCGGTGGGGATGATGCGCTTGAGCTCCTTGTACATGGACTGGTCACGGTGACCGGCCATGACGAGACCCTGGTCCTTGAGCTGCTTGGCGACATCGCGGGGGCTGGAGCCGGAAACCTCAATCCAGGTCTTGGAGAAGATGGCGCAGGCAGTGAGCATGTAGCCGATGTAGACGACGGTATGGATGGGGTCGAGGAGGGCATCCTTGAAGTTGAGGGGAGGCGACATGTAGTAGACGAGACCCGAGACGGCCTGGAGCTGGGAAGAGCCATCCTTCGTCTCCCAGACACCGAAGAGGCGGACGAGGAGGTTCTCGGAGAAGCGCGAGTACAGCATCTGGCTGATGAGGAAGACGTTGGACGAGAGAGCCGACTGCAACATGATGGGCATGTTGGAGGTGTAGAAGAGGCGGACGGGGTACGAGCCACGGGCACCACGCTGGCGCGAGGACTTGACGGGGATCTCGACGCGGAAGCCCTGGAGATAGATGACGGCGGCGAAGACTACAAGGGTGGCGAGGAGGTTCATGATGTTGGGGAGGTTCTGTCGGTAGAAGGCCTCCTGGAGAGCTCGCTGCTTGTTGGGCCAGGTCATGAGGAGGTGGAAGAGGGCAATGATGGCACCCTCGAACTCGGGACCACGGCCAGTGTTGATGGTGGTGGGGGAGAAGGCCTTCCAGACGATGGACTCGCAGATGTTGGTAGCAATGAAGAGCGAAATGCCGCTTCCAAGACCATAACCCTTCTGGAGAAGCTCATCGAGGAGAATGACGATCATGCCGGCAACGAAGAGCTGGAGGATGAGGAGGAAGACAATGCCGGCGCCGAGGTCGGAAGGAGTTCCGTAGAGGCCGCTGAAGACGTAGACAGTGGCGGTGCCAGCGGAGAGAATGAAGGCGAAGAGCTTCTGAGCGGTCTGGTAGAGCTCGCGATCGGACTTGAGGTCAAGGTTGACGTCGATCATGTGGGTACCGGCAAGGAGCTGGAAGACCATGCCAGACGAGATGATGGGGGTGATACCCAGTTCCATCAACGTACCGCGATTACTAGCCATCACCATTCGCAGCCAATATAGGGGATCGGAGTTGTCCGACGACACGATACCGTACAGGGGCATCTGGCTCATCACCAAGAAGATGAGGAGGGTCAGAGCCGTCCACATTAGCTTCTGGTTAAAGGGAATCTTGGTTTCCGGCTGCTGAACCTCAGGGAGGAACGGCACGAACGGCTTGACCAGGTCGAGGAACCGTACTACATTGCGGGAAGAGGCACGCGACGATTAGCTCTCGTTTTCTCGGCCATTGGAGCAATTCACGCGGAAATGAAGCTTCAGGAACGCGATAAAGATGTATATGACGCGCGATCCAATGCCCACGCGAGGGAAATAGCGGATGGCGATGGCGATTCAAGGGAGGAGAATGCGCAACTTACAGGAACTCATGATGGGCGATTATTGGGGGAAGGAACCGAAACTGAAAAAGGGGAAGAAAAGGGAGAAGTCTAAATCATCCGGAATATAGAATAGAAACAAAAAAGGCGAAAGAACAGACAGACGAGCTTCGGTCGAAAGCTCGGCAGGTCCTCGAAGCAGAAGTCGATGGAGGAGGTTGTTGTGGGAAGGGGGAGGTTGAAAAATAGATTAGGGATAGCTGGCTTGGACACGGGGGCTGGAGATCTGGCATCAAGAAGGGTCATTCCTGTTTCTGTCAATGTGTCCAAAAATTTGGTGTGGACTAGATGACTAAGCTACCCCTGGGTCTGGGTCGTTTAGTATTGTGATGCAACCAACTCAACATGGACTTCCTTCAGTGGGGTCTGGGGACGCTTGGCTCAAGCTGTTCATTTTCCCCATTTCGCTGCCTGATTTAATAGGCCTGAACGAAGTCGGCATGGTGTGCTTTCAGACGTCAGACATATTGTCCCAGTGTCTCCCTCTTTCGCTTGGTTTGATTTGGATCGTATAAAACAATTATCAATTGACCCATTACTTTTTTCCCTCCTCCTTTCCAAATTCATGACAGCGCAAAATGTATAATGAGCCCGGCCTCCTTTTTCTGGCGGTTTCGGCCGAGATATTATTGAATGGACAAGAGACGCTAGTCTGGGGAAGCAAATATACCTATTCTCACGGGAATAAACCTAAAAATAGCTATTGAACATATTAACAAAAGCAAACCGGTTGGTGGGTCTACATTGAGCAGTATCGCTAGATAGAGAGTAGGATAATCGAATTGCTTGACGACGGACCTGATTCCCAACGCCAGTGTTATCAATATAAAGTGAGCCCATTGCAAAGGCACCTCATCGCAGATTATCAATGACTTCTCGGCCATCAGAAGGGCGATAAGGTAGGCATGTAACAAACATACTCTAGTATCAACATGGGCAATCATGGGCAGTCATGGGCAATGAATAGATGACGTTCGAGTTGTAGGACGAGATCCTCGTTTAGAACGTACCTTCCAAGTTTTGAGGGTGGCAGTTTACACCTGCGTATGTGTTATGTATGAAATCTTGCTCTAGATTCTTACCGTCTCATGGAAGCTCAGGTGGCCTAGCGGCGACGCACTGCTTACAAACTACTTCCGCAAGGCGCCGGTGTGGAACCCGGTCATGGTCAATCCATGAGGTGTGGAGGAAATGTGGGAAATGGGAATGGGAAGGGAAATTGGGGACTGGGGAGGGAGAAGTGGGAATTCTTTTTTTGTTAGAACCTTCATTATTTCAGAGATTCGTGTTTACTTTTTTTCTCTCTTGCCTTTCTGCGAGAGTCTTTTCTTTGGGGCTCTGGCGAGGTTGCGATGTGTACTCGAAGTTGAGGCGAGGTTGAGGGGAGAGGCTTGGAGAGGTTGTTTGGTTCGAAACTAGTGTTGGACTTGTGCACCTCTTTTTCGGTTCTTTCTCAGCATCTCACCAACAATAGACGCGGTCCTAGTGCTCTAATCGTGCGGGCCTCGTTCCTTTCTGTTTCTAATTTGTAAGTGCGTTCCTTAATCAAGTGCGCAAGCGAGATCCCCAGGTGCCGAGTGGCTCTCCAACTCGTCCTATTTTTTAGTTGTCACGAAAACGGTCTTGAGGTTACCAAATGAATGGATAGGGCTTGGTATTGAAAAACCGACTTCAAATTAGAGCTGGACTATGGAACGGGTTACCTAACCAAGTACAAATGGCGTCTGACTTCTTAGAAACGTTAAGGAAGATGTGCACGCTAAAGGCACAAAGGAAAGATGCCGTTATCGATTCTAGCGGATAACTTATAAGCGCGGACTTTCGTGAGATGGGAGGAATGGTGCGAGAGATATAAAGCTCATCAAACTTGATCTCCACAACTCTGCGACCCTGCCGCATATAGATAAGACCCACAGAATCGCAGCTATGCGCCCTGTTGTAACCATGGCAGTTAAATTAAGACTTGTTTGTATAGGCCTCGTTTATTCAAAACTATTGATCTATTTTGGGAATATAATTCCATCAGTCAGTCACATGCTGTGTAACTCCTTGACTACTCTACCCCCGACTACTCTACGGGAGTTATAGACGTCCTTCATCTCGATACCGTACCTCGAAATGCTAGGTGCAAGAGGCAGGGGATGCCATAGGCCGCTGGAAGCTATCGTCGCCTCACCCGTTTGCTGCGGGATAATGTTGTCGACGAGACTGACGCGGGAGAGATAGACATCTTGGAGTTAATCACCATAGTGGTGAGACATACCGGTTGACAACCGGGCTGCCTTGAACGGCATAATCGTCGCGTGCTCCCCACCTCCTTTCCCCGTACACAGTCCTACTCTTTATAGTTTTCCTGAGACCTCTTTAAACTTACAGTATAGTTTCCCGTCCTCCCCCTCTCCGGAGATGTTGTCTCTTGGATATTATGGGAGCCAAGCAGATGTCACTAGAGTCGTCGATCAGAGGAGAATCCGGATTCTATCATCCATCCGTGCTGGTCTCATATCTATGGAAGCTTTGCTCCTTCAGCATCAACATCGCAAAATCGCGTTTGAATTTATTAATCACCCCATCCCGACTTTGCCAGAACAGAGACAGCAAACTGATGGTTTGAAACAACAATTGAAGAGTGATATCATATCATTCCCGGCGAGGCTGGATTTTTCCTGGAGCTATTTCACTACTTTTTGGCGTGTGTCATAAGGACAACTGCCCATCCTCGAGCGTTAACCCGTAGAATTCTGTGGACGCGGTAATCCTGTTAACACGTTTGGCTGTACAGAATGTAAGGAGAAGTCGTCAAGCCCCAAGGTAGCTGACCAACATGCGAAGGAATAATAACATGCCCTGACCAGGCTGGTGAATGTGTAACCAGGAAATTAATTTCTTAGGACATCGGAGTAAGGGAACCAACGATCCTCAGCTGTGATGAAAAAAATGAATAGGATGGGCACGCAACAGGTCAGCATTGCCATTCCTCCATCTCCTCCCCACTTCTGAGTATCCATCCCAGTCCTTTCCGTCTATGATGCCTGGCTGTACTATGATCCGGACGTGATCTACCTCCACATCAACGCTCCTCCCGCGGCCGTTGCCAGGGCTCGGTCTGGGAGACGAGGAAAATGGAGCTCGATGATTTTCAACGTTCCCAACTTGTCGTTAAGTATGCTGAATCACCTGACTATACCAGAAACGGCGTCGAGATCGTGCGTATGGAGCATAAGAGCGATTTCGTCCGGGTAGCCGCCGTGGAGGCATACGGCGGCATCTATCTCGACATGGACGCAATCCCGCTGCGAGACCTTCGATCCTTGCTCGAGACCGGGTTTAACACTATACTGGGTAGGCAAGCGAACGGTGATGTTATGAGTGGGAATTTCATCGGCAAGGCGGGCTGTGAGTTTCTCTCAAGGTGGAGGGCCGAGATGAATGAGGTCTTTGACCAGGGATGGATTACCCATTCGAACATCGCAATGACGAGGATAGCAAAGCGGCTTGAAAGGCTGGACCGCGAGGTTCTCATTATGGAAAGACCTATCATGAGACGTGAGCACTGGAAGGGGACAGCCACCCAGGCTTTCTACGGAGTCCATTACCACGTGGAGTCTAATCTGAAGAGGCTTTCTAACGGAGCGCCATTTGGAGATTTTAACGAGGGTATAGAGGACAGGTGGGACGAGTCGAAGAAGAAAGATATCCCAAAGTGGCAGAGGGATTACTCGGACACATATATCCTTCATTCATTCCACGAAAATCGCGGACTTCGTCTACCTAAATCTTTTGGCCAGGTGGCGCCGGGCCATGTACTGGAGAGGGGGGAGTGACTTTGCGAGGGCTGTGTACCCCATCGCGAAACATTTGTACGACAACGGCTTTATAGCATTTAACGATCCATGGAAATATACGTAATTGGGGGCTAGACGCATTGATGTTTTACATGGCTGTTGCTGAGTTCAACGTTCGATTGATGTTTCGTGAGGTGAGATGTTTTAGGGGTCCACTTGGCTCCCCGACCTGGATCACGCTCGCTCTTCTGATTCCTGATTCAAATCCGAGTCAAATGTCGCGTTGCGCATCATCTTGCTGAGCTCAGCTGCAGGTACGTATCCCAACCCTGGTCCGTGCATGGGCCTTCGAAATATTTAGGACCATCACCCAAGAAATCACGCCCAAACCCAGAGCGAAGGCCATTTGCAGAGAGTGCGCAGTTGTCGAAATTCAAGATCGCCTTAGCCTTTGAGCTCGCTATCTTGCGTCGCTTATGGGATGCGATCCTGGTGATACTACTCGCTATGTATTAACCGTGCACAGATGAACCGAGTTTTCCGCTTGATCTCTCGCCTGCGAAATGTCAGAACCATGACCGCGCCCAAAACCTCTCCGCCGACTCGACCCCTTGTGGTCATCTTGGGGTCTACAGGCACGGGGAAATCAGATGTGAGGATGCCCAGTTGACTCTTAAAATAAAGTAATAGAGGTCTTTCCTATATTAATAGAAATTTCTAATGCTTTTGGACCGTTAGCTTGCCGTCGAACTCGCCACGCGGTTCCGAGGTGAAGTTATAAACGCCGATGCGATGCAACTGTACCGTGGCCTGCCCATCATAACGAACAAGATGCCCGTCGCCGAACGCCGTGATATACCCCATCACCTTCTCGACCACATATCTCTGTCGGAGGAAACATGGGTCGTCGAGGACTTCAAGCGCGAGGCGACATCCCTAGTCCAAGAAATCCGGAGTCGGGGAAAGCTGCCCATCGTGGTGGGCGGGACACACTACTACACGAACGCGCTTCTCTTCGAAAACATCCTAGTCGAAGCGGAGGAAGATAAGAGTACCGATTTCCCCATCCTGGATGCGTCGACCGAGATCATACTGGAGAAGCTTCGGGAGGTGGACCCGATTATGGCTCAGAGGTGGCATCCCAATGACAGGCGCAAGATCCGGAGGTCATTGCAGATTTATCTGCGTAGCGGACAACGCGCTTCGGACATTTATGCCGAGCAGCGCAGCAAAAATGCAGCCTCCGAGAAGGCTCAGAATGAGGACGGTGACGAGCCGCCGTGGGAGACCCTGTTATTTTGGGTTCATTCCGACCCGGAGGTTCTGAAGACCCGTCTTGACACGCGAGTTGACAAGATGGTACAAACCGGTCTTATGGACGAAGTCCGTGATCTCTACAAATACCTAAAAGAGCAACGCGACGCCGGTAATGACGTCGACCTAACGCGGGGCATCTGGCAGTCAATCGGTTTCAAGGAATTCCAAAAGTACCTCGAGGCCACGGATGACGCCGCCAACGCCACGGAAGCCCTTACAGAGAAGGCCATAGCTAAGCTCAAATCAGCAGCAATACAAGACGTGAAGACTGCAACGCGGAGATACGCGGGCTACCAGACCAAATGGATCAAGCGGAAGCTCATCCCGCTCTTAAAGGAGGAGCACGACCGTGCCTGCGATCACTTGTTCGTTTTGAATAGCACCGACGTGTCGGTATGGTCCGACAATGTCGCGAGACTAGCCGGCGAGATCACGGAGGCATTTCTTGAGGGTCATGCTTTACCTGCTCCGGTGAGCCTCTCCGACGCGGCGAAGCTGGTTCTTGAGGGCGCGACCGACTCTACGGAGTATGTGCCGTGCAGGAAGACTTGCGAACTCTGTAACGTGACGGCCTTGTATGAGGTCAAATGGCAGGAGCACTTGCGAAGCCATCGACATAAAAGGGCGGCTTCGAGGCAGAAGAAGCGGGCGCTGGTCCCCGTTCCGGTTGACGTGGGTGTCAAGGATACAAAGCCGAATACGAGTCCAGAGAGTACTAGCCTCGGTTTAAGCTTAATAGACCCGCCTTGAGATTTCACGATAACTCTAAGCCTTCAAGTAAGGATGCGTGCCCAAAGATAAAGGTAAAAATGTCTTCTTGACGGAAAGTCCCATGCAAAATGCCCATTGGAGAGAAACCCGTAATAAGCCATTCTGAGATTTGCACCTTGACCCACTTCTCCTCGAGTCCTGCAAAAGCAATAATCTATGACGTATTGATAGCAACGGTCACCTCACTCCTCATAACCCGCTCTAGCCTCCAGCCTGTCCTCTTCGTCGTCAACTTGTCGTCCTCGAATATCTCCCCGAGCCTCTCGACCACTGGGCATTCCGACGCTGACAGGGGGAAGATTGTCGATTAACCCATCACTTGAGACACCGAGAAACGACGAAAGGAATCTCCCGAGCCTTTGCTACCAGGGAGAGCAGCCATGGACTCACTGCTGCCTACTTCATACTCCATAGTTTCTTTGCTGCTTCCTGCAATGTGGCCTTCCGTCTCGGAAATAATCTTGTCCAGGGGGATCTTCCATACTTGCCACCTGGTCAGCCTTAACGCTTGCTTCCGTTGCCCTCACCCGTGATGACGTCCCCAAAGCCCTCGGATCTCTCGTACTAGCCCAGGCAGGCAACTCAATGGCTCGATGCTCTCACTAAGGATGGATTATGTCATGCGAGTCGGCAAAAATTTCTCCGCCAACTCCGATCTGTCCAGAATGTTTCATGGCAGTTGTCATTCTTTCTGGACTAGACTTGACAGCTGCCATATATTAACGGCCAAAGGTACTTCGTACGTCGTGCGCCTGCCAAGAGCTGTCGGACATAGTCGTTTTCGGCGTTTAAACGGGTACGAATACTCGCATACCTCGGACAGAGGATTCCTAACACCGCGAATAAGAGGGGGTTAGCGTCGCTTTTACGCGTATTGCAACCCCAAACGGATTATTGCACCGGGTATCCCTACTTCGTACCTTCGCTCCTTCACCAAAGCAGAAGGCCAAGCTACGGGATGAATCGGTGGGGTTAATCTCCGGCGGCGGCTTAGAGGTTTACGTGGTGTTTGTTATCTGTGCACATGCCCTCAGGCTTCGGGAGGGAGCACAGAGCGGAAGTCCGCCATGACTTGGAAATGTGGCAACAACGCCAGGCAGCAGGATTATTTCATTCTGTCTCCTTCTGCACACCTTGTCCGGCACTTACTATGTACGACTTGGGTGTACTTTCAGGGAAAACTTGACCTTTCAAGGATAACTGCACACGCACTCAATGCTACACTGAGGGCTCAGGAGGGTTACCACTACTTTGCAGAGCACAATCGCCGGACGGTCGTGTTGGGAGATTGACCTGGTTTGGTTTCGGGGGACTGGCTTTTGGCGTGGTTCTTTGGCGGAGGGATTCCAGAGTCCGAACTTGGAAGTACACGAGGTACTTGTACACACACTTGTACACACACTTGTACACACCCTCCTCGAGCTTCATCGTAGCATCTCAGCTTGCCACCCTGGGCCGTCACTCGTCACATCATTGGGTGGCCTTGCCACTTGATGCCAACTGCTCCGCTGAGACTTGACCTGTATCAAAATGCTCAAACATTTGATCAAGGTTCAATGTCATGTCCCACGCACCCCGCCACAAAGTGATAATATTTGCCCATGGCCCACTACGTCAACGCTTCGGGTTCACGCGTGCTTGTTTGATCTCATCCTTTTGCAGCTCCTACTTTTTTTCCTATCCTTCATCTTTAGGCCAACATTTCTGTCATCAACCTCGAGCAACATCCAATAACTCCATTTATGTACCTTAGTTTCTAGTCTCATCCCATTCCGCCTTCTCCCTCAAGCTCTACCATCAGATCAGACTCTTCTTGCGGTGGCGTTTTTACCCCTCCACTGTGAGACAAGCCTCAGCGATAAAGCTTTGCCCTCATCATGGGAAGCAGCACAACGCCTCGATCTAGCCTAGATATTCTCTTCTGATTCCCGGGATTCATCTTTTCCGGAGTCTGCCATTCTCTGTGGAATCCGAATTCCGGTTGGATAGCGCTACGTCGAAGAGGGTCGACCCAGTCTCCATTCCCGTGACATCCGAAGAGCTTTGCTAGCCTCTGGACCACGGCGCATAACCGCCTGTATCTGACTACAGACTACGTCTACCCTCAACCGATCAGCCTAGGAGCGTCCCTCCACGCCAGTCCCTTTTTGCCCGGGGACGTGGGCCTTGCGCTTGTTCGGCGGCATTCATAAATGCGCCGCCTCCCTTGAAGGTACCTTTTACACAACAAATTTGGTGTGCCCTGCGCGCATCTTCGTCTAGAACCATGTCTTCATCTACGGGTGCTCCAACCCCTTCTTCCACCACCTCTACAACCGCCGGGAAGGCTCCGAGGATCCTCGCGTGCGTCCTCTGTCAACACCGCAAGATAAAATGTGACCGAAACATGCCCTGCTCTAACTGTATCAAGGTATGCGCCTACCATGTACTTCGCGCCTCTCTCCCATTTGCGATTTTCACCAGGCTCCGTAGTCCCCACCCTACGCAGAGCGCTTCCTTTCCCAACTCCATTGATGATATTTCTGCTTCCGCTACTGCCGCTGACCCTCTCTGATGTATAATCCACTTCTTCTCAGGCCAATGTCACATGCACGCCGAGCACTCCAGCGCCGGCCCGCAAGAGGCGCCGGCCGAATCAAGACTTACAGGAGAGGCTGGCGAGATGCGAGGCTTTGCTGCAAAACTACGCCACTGCTGCTGCTGCGTCGGGCGAGTCACCGGCCGGGCCAAGTACTAATCATGTTGTTATCCCTACCGGCGCTGGATCTCGCTCATCCATCATTGCCCGGGATCCATCCAAGTATCCCGACCCCATGCCACCCTGGACACCTGCTGGAAAGGTAGTTGTGGAAGACGGCAGTACTCGTTTCGTCGATAGCTTCCTGTGGGGTAAATTACACGATGAGGTGTGTTAGAGAATCCATCTACAGCCCTTCCCAGACCCTCTCAACGAGTAGTCTAAACTAACGTAGCATGTACATCATAGCTCAATGAGATGAGGAGAATCATCGAGGCTGATGAAGCTGAGGATCATTCCACTTTGGCTTCTGAAGCGGCTACTCCAGAAGACGCCACCGATCTCCTGCTTGGCGACTATGCTAGTATGAGCCTGGATGATGCGTACCCCGAGCCGGTTCACGTATTCCGTCTATGGCAGATATTCCTCGAACGGGTGAACCCAATCATCAAGATTATCCACGTCCCATCTATCCAGCCCTACGTCGTCGAGGTAGCCAGCGGCAACTGGAACGTTCCGCCGAATCATCAGCCGCTCTTATTCTCCATCTTCAACGTTGCCGTTTTTTCCCTGTCTGACTCGGAGTCTCGGCAAATGCTTGGCATGTCGCGCGAGTCGGCTTTGCGCAAGTTCTCGTCTGGCGTCCGGGCGGCGCTGATGAAGGTCAACTTCATGAAGACCTATGATCTCTACATTCTCCAGTCTCTAGCGTTCTATTTGGTATGTGTCTTTCTTAGACTTTGTCAGCTGGAGCCTCCACGGGCAACGGTCTTGCTAACCTTGAGTAAATCTAGCTCTCCCTTTATGGCCGTCATAATCGAGATGCGGCTTGGATCTTCAGTGGGGTGTGCATTCGTATCGCGCAAAAGATGGGACTTCACCGAGACGGCGAAAGCCTCAATCTAACTCCATTCGAAACCGAAATGCGCAGACGATTGTGGTGGAATCTGGTGATCCTAGATGCGGCGTGGGCACTGCTATCCGGCATGACGTATCCTATAATCTCCGTCAACTGGACCACCAAAGTACCGCGGAATGTGAACGACGCCGACCTTTTCCCGGGATCGACCGAACCGATCCAGGAGCGGGACGGGCCGACGGAAATGGGATTCACTCTTCTCATGACTACAATTTGGGGATTCGTCATCAAGTGCCACCATCAATTCCCCGGGTTCGAAGCCGCAGTCCTCGGATTTGATGTCGAGTCAATCGGGTCCAAGGACAGGCCTGCAGAACGACTCCCAATTGACGTCGACAGTTCCCAGCAATTGAAGTACAAAAGTCTCTTGGATCAGTTGAGGGCCGAGCTGGATAAAGTGGTGGATAAGTACATTGATCCTGGAGCCGGAGCAGCGCATTTAGTCGCGTCGAGGCTTCCCCGACTGATATCGGCGAAAGTGGGTCAGCTCTTCGTCCCTATCACCGAGTTACCGGAATATGGAACGGAAATCTTCAACATGGACGATAACTTGTTCCGGTTGGGAGTATATAACATCGAAGGTAACCTGGAGCTATACGATCTGATGAACGCCAGGGGCTTCATGTGGTACTGCCGGTTGCACTTCCAGGTTGAAATGCTCACTGCTCTGGTGGGACAGCTCATCACGCGACAGACGGGTTCATTGGTTGATAGGGCATGGCGGGCGCTCGATGGGCTGTTCAGACATCACCCCGAGCTGTACGACATGTCTTCGAAACCAAACATCACGCTCCGATCCTTTGTCCTCAAGGCGTGGAAGGGACGCGCGCAGGCTCTTACCCAACGAGGGCAGTCGGCGGTGATGCCGTACTATGTTCAGGAGCTAATGAGAGGACTTCCGGAGGGGAGAATATCCGAGTCGGCGACTCCCGGAAGCGTCGTATCATCGGCCGTGGGCGGAAGTAGCCAAAAGACGGGTGGCCAAGATTTCCCCAATGCAAATACGAAGTGGGAGTACGGTCCCGCACACGATCATGGAAGTACCGATAACGGCGGTTTCGGCCCAGGACTTCTAGACATTGGTGCAGTGGATTGGGATATGTTCGCTGACAGCGTGTCCTCTGGACATGGAGCGCCCGGATCGAGTTCTGGGTTGGGATTCGGGGGTTTGGGACCTAATATAGGGCCTCCGTGGTAAGAACGGAAGTTTATTCTTCCTTCTATTTCTACTCGCCCATGCGGCGGTATCGATATATTGGTCTGGGTTTCATTTACGTTTGCCGTCTATTGGGGCTATATGGGCTAGCAAGGCGCGAATAATTAAAGGAGGAAAAAAAAGTATTCCGGAAGGGCCGGAACATGTGTACGATTCACGGGCGTTGGCACCTTGGCGCAAGAGGAGGTTCCTATACGGGGGATATTGGGCGGTTCTACCTTTTCCCCCCTCACCCCCAATCTTCTTTCTTTTTGTTGCTACTTCTTTTCGCTCTTCCGGTGGACAGTATCTTTGCTAGATACACCATGGCATGGATCCAGCCGGAAAACCAGAGCAGGGAGGCTAATTCTGGACTTCGTTCTCAGGCCTTTTGACATCTTGTTCGTTGGCGTTTGATCTTGGATGTCGTATTTATACCCGACACCAATCCTCAAATGTTCATACCCTTCTCCGCCTTTCCCTTCCCCCGCGTGTACCATCACCGTTACGGATTCACGGATTTTACGCACTCTGCCCCGCTTCCCCGCCTCTTCCTCTCTCCTCTGGGTTAGCCTAGACGGATCTTCTGGTTAACGGATCACAGGTTCTGTTTGTGGGAATCGCGATATCTTCATACGATCTCAGGATAAAAAATACAAGAAAAAGAAAAAAAGGCAGACTCTCCGCTTTGGGACCGCATGTAAGAATAGTATGTAGTTAATAACAAACACGATTTCAAGACTTTCCGTCTATCAAGGTCCCCTCTTGGTCTTTCAAATCCTAAGGAGGCCGAAGTGGGAAAACGAGGATGGAGTTTGGGGTATATATGGTTGTAAGGGGCCGATGCGAGCATCGTAAGGGTTCCGGGATGATTGATTCGCTTTAGAGCTTAGGGTTGCGGAGAGTGGTTCTTGGTTGTGGCGTGACTTTGTCGTATTCGGATCCTTGGGTGAGCCCGAGGAGCATTGCTCTCGCGCTTGCCTTCCTTTTCCGTTTCTTTTCTCGCTTTCCTCAGTGTAAATGGAGACTGGCGGTGGTTCTTGTTTTTGCAAGATGTCAGCGTCTCTAAGGGGCATCGCGGGGGCATTTAGCCCTCTTTCGATCCGTGTTGGATTTGCTCGCGAAGATTAATGTCTCCCGCCCCTCCTTGGAGTGCAGCTTGGCTGTTCTTTTCCTCGCTGGATGGGAATGGAGATATATCATAACAGCGGGAAAGATTCGAATGAGAAGGGAAGGAAGAGTCTCTTTAGCATCCTACTTGAGGGATATTTCATCTTTTTAGGGCTGGGGAATTGGCATGTCGAAATCCCGGGGCGTGGGTGTCACAGAGCAACCTCGTGGACTTTCAAAATTGTTCTCCAAAGTGAGATGCCCAGGATATGTCTCGGCACTTTCTACAACGAAAGGCAATCCAGCACTAGGTTCGCTAAACTTATGGCAGCAGGCGGCCTGGAGAGAGAGCACAAGAAAGAGTTGAAAGGCGGCAAGTTGATATTAGAGCTTCTTGGCGTCGTTACCGAGAGAATGGGTCGGCATGGGGGCCAAACAGAAAAGGTCTTGGGAGGTTCGATTTGATGGAACTTTGTACTAGGATACAAGCCCAGGTTCAATGGTGACATTCGCTTCATCTCCAGGGGTTGGCAGCGGAGACGAGAGGCGTAGATGGGTACGGGTACCAGGATGGGAGATGTCGGCTTGCAGAAACCAGGTTAATAAAGCTTGGAAAGCGGAAGAGTAGGATGTGCAGGACCCGGTTCGGCCGAGTCCAGACCTGTGGAAGCTGTCAAGAGGTAAACGAATCAGTAAACTAACAATTAATAACATCCATTCGATGGCACAAGCCCTCGTCCTCGTGCTTCTTCCTCTCCCACCTTCCCACCCTACCACGAGCTTAATCGCCGGTCCGGTCGCAGCTGTCGTGCTCGGGTGGGATACGGTCATTGTACCCGTTTTCGTACCTGCTGTTGTACCCGAGGACGCCGAGTTGTCCGACAACATCCTTAATTTCCATTTTGGCTTTTCGGCCGCTACAGAGCCGGTACGACCCGTCCTTGCACCCGCCTTTACACCCGCTTATGCCCGCCTTGCTCTCACTAACAAGTCCTGCTCCATCAATGCTGTCAGTCTCGGGTTTGAGGACAAAGGGCGGGCGACAGCCAAGATCTCCAATGCCTCTTGGGTCTTCCACTCTTGTTTCGTGCGCGAGTTTATTGATTGTATTTTTCTATTTTTCTATTTTTTTTTTTCTTTCCTAGCATCTCCTTTTCTTCCTCATCCCTAATCCAGTCCATGATTCTCTCACTTATACCGGGGATTCATGCTCACATCGGTCAACACTGCGTTCGAGTCCCGAGTGTCTACAGGTGACTCTGTCGTATTTCTCGCTTTTCTACGCGGCTCCGTGTAAACAGGCCTGGCCGAGTCTTCTCTCCTGCTTCCCATTCTTTGGCTCTGTGCATCTCAAGGCGTAATACAAAGGTAATGCGTGTCGGTTCCAGGGTTTTTCTGATGTGCACAAGCGACTTCCCTACTGTCGTTTCGGGCTCGTCTGGCTTCATGACCGAGATGATTGTAAATATATATAATATGAATCCCCGGTACTAACTCGCATTCCCATTAAATCCTCGGAACTCGAACACATCGGCTCTTCAATTTTGATCACATTCCTTTGTCTATTTTTTCCTCTTGTATTATTATATTGCAAACCTACCATACCCTCAATTAACAAGATTATTTCCGAACCACCACCAGAGAAATAGATAGTCTACCTGCTCGCTTCTGAGCTCTGGAGCTCATAAAGAGCTACCCTTTCAACCCATCTCTTTCATAACTTATACCGTCTTCGAGCTACTCGAAGAATGGCTGGTTTTCCCAAATTCTTCAAAGCATCCTCAAAACGAGACGGAACTGCGAAACCCCCACCCTCTCCCGGGGGCAATGTCACGGATGCGGAGCCCTGTCAAGCTTCTGAGCCTTCTCCCACTGAGAACAGCCATGAGACAAAGCCTCCCAGCGTCACAAATGACTCCGAAATTCAGGGCTCGCAAGATCAGCATCAATACCCTACCGGCATCAAGCTCGTCTTAATTCTATTCTCGCTTATGACTAGCACCTTCCTTATTGCCTTGGTATAAATATCCCATCCTTCATCTCCTCTCCCACAGCTTCTGCCGTTTCTCTTTTCCAAACTGCTAACATCTTCTTTAGGACCGTCTCATCATCGCAACCGCCATCCCCCAAATCACGGATGACTTCCACTCAGTCACCGACGTCGGCTGGTATGGTAGCGTCTACCTACTCGCCAACGGTGCTCTCCAGCTCACTTACGGCAAGCTGTACACTTTCTGGAACATTAAAACCGTCTTCATCGTCACTGTGATACTTTTCGAGATCGGTTCAGCAATATGTGGTGCCGCAACCGGGTCTGTCATGTTCATCATCGGTAGGGCCATTGCCGGCGTTGCTTCTGCAGGTCTTTTTTCCGGATCGGTAAGTTGATCATCTCGTCCCCTTTATCATTCTACCCTTATTTTTGCCCATTGAAACTGATAAATTATCTGAAGGTCGTCATCCTAGTCAACTCAATGCCCCTCCAAAAACGCCCCCTCGCCCAAGGCCTATTCGGGGCCGTCTTCGGCATCGCCTCCGTCGCCGGCCCTCTCCTCGGCGGCGCCCTCACCACCCACGCCACATGGAGATGGTGCTTCTATATCAACATTCCCTTTGGGGCCGTCGCTATTGCGGTCATCTTCTTTCTCCTCAAGGTTCCTCCGACGCATGCTCAGGTACCACAGCTAGATGATACGACCGAGTCGGGTGAGGTCGCCGCGGGCGAAAAGCCGCATAGGTCTCGAATGTGGGCGAAGGTGAGGCAGTTAGACTTTGTCGGTATGAGTGCCTTTTTGCCTGGGATCGTGTGTTTGCTCCTCGCGTTGCAATGGGGAGGTGTTGTGCATGCTGTAAGTTTCTCCTTATCCCCCCCTCCCAAATCTATTAGGAGGTTAAATGCTAATTAGGAGCTTCTCTTACAGTGGGATAGCGCTGTCATAATAGCACTTCTTGTCGTTGCCGGAGTCCTCCTGATAGCCTTCGTCATCATCCAAGTTCTCCTCCCAGAAACAGCAACAGTGCCCCCGCGTATCATCACCTCCTCCCGCACCATGGCCACCGCCACCTTTCTGACTTTCTGCATGGGTGCCCACATGATGATAATGGTCTACTTTCTCCCCATCTGGTTCCAAGCCATCCAAGGTTCCTCGGCCTTCCAATCAGGCCTCAAGACCCTGCCCCTCACACTCTCCCTCATCATCGGCGGCATTGCTTCCGGCGGCGTCATCTCCAAAACGGGCCCATACCTCCCGTCTTTGTTCACTGGCGTGCTTCTCACCGTAGCCGGTGCGGCCCTCCTCATGACACTCAAGCCGGACTCCCCCTCCAAGGAATGGATAGGCTATCAGGTGCTCTACGGCTTCGGCCTCGGCTTCTCCTTCCAGGTTCCGAATATTGCCGCGCAGACTGTCCTACCACACAGGGACGTGCCCGTCGGTACCGCTCTCGTCATCTTCGGCCAGCAGCTGGGAGGCTCCGTCTTCGTGTCTATCGGGCAGAGCGTTTTCTCGTCGGAGCTGTTGAAGCGGTTATCTGGTATAGAAGGGTTCGAGACCGATGTGTTACGTAATACGGGAGCTACGACTTTGGCTGGCTCTGTGCCTGCGGAATTGAGGGACCAGGTGTTGAACGGGTATAATGGGGCTCTGAGTAGGGTGTTTATGGTGGGACTTATTGTGGCGTGTGTGGCTGTTTTGTTTGCGCTGTGCATGGAGTGGAGGAGTGTTAAGGAGAAGCAGAAGGATGGGGAGAAGGGAGTCGGGGGCGAGGACAAGGCCGAGGAGAAGAAGGTCGGGAATAAGACAGCTGGGAAGACCCCATCTACAAAAGGTGAGGTCTAGTCGAAATAAACGGCTTAGGGAAAATCAAGATAGAGGTTGGATATATCACGAATGGAGAGAGGAAGGAAGTCTTAAAAGAGGAAAGGGAAACAAAACAGAGGTCGGAGATGACAGGAACTCACTCCGCTTAGCATATTTCGATACCAGGTAATGATAATGGGATTCCACTCCAAATAAATCACAATTAAACATTACTTTTTCCGCCTATGCTTGACACTAAGTGAAAAGGAACAGATGTTTCCCAGACAAAAGTGTATGTACCCCAGTCCATGATTCCGAATCTTTCGGTGATCGAGGGGTATCAAAGCATATCCGCCAGAAACACCCTACAGACAGAAATCAGACAATTGTTGATACCAGAGATCTTAAGATCACTTACCTGGATCCAACTATTCCCGTGTTGCAACTTGGAAGGCCATCGAACGGTAGAAGTCAGTGTCAGTAAAGTAGAGTAACTGCTCCTAGTAAACTAGCCTCAGCAGCGGTTACAAGAGTAGGTATCATCAATGCGAAAATCGCCGTGAAGGCCACCCCTAGAACAAATCCACCTTGCGTACACACGTCCCGTGTGTACTGATCAGGGCAGAACTGGCCTCTGTTGAAGGTAAAGGTAGGTCGTGTCGAGTTGAAAATTTTGGCGTGGGTCTCATATCAGAATGCGAAGTGGTCCAGCGTAGTTTTGAGTGAAAATGTTGTTTGGAGTTAGAGTAGACTATAGATGAAGTAGCCAGATATCAATTTGATGTTAAGATCCCCCCTCTTGAGCGTTTCTCTGCCAGGTAGGACAAGAAGAAGCTACCCTAGCTGTGAATGTTATCCTCCTTCCTTGTCAAGCCCCTTCTTTTTTCATTCCCACCCCATCAATCAGTTTGCCAACACTACTGGTCTCCCTCCGTGAACTTGAAACTAGTCTCGATGGTCCGGTCCTCGTCGACGTTTCCTGTCACGGCAGCGCCGGTGCAGGGCATCAAAACAGGAAATGAAGCAACCTAGCGGGGCTAAGAGGCAGATGCCAAAGTAGGAGGCGCAAATAAGGAAGCGCTTCTCTCCTGGCGAAAAGAAACGCATTTTCGACTGTGGAAAAATTTGAGATGGAATACCGCGGTTCCTCCTCTGCACTCTGTATGAGTACCAATTGTAAAAGTGTTTGTAGATCAAAGTTGCGAGTATGGTGTAGTTGGGCAGGTGTGTAGTAGTCTTGAAGTATGGAGATTGGATGTTGACGAGATTCCAGACAGATGATGGTTTGGAGATTTCGAGGCTTCTTATATCCTGCCGTCGAGTTAGGATAAAGAGGTAAGATAGGAGGCTTCTCTTATTGAGCTCGGCATTCCATTATCCTATACACAAGGACAAGTCATTGTCTCCAATCTATCTCAGTTAAACAAATGCTATGCTGCCCTCCTCCTTTGTTTTACGAGCTTTACGAGGCTCCTCCCTCCTTTCCTTTATTCCCTTTCATGGAGCATCATCCCATTCGCCGGTGCCCTCCTTCATCTATGAAGAACATACCCTATCTCTTTATTCCCCTTCCTTACATGAGCCTTTTTAAGACTCTTTCACCAAGTATCGCTACCCTTACTACGGCGAAGGCGATCAGGCTGACAGGGAGGCTTAAGCCATCAATGATGGCTTGACATCCAGGAGTCAGGTTCGACGCTGGTTGATCAAGTTCGTGGATTTTCATTAATGAAGGTTGCTCTCTCTGCCCTCGGACGTCGAAACGGACTGTACAAGGGGGGATGTTTACGTGGTCGACGCGAAAAGAAGCGGGAATTGCTCTGGGGCTCTGGAGAAGAGGAAAGATCAGGAAGTTCAACTGCAGCTATTTATCGATATCCACACTTAGGCGCAGGTGGATGCAGCAGGGGGAAATCTGTTTCCCAACAGTAGTTCAAATGTTCCAAGAAGGCTGGAAGCTTGGGCTCTTATTATCATCAGGATTCATATCCGTTTACACAGACTTAACCGCGATCGGATACCTCCAAGGTGGTAAGACTAAGAGGATGAAACTAAAGCAAGTTCTTAGTAGTGCGTTAGTTTGAGTAAATATATATTCGAAAGGAAGAGAGCCACGTACCGAGGTCCTTCGCCACTTTGGCAGCCGTATACCCATACTCATCCCAACACTCCTGAAGCACACCTAGCAGAGGCATATCTATCTCAGATGTATCATCGTCAAGTACAGAAAACACACGGAGATCCATATCTAGAGCATCCAACACTTCGGAAGGCAGCTCTTCATAACCAAGCTGCCGGAGGACTATCCCCAGACCGCGTACATCGCCCTGCTTGCTTGGGACGTCTCCAAAGGCGGGGAAACTCGGCCCGCAAGCGGAAGAGAAGTTGCCGCGGCCATCAAAGAGGCAGGATCTGGAGAAACCACAGAGCACGATGTCACCATTCTCGCGAAGGAGGAAGCTATTCAGGGCGACGTCGCCATGCACAATGTCGAGAGAGTGAATGTAGGCCAGAGCACTTGCTGCCTGGTATTGCTGCCTACACCAATATGAGCTGGCTGGATAGGATGCAAGGGGAAGACATGAGTGACTGAGAACTGACCGCCGGCGCTGACGTGGGGGTAAGCTGAGGATTTCATCGATACAGCTAGCTGCATTCCCCTTGGGATGGTATTCAAATAAAAGGGCACGGTTTAGCGGCCGGCAACTAGGCGGGCTCTGGCCAAGGTATCGGAGAATGTGAGGATGTGTGCCAATACGATCATACATCTCCTTCTCCCACTCACGCCAGCGATATTGAGAAGGGAACGTTGTCGGCGATATCTTGGCGACAATATTGGTATTTCGAATTCGGAAGATTTTTGACGATCCACCGAGGTGGACGCGCTCAAGATCGGTCTTTCTGAGGGCAGCAAAGTTTACCGACGGCGTGTCCATGGCTGAATATGATGCTGAATGGTGAGACGAAGCGAGTTGACAATGTTTAAAGGTCATAAACTATTGTATATATTATATATAGGCGGAGCTTTTAACGATTAATGAAGAATCCAGGCGGAAGTGACAACTACACTGTTGCCTCTGCCTGACTGTCTCATACCTCTGGTTCCAAAGGCAGAGAAACCACCAAGGAACACGTTCTAGACCGCGTTTGCCACGTCTCTCAGTATCTAGCGCGTTCCATTTATCTTGTAACGGGGCACATCGGTTCTAGAAGCATCAACCCAATCTGCTCGCCTCAGTCAAGAGGAAAATGTCTATCTCCTTAATAAACCTTCCGAGTTCAGAGGTCGGTTCCACCGCAGACATCTGCCGCAGGGCGTCCTTCACAGAAGCCCACTCATGGCTCAATCCATCCGCCACCTCATCCTCTGTAAGCTCTGGTTTCCCATCCTTGTCAAGCAGCTCGGCTCGGTAGCAATACGATACTTGGTGGAGGTCGTTCCGGAACTCCTCAGTTGTTGCGATGCAGTCGCCCAGCACTTGGACTTTGCAGCCGGTCTCCTCCTCCACCTCACGCTTGGCAGCAAGTCGATGGTCCTCGCCTGGTTCAACGCCGCCGCCGGGGAGCTTGTAATAACTTCCCTTAGTGGCTTTGATGATGATCACCTGGTTATCGCTTCCTTTTACAACGACGCGAACAGCCGAGCGTTCCGTATAATGAATCTCAGGGCTCTTGACGCCTATGGTCTTGGTTGAGATGTCGGATGTCACTATTATTCCGGAGGGACTTTAGCATATCCTTCAGAAAACGCAAGGGGTGCACCTTTTGCAAAGCCCAGGCCAAAGCAGGAACCAACCTTTCAGGCTGGCCATTTCGATACCCTGTGAAATCGTTATAATGCCCGTATGCTAGGTTTATAAAACAAATCTGAGATGCCAGTCCGTCGTGAAGGTTAAGGCTCGTGTGATGTGTCTCAAAGGTCGAACCAGCAATGAAGAAAACGGTAAGCGGGGCTTCCAGGCAGTAATTAATTCACTCGTGCCCTGGAGCGTTCGTCGGTACTGCGGATAATGCATGGCTCGACTCCTCCATGCCACAAGATAGTTAGTCAATGCCAACAAACCGGGAACAGATATTTGGCCGAACCCTAATGGCGTGTTTTCTCTTAGAGCTTTGTATGCTCTTTCCAATCGGCATGTTCTTCTCCCGCCTCCAACTCAGTAATCAGATTCATCCGTAGTTGCTCAATCTCTGCCGGCGATATCACCCCCGATTCTTCCACGAGTCTCTGTGGGCCACCATTCCGCCGAATGTATGCGAGGAAGCCTAACATAGCTCCCTTTCTATGTCCAGCATAGCGTTAGGCGTGTTTCTTTTCCAGCATGGGATGTCCTTACCTAGACCCAAAGAAGCGCTGCTCTTCCTCGGTCATACTTGGCGCATGTGGCCTAATCTCTAACATGATCTGGGCAATCTTCCTTTGTAGGCCCAAAGCCGTCAACGCATACTCATGCGCCACGATGTCGTCCTCGACGCCGCAGATGCTCAGGATGAGGGCGCATATCACGCCGGTACGGTCTTTGCCAAGTGAGCAGTGAATGAGAACCGGCTCGGGCCCCGAGGGTGAGCCGGTGGCGAGATGGCCCAGAATGCTTCTGAGGGACTGTGCGGTATCATCGGCGGCGAGAGCAGAAGCGAGCAACTCCTGGTAGTACTCGATATAACCCTTACAAAAAAGATTAGCAGACATCAGTACCTTAGTACAGTTATACTACTCCGTACGTCGTGTCCTTCTTTCCTGGGGTTCTTGTCCCGTCGGGCTCGATGGGCACTGGTAACGTCGCTATCCTTAAAAATCGGGACGGAGACCCTCTGGGCTGGATCCCAAACCCTGATTCTACCCCAGCCCTGCCTTGTGCTCTCCTCAATCTCCTTACTGGAGCGAAGATCGAAGACTTTCACGATCCCTAGTGCACGCAAATGGCTGATACCTTCCTCTGTTATCGTAGACGGATTTGCCGATCGATAAATAACGCCCTTTCGAAGCATCCAGCCAGGACGACCGGCAATCGGGTAGCCACCGCAGTCGCGGAAATTTGGGAGCCCGTCTACGGGCAAGAAAGGGGGCGATGGGAGATGGATCTCCGTTGTCAAGTCTGGTTGTAAATTCGACATCACTAAAATAGGTTCCGGGATCGTCCTCACTTAGGATTGCAATTTTCGATGTCTAAACACTCACGGAAGTTATACTGAGGTGCATTTCTGTCGCCATTGGGTCAGGGCCGTCAGAGAAGCCCAGTCGAGGTGGGGGGAGTTATGAGCTGCTTTTGAGATATGTGTTAGACAAGACAGGAAAGTCATTGTCAGAAGTCGGACATGGCCATGCGCAGCTGGGATGGTGAATCGTGCCAGGCGGGGCGGGTTCACCTCCAGAGGATATATTCAGACATGTCGTTGCACATACTAACGCGGGCGTCCAGAAATAAGTATTAGTATTTACAGTGTCGTCAATAATTATACATATACCATCTTTTCCTATATACGTCTGACCCAATTTTCAGCCGTGACATTCTACCTCGATCCAGATGCGTGTTCCATCCATCTTCTGCGATCCTTCGCGGCTCCCGGCACCGAAGGCACGATGTAGTCTCGGTGACTAAGCAATCTCACGCTGCTGCCTGGCACGATTGAACGGAGAGGAGGAACAATTGACACCAACGGAGGGGGGCGCAGCAGACCACGTTGTCGCCTCGTTTTCTCAGGCGTTTGGCATCTCTGATCCAGTTCTCTCTTTTTATTGTTCTTTGATATCCAGTGTTTTTTCTAACTTCCGTTGAAACCAAGGCGGAGGCAAACGACATCCTCGCGAAGTCTGCTGCGAAACACACCTCCAAGATGACCAAGGTCGACGACGCCAAGAATCCTCTCCTGACCCACCCACCCGTCATCCCGCACGGCGAATCCTCCGTCTCCAGCGCCCCGGCCTACACCGACTACACAGCCGACACCACCCTCACAGAGCCCCACCGCGACGGCGACGATGTCGACGACGTAGTAGATCTCCCGCCGCGGTACACCGACCTCCCGCCGGAGCCGCCGCTGACCGCGCCCCTGGTCCCCCTTCACTCGCCCGTCAAGCCGATCAAATGCTACGGCAGCCCCGAAGAAGGCAATGAAGCCTACATGGACCCGCGCCTGGACGAGGACCCGGAGTACCTGCAGCAGTGGCTGGAGTACCTGGCCGAATTCCCACCTCGGCCATTCATCCGGATCGAAGGGGAGCACACGGAGACGGAGCGGAAGAAGGACAAAGACGAGAGGAAGACGGTGGTGGATTTCGACGTTAAGCTTGAGCTTACGGCGTTTTTGTACCGCGATGTGAAGACACGGAATGCGTGGCGCACTGTGAGGACGGTGGAGAACACCGAGAACGTCCGGCGCGGGACGGTGTTGAGGAACAGGGCCAAGGGGTATAGGTGTCAGAGAAGCCGGAGGGACACAGGGCCCATCAGTCTCGGCGACGACGGGGAGTCGGCGGAGCCGAAGCCTTCTCTGATGGAGTGGTGCCATCGGTACTGTGCCAGCCACGCCGGGCTAAAGACTTTTGTCCTCCGGCGCCGTGTTTTAGGCATCGATGAGAGGTGGCTCAAGGGCCGTATTGATTCCCTTGTCCGCGAGACGGGGTACCGCGGTAGGGTCCGCGTCTCGATCCCCGTTGTGGCCGAATCGGCTACGATATATAGCTCGGGCAAGGTCAACGAGCTGCGGCTCACGCGGTGGGTGCGCTGGCTGTTTTACCTTACCCTCATGTTCCTCTTTGCTTGGCCGTATCTCTTTTTCCGGACGAAGAGGTTCGAGGTGCTCGTGGCGGATTGGGAGTTTTCGAGGCCCGTGAACCCCGAGGAAAGGGACGAGAATGGTGGTAGCGGTAGCGATAGTAGTAGGAGCAGGAGGATGGGCGGAGATATAATTGGGGAGCAGGAGAGGGAGTTTGCGTCAGTGAGCGAGGAGGGGCTGATGAGTATCTGGGCGAGGGCGATTCAGAAGGCCGTTGTTTCTAGGAGACAGGGTGTCTTGGATCAGAGGGATCTCGGGTGGGAGGAGATGAATACAGCGTTTGATGGGGTTGGCGGTCAGGGGGTTATCGGCACCGTGGTTGGGGCAATGGGGCTTGTGCAGAGGCAGTTTGGGTGGGGAGGTGATACATAGATGAGGGAGGGCTATGGAGGGGATCGTGATGGGGTTACGGTTTTTCCTTTTATCTCTCTCTCTCCCTCTTTCCTTTTTCCTCTTTCTGGTTTCTCTTTTGTTTTCATTTTTTTTTTCCTTTGTATGAGCGAAGGCACTTGGATTCGGGTCTCGATACTGATCTTGGTTTGGGCTTGGACATTGTGGAAAATGTCTTTGTTAATTAGTCGTGGGACTCTTGGCATCCGAAGGTCCATCACCACTCTGTGTAAATTGAAATCTCCTTTTGCACCTAAAGTTACTCGAGCACGGCGGCTTTCCCAGACGAAGAGTCGTTCAGAAGACGTGTCAAGTGATTGGGTGATGTCGGACCTAGCTGTCCCATCCTGACTTTGTTAAGCGTACATCACGCTCGCCAAATCCCACCTCGAGGTTCGGACAATGTTTTAGTACTGTAAATAACATGGAAGGAAAGCTACCACCTCTACAAGATCGAGGCATCATCGACTCAAAAATATTCAACCTCAAGCTAGAAATCTAAGAGTTCCCTCGAATTCAAGCCCCTGGTTCTTGGGGCTTGACTGATGGACTATTATCGAGATAACCTATCGACGTGCGAACTTGGTGCTGTCTAAACCTATTACATCAATCTGACCTGATCTTGTCTACTGGTATTAGATGATGGATGAGACGCGGTCGACCCAAGACCAAAAGGTACAAGAAGTTGACTTGATCGCGATCGTGTCCGTCTTGATCACCAAAGTATCTGTAAGAGATTATTCAGTAACAACAATTTGAACCCACCCCACTACGAACTACGTCAGTTGAGCTGTGCGAGTTATGAATTATTTACCCCGCCAAAATTTCGCGGGGCAAGCGAATATTGAGTCAAGTCGAAGAGCCAAAGTGGCATCAATTCTTTCAATCCCAACATCACATTCGGCCGAGAGGACAACAGTTGGTTTAAGCCGCCATGTCGAACGAGGGAGTAACCGAGATTACCAACCCGAGGAGGGTGCTGGCCGTGTCTCTGGAGGTATCGAGCCATCATCTCAGTCGCGTAGTAAAAGGTATGTGGCCGACTCATCCATGAGTTAATCATAAACTCATATAGGGGAGGAAAAAAAAATAAAACAAATGAAATAGAAACCAAGCAAGTCTTCAACTAACAACCCCGACCAGACCTCTCTGGAACTCATCCCACCCCCTCTCCGACTCTCTCGGGAATAACTCATCCCCTCCCCTTAACAACCCCCTACTACACCACAACCCTCCCACTATGGCTTGACCTCATCGAAGACCCTGAGGATTGGGCGGAGACGTTCCTTTCGCCCGAAGCTAAGGAGGTTCTCGAGGCTCTTGGAGGTCTCGTTGTGGTGTTTGAGGTGCCAAAGAGTCGGGGCGACGCAAATACGAAACATGATGAGCAGCTCCTCATCGAGCACGTGGGAAGAGTAGTCAAGGATGGTTTAGGGGGATGGGGATGGGATGGAGTTGCCATCGCTGTGGGTCTAGGGGCCGATAGTGAAGGGGTTTGGGAGGATATGTGCTCTGAGGCGGGCATGGAGTTCATCCTCGTATCGGGTAACGAGGCGGAAGGTGCCAGGAACGAGTTTGGAGGTGAATTACACATTTACACATCACGGCCCTCTCTCAGGGAGGATCTACACATTTACGGTACTGACTGATACCCATCGAACAGAAAAGGTTGGAATTGCTCGCGCGCTCGAGGCGCTACAGGCAAATGACTGGACCGCTTTGCTGGCTACGGATGACGATTACTTAAACGAGAACGAAGAGAGCGAGAGGACTGGAGCAAAAGATGGCCTGGATGATGAGGATGACGATTTCGATTTTGGCTTCTACGGTGAAAAAAGCGATTTTGAAGGACTAAAGCAGGCCATTCTTGAAGCAACTCTCGAGAGGGAGGGCGTCGACCTCGAGAATCTTGCAGAAACATCAGCGGAAGGCTCTGGCCAGAAAGGTCCTTCTAAAGAGAACAAAGGAAAAGAGCCAGAAGATGAGGAAGGCGAGGAGGATATTAGCGAGGAGGATGTGCAAAAGATCGAGAGGATGATGAGCAAGCTGAAGGCTGTACGGGAGATGGGAGAGGGTATGCCTGAGGAAGAGAGGAGGAGGTTGGCGAGACGCGCGGTCGACGAAGTCATGAAGGAGCTGTGAAGATTTTACGGGTCCTTACCCCAAACACACTTCAAATATCGAGACCGGGAGGGAGGTCCTTCGTTTACCCTTTACTTGATACGACTTTCCAGTAGTGACGTCCATTATAGTGACGTCCATTATCATCACCCGATCGGTCTGCTAGTGTTAGGTAGATCGGATTATTTCCCTCCTTTTGCCCGCGGGCCTTGTATTCTTAGGAAAAAACAATGAGCGGCGTTTCTGCTTTTACTTTAGCAGGTCATATGCTCTTTGCTTCTTTCTCGACAAGTCTGGAGAACCCCTGCCCAGCTGAGGGGACTCGGAATATGTCATTCTTCAACATATTCTGTTCTGCTCAGCTCAGAGAGGAGATGGAAAAATAAGGTTGACAAAGAAGAGGAAAATCAAGACGTCAAAGCGATACAGAAGAGGCATGGTCCCGGTCCCCCGAACCTCTGTAAGCTCTCCAATGCCGATCTCATCGTCTCCCACTTTTCCCTGTTGCCCCTACACAGTCTGCGAACTCTAGCAGGTATGTCTTAAGTCAGAGACAGCGGGAAGATGCAGGTACATGACTCGATCTATCACGTCCCGAAAAAAAGGAACTATTTTAAAAACAGACGTCCTCCTAAGCCAGTCAGCTCGAGCCTCTGGCTAGGATCCACCGGAAGCTTGCAGCCTCGTCGTGTTCTCTTTCTCGTATCGTCTACCGACTCTGAGGTAAAGTCGATGGCACTTAGCTTCAGGAGGGGCTGGTAGAAGTAAAACAGATAAGAAAAAATGTCATCCTCTCTGTTATGTCTACGGTGAGATATGCCATGTTCAAGAGGCTAGTGGTTGTTAGCCTCGCCTCGGACTGCGGCTGTCCCAAGCGCTCTATGGCCAGGCCATGTGATTGTTCGCGCTTTGTAGTGCTGGACGCAAGTGACGAACTAGGCGAAGATCGTAGATTAGTTCCTGTGCGTGCACTCTATTGCGTAACGGTTTTCTTGGCTCGTCAGCTAGGGTTCAGCTCCGGATTCCATTCCTCTCCACACCTTCTCCCAATCTAGATTCTTTCCGGCCTCTAGAGACACCGGCTTCCCTATATCCGGAATCGTCCCTGAGGACTGGATTCCAAGATCTCGAGTTGCACTGGTCCAAGTCCTCTTCTACGCCCTCCACTTTAGGCGAGACTAACTAAGAAGGGTTCTGTTTAGTGTCAGTATCAGGAATAGCGCCGGAGGTATTATGCGTTGCGGACCTTCGAGAGCCTTTTGCCTTTGTGGGGGTGGAATCCTACCATGGGCGAAGCACGAAGCAATAATACTGCGTAGAGTATAATGTACACGCAGTATGGCAAGATACACCCTATCCTCCCTACGGCATGGTTCAGGAGAATGAAGATGATCCCTACCTTTTCCCACCTACTTTCTCCGTTAAGGGTTTTTCCCTCAAACTGCAAGTACGCAAAAGCATGTCAGGGTTACACTCTCCATGCGCAACACACTGAAGCATGCCCCCCAAACGAACGGGCCTATCTAAAAAGAGTAAATCGTTGACGACGCCTGCATGCAAGGGCAGGAGATAATACTGAGATACCAAAAAGATGGGACGACTGTGTGTGTCAGAGAACGCAAGAAGTGGGCTGTGCGCATGAATTATGGTAGCCTGTTGATACGGAGGTCTGCAGGGAACTTTCTCTATTGCACGAGAAGTGCCTCTTTGAGATCAGCGACATGGGTAGGCCGGAGATTTTTATTTTTCTTCCTTTTCCCTTCCTACGCCGTGTTCGCGTGCTTGTGAATTTTTCTTTTCTATTTATTTCTTATTGTTACTTATTTTCTTTCCCTCTTATTCACTAGAGCACGAGGTGTCTCTTCAGCGAGGCTTTGGGCTTCTTGGGCTTCTTGCGCGTTGACGGGAAAGGGATCCCTTGGCTTTCCCTGTTTGGACACCGTACTGACCGTGGGCGAAGGAATGGTGCTAGCATCGACCGACACCGAGGAGCGCTCGTCCTATCCTCTGAACTGTGTCCCGAATGCCCCAGTCCCTGTCCATGCTGTGTCGCGTGGGAGAACATGAGTAAGCATGAAGTGGTGCTCGTGGGTGGGCACCAACTACCCAAGTGCCTAGCCGTCAGAGATATATACTTCTATTCCGAACTTCACACGAGATCTCGCTGTCCCATCTTCCTACATCCGATGAAGTACGAAGGTACAGGCAGCGGTAGGTCTGTCGTTCCCGGCTGCTTCGCGTCGATCATTCATGCCCCGCCGCAAATCCTGGCCACGATTCAGACCAGCGCTAAACCCACCAGAGGAAAGGCTGGACCATATGCTCCTTTTCCCACCTTCTTTAGAAAACGGGAATCTTCTCCAAAGAGGCCAAGGAATAGGGGCTTTGTGTGGACGAAGCATGAAGTATAGTGGTGAGATGTTGGAAAAGAGGAGACCCCTGCCAGGTCAAGTCTTTTTTTTGGTTCTGGAGATCCTTCCCTCCGCCCTTCTTTCCATCCATTCAGATGTTACCTTGTGCAGCCCTCTATCCCCTTTCGGCCGGCCGGTGGGGGAGGGGCTAGAGAAAGTCATGCGTGTGGGCTGTGCATCGTTTCGAACCATTCCTCGGATCGAAACAAGAGGTTACTTCGGTTTTATTTTAGAGACGTGGATGATCCAGCCCTTTGGAGATGCTCGTCCATCGCCGAGGCGTACGGAGGATTGCCCCAGATAGAAAGGTTACAGAACCTGTGGGTTATGTGTTCTAATTCTGGATGCCGAGTGCGGGACGGAGCAGATACAAGTAGTATACAGAATCATGTTAGAGTTAAAGTGAAGTTGAACAAAAGGGAACCAAAAAGGCGGAAAAGGGACCCGAAAAAGTCCAGCTCTTCATTCTAAGATGGATTTATTTCCTCCATTCGGGTCGATTTTCCGGGCAGGCCGCATGCTGCGTCATCGTTGTGTGTGTGGAGAGCAACTCTTCCGCATCCTATAGGATCCTGTTCTGTTCTTTGGAGCTCTGTAAGGATCCGACACGCTTCGAAGTTGTTGCCTTATCGAGAACAAGATGGAGTGTAGAGGAGACGTCGAAGGGAGTAGGGTCCGGATCAATTGGCTCTCAATCGATCGCCGCCAACAAACGGCGGGCGTGACCCTCGGGGGAAGTCGTGCTGCTGTTCTTGGTTGGATGACCAATGAAAACACACAATGCCTTTCAAGCGGGCTATTCTTGGCGATAGTGAAGATGCAGAGTCGGAAGACGCATGTCTGTCTGGAGAAGGACGGAGGTACTTCGTAAGGTTGGTACATGCGGCGCCGTCAGAAATAGTACACAGTAAACGGTTCCGAGTCAGGCAGACTGTGTCATACAGTGTGCCTTCCACTTCCTCCCTGGGACCCTTGGTTGGAGCACTGTGCTGTACCTGACTAGATGCGCTAGTGTTTAGCCCGCTTGGCAGGCCTGGCAGCGGCGGCTTCCTGGTTGGTCTGAATGCTGAGACCGCCTGACATCAGCTTGCATGAGACTTCAAATGTTCCCTCCTCTCTCTAGCCCACAAAAGCCAAGCCGGCGCCGAATCTCACCATTTTCGCTGCTTCACGAGTATCGGGACCCATCCATCGGAGACACGAGCTCCATCATGGACAATGCGGAAGGAGAAAAAAAATCGAGAAGACGGGAGAAGAAAACAGACTAAAGTCGGTTTTGCTCGGCTCATTCATGCAGTGTAAGGTCTTCAGATTTTTTTTATTCTTATTCTTATTTTTTATTTTTATTTGGTCGTTCTCTTTGCCTTTTGGCCTCTTCCTCGTTTTCTTCTTCTCTTTCTTTCATCCCTTTCCTTTTATTGTTTTGAATCTTGCTATTGAAGAAATACTGGGGCCCCGAGGTAGTTTCCTATATTGCCAACACGGAGCTAATGCAGGTACGAGATCTTCCCCAGAGGTCATCTCCTACTTCGTACGAAGCACACTATCTGTCTGGCATCTGTCTGTCTGGTATCTGGTTGGTGGATGTCAAGAGAAACGCCTCGTGGCTACCAAGTCAAAACATCACTGTCCGAAAAGTCTGATGTCTCCATCAATCAATGTTCAATTTTCTCGTGGCGGAAACGAGGAACGCGGCCAACAGCCGATATATATTCCTAATGAAAATCCATTTAAAGAAGCCTGCCATTTTCATGTCTCGTGTCCTCACTTGATCCCTCAAACACTATGCATGCACGAGGATTTACCGTAGGCCCGATAGGGCAAGGCTGAATGTTGGATATCAGGGACTTTTTGGTCCGAAAGAAGACGGTGCGCCATTTGGAAGACATCGATCTTCCTCGGAGACCCCCTCCAATATATCCTGGCCTATTATCCCATATAAGTGACCTTTTATCCCCCCAATCCCTCCCTGACACGGCATCTGGGACAAAACATCAGACGAAAAAGATACTTGCCCGAACGATTTGCGGGATTCAAGGGAGGGAGGTGTGCCGTCCAAACCCCGGACCAGGAAATTCTTGCGACCTCTTTGGAACATGACGATCCCTCCAGACTTCATAATCGGGTACTTGTACCCGAATCATCCCGTTGGCGACTTTAGTCGTTCCTGGCTAAACCATTTTTGTCACCCAAGATTCATGTGATCTATTGTATTAAGAACGCATGCACCCTTGCTCAAAAACCGCACTAGGCGGAGCTTTGTACCTAGGCACAAGTTTCAAGTAGGGGTACAATTATTCAAGTACATAAGCCTCCCCACCAATGAGCATCCTATCATTTTTTTACGCCTGCTGCCCCTCCCTTGTTTTCTTCTGCGCTTTCCCCCTTTTTGCGCATGCCCTCCAGTCACAGTCCTCCGCGGTGTCATGCGAAAGCTGCAAGGTGCCCTGATCTGCCCCACCAGGACGCGGGAACAGGGGTACAAGTCCTTCCACAACGCGTCTTTGCCGCCTTCCACAACAACAGGACAAGATAAACTTAGATACTTGGTTGCGGATATGGCAGAGCCCCAACGCCCCTGTCTCCCTGCCCTCAGGAAGTGTCCTCGCT